ATATGATTATTTTACAAACAAAAATGAAAAATATAACTTTTTAAAGGGACAAACTGATGAAGGGAGTATAATAGCAAACATATCCATTTTAGAGGGTGTTTGACACTGTGTTAAAGAGCTACTTTTGAGCTTCAAATTTGTCCAAAAGCAATTTTGTGTTTTTGGCAAATCTATTTCAGCTGGTGGCGTATGATCTCAAAGTGTAAAATGGACTCCAAAAGTGCTTTTTGGCAAAGTTGGGAGTAAGGGCCTGTTCTTTAGAGCTTGAACTCTTAACTTCCAGTTTCTTCCAGTTCTTTCTAGTTTCTTCCAGTTTCTTTCAGTTTCTTCCAGTTTCTTCTAGTTCTTCCAGTTTTTTCCAGTTCCTTCCAGTTTTTTCCAGTTTCTTCCAGTTTTTTCTAGTTTCTTCTAATTTCTTCCAACTATATTTATTTTCTTCAAATTCTTTTTACTTTCTGACAAATCACTCTAAAAAAATATTATTATTATTATTATTATTACAACTTTTTTTAATTACAACTTTTATGTTCATAACTATAGTTTATAAATTATTTCATTTTTTCATTTCACTATTTTTATGATTCACATTCATTCTTCCAGTTTCTTCAACTTTTTAATATGAATAATACCGTTTCTTTTGTATATTAATCTACATGAAAAATTAGGAAATCATTTAAAAAATTATGGATAAATAGTTATATAGAATTTTTTAATCTAAATTTATATAAGGTAAATTACATTTAAAGTCCTGGAAGAATAATTTATGAAAACCAAGAGAAAACTACATTTTGAAAAAAGAAAAAATGACCCAAGAAGTGTAATATTTATGCTAATTTTATATTCTAATTATTTTTTTAAACTAGCTTTTTATATATGAAAAATAATACGCGTAATATTTTTTTATCTTAAAGACAATCATTAAGATAACGTGATAACACCACCACTACCACCACCACCACCACCAACAACAACAACAACAAGAATAATAATAATAATAATAATAATTTATAACAACAAGAATCAGAATGAGAATAATATAAAACCACACATAAATTTTTTTAAAAAGTTTTTTAAAGATTTTTCAATTTTTTCTAGTTTTTTCAGTTTCTTTTAATTTTTTTCAGTTTTTCTAATTTCTTCCAGTTTCTTCCAGTTTCTTTCAGTTCCTTCTAGTTTCTTCTAGTTTCTTCCAGTTCCTTCCAGTTCTTCCAATTTTTTCCAGTTTCTTCCAACATCTTACTCTTTTTTTCCAGTCCTAAAGAACATGCCCTAAATGCTTTTGACTTCTGCTTTTCTAAGAATCCACTCCAGTGTCAAAGACCATTTTAAGATCTTATCTACATCTGTGAGTTGGGGTTGAGTCCATGAATCTTCGGAGCCATGACATGCTATAACAATATAACATGGATTCAATTTGACTTAAACAATCTCTCATTCATAAAGTTGACTGTTCCTACTCGCTAATCCCTATAAAAAACACTCGCCCTGCTCCTTCGAAACCTCATCTCCACCTCTTCATTTGCACCCCAAAATTTATTTGACTCTGAAGTTAATCTTTTTTACTCCAAGTCAATTAAATTTGCAGGTGCAATTAATGGATGGAGGTGGGTTTGAATGAGGCGGGATAGAGGGTTCCACCAAGTGAGTAGAAACTGTCATTTTTACAATCAAAGAAGTCTCGAGGCATCCCACGACAATGTTGAGCAATGTCAAGAAAATTGTCCCATTTGAAAGTTGAACTTCTTAGCTATAAAAAAGACATAAATCGATTTAGTGAGAGGACATAATCGCACGACGGCAAATTATCATGAACCATGCTACACTTACACCATAAAATATACCTCATTTGTACACCACGGGTTTGTACAAACATTTCGATGGTTTACACCGACACAAGTGTTGGTGTAAACTATCGAAATGTTTGTGCAAACCTGTGGTGTACAAATGGGATATATTTTTTGGTGTAAGTGTAGCATGATCCTATCTCAATTGTATCCCATTGTATCTTAACCACACCATCATGGTGTAGATAAAAGAAATTAATGAATGGATAAATTATATACGGTGAGGGGTGAAGATTGTTGCATTTGTTGGGGGTACAAATGGTGTCGGTATACCACTAGCATGAGTGCATGACTCAAAATCTAAAGAAAGTAATTTCTTACTAAGCTCAAAAAGAAAACATTATAAGATTGATTTTAATTGATTACTTAATTCAAATCAAGAGTTTATATACTGGTTTACTTTTCTCTTCAACTCTAATGTAGAATACTTTTTTACACTCTCCTTCAAATGGACAATCACACAAATTTGAGTCTAACCGATTAACCACTTGCAAGTGGACTCTCCTTCCCTAGAAAATGAAAAAAGATCAAAAGTGACAACATCTAAAGGGTCACGAATCGTTGGGTATGAACTTGGCTTCCAGATGAACAATCAAGTTATATGGGCCACAAGTTGTTTTCTATACGGACAATTGGCTAAAGAGAAACTAGACGGACACCTTAACACACTACGTAAGAGCATATTCTTCAGAGATTAAATTCTTGAATTCCAATTTTTTTTTCAATTTTGTTCCATTTTTCTAGTTTCTTAAACAACTTGATCTTTTCTTCCAATCATAAATGACATGCTTTTATAAGACCCTAATTCTTTGTCCCTTACGTTCTTACTAAGTATGTACGCCTTTCGAGTACGAAGAATCATTCCACATTAAACTAATTGGTCAACTTTGATTGATTTTCCTAATTAGGCCATTATTCAGAATCAGATTCTCAATTCAATACCCCCTTGGAATTTCAGAGCGTGTTTGGCATCGTGTTAGAAATAACTTTTGAGCTTCTACTTCATCCAAAAGCAGTTTTGCGTGTTTGACAAATTTAATTCTGCTTATAGTGTATAACTTCTGAGTGCAAAATGAGTTCCAAAAGTGCTTTTTGGCAAAGTTAGAATTAAATACTTTTGGCTTCTGCATTATGATTTCTGCTTTTCAAGCAATCCACCACAGTGCCAAACACCCTCCAATAGATCTGCCTAATGAATCTGGACTTTGATTAAGTTTTTTGAGAAATTTGCAGCGAAAAAAGAGAGTTTTGCCCAAAGTGGTGATGAAGTCTTTTGCTTTCATGCTAATACATTAGAGCATCAACAATGGCAAGACAAAAATAGAATGTCACACGATGACATGGAACATTTTAACCAATAAAAAATCTAGTCAGCGTGTGACAAGTGAATGAAGTGACAAGCTCTACAGTCGCAAGTCATTATTTTCATTACTTTTTTACATTTTTTTATGTTTTTTAAACATAAAAAATATATTTTTTATTATTTATTTTATCAAAAAATTATTCTTCGCCAAGCAAGGCATTTTGGCCTTGTCATGCCATGATATGAGTGGAAAGAGCTGATTTAGTAGTGCAAGGCATTCCATTTCCTTGTCACTGCACATGCTCTTAACCCGCGTGCATTTCTATTCTTAATTCGATGCTCTACATCTTGGTCAAAACTCCAATTTTGTCAACCAAAAAAAAAATTGAGTATATTGACTTAAGAAAACTTAAAAGTTTAAGTGATAACTTTTACAAAGTACGTAGTATTTTTTACCTTTTAATACTTAAATGTGATTTGTGTCAATTATTAAAGCTTTCATCATTTAATTTATTTTCTGAAACTATGTGAAAAACTTAGCAATGAACTCTTAAATATGGGACAAATAGAATACTTCATTTTTATTCATTTTTAATTAGATGCAAGTGACATATGCACTACCAACGTTTTCAAACTTGATCCAACACACTTGACAAACCGTAATAAATTGAAAATCGCAAACTTCGCCCACATTAGTACGATAACCAATTTATGGTACAATTTTTCTTAGATTAGGAGAAAAATTAAATAAATCTTATGGGATTAAAAGAATATTTTATACTAAGTCATTTTTTGATCATGTAGTCAAATGTGTAGACATTTTTAGAGTTGTTATTTTTTTGAGAAAACAAATTTTAGATACGAAATATGAAACTCTAATTTTATAGTTATATCTATTCCATATTAAAGTAATATTTTATGTTGACATTACAACTCTAATTTTAAAAAATATATATAACCCTAATTTTGATGCTTTGCAAATTGCACAAGGACAAAATGCCATGATTTGTGAAGTTTAAGAGCCTCAAAGAATTGAAATTAACAATAAAAATCTTGGAAGATTAGGCATTCGAATTGAGCTAACATAATCTTTGTATAAGTCATTGTCTATATTTTCTATTGTTTGGCAAGTTGGGTCAATGGAGAACACAGGTTGGTCAAAGGGAAAATATTGTCCATAATTCAGAAATTGACTTCCAATTCTATTCGGAAAGTTGTTTTCCGCCGATGGTACAGGCAGCTCTCCTAGTGCTTCATCCTCTTCCGTCTTCTTCATTCTTCTTCCAATGCCGCCTCCCCTCTATTATAATCCACTTCAAGACTTCAATAACACAACTCCTTTATGGCTATATCCTCTATTTCAAATTTTCAATGTAGGGTTTTTAATTTTCCCTGATTCTCCCACACTTATATGAAAGGAAAACGAATGGATGCAAAAATGTGTTGGTTTGTAAAAGAATCATTTTTTGAACGAGTGGATGCAAAAATGTGTTGGTTTATATGTTCATTAAGCCATGGCACCTCAAAACCATGGGAAGGGGAGCAATGTTTCGAAATCCCACCGTTGACACATAGGCTTCCCCGACTTGGTCATTGAGTCCACACCCCTTGGGCTAACACACTAAAAACACAAAACCAAAATTTACTGGGTTCTTATTTTCATCCGACTCTGCAAAATTATCATCCTGGCAATTTGATCAAACACGAACAAATATAATGCATAAACTCAATTGAAGCACACAGATCAACTTAATAATCAACGCTTAACAGAACCTTGATTCAGAAATCAGATCTAGAATGTGGATTATATCTTTGACTAGGGAAAGTGCCGCTCATTAATATACCTAAACTAATACTGTATTCATCATTTATTACATGTAAAAACACTTTAATTGTTCAATTAATACAATTCCAGAACGATTTACAAGCATCAATGGCAGATTTAATTCTGCCGACTGAAATCGAAAACCTAATGACGCTTATTTCGACACTTAATTGCGCCCTAATTTTACTGTAATTAATTTCCTGTTTTCAAACATACCATTTCAATGCGCAACCAGAGCGCTGTCGCTGTTGGCGGCGCTGAACAAGTCGACGGCCGATTCATGCGGCTGCGAGACCGGACTAGTCGGGAGGGGGATTGAGAAGAACGCAGCCTTGGCAGCAACGAGTTTCTTCCTCTGAGGACATCGCGGGCCGCGGATCCGGACCGGAGAACAGGGAAAACCGTCGCCAGGAACGATGTGAGTCGGAGCAGCCGGAGAATCGTGAACGGAACAGATCGGGAGACGAGAACCGACTGCACGGTGGTTCCTTGCGCTGATCCGCGAATCTCTAAGGCGAGCCAGCGCACCGGGCTTCAGGTACCTGAGATAAGACGCCGATGCTGCATCGGCTTGCAGAAATGTAATCCTGGCGTGGCGGCCCATGGCGGAAGACGGCGGCGAAACAGGGAGATGAAGATCCGACGGCGATTAGGGATGGAGATAGAGAGAGATGGGGGAGATGAGTAGAGAAGATGGGTTTATAATACGGATGAGTAGAATAGTCGGGGGCATTGGCGGGATAATGAAAGGAGGGAAAGCGGAAAATGGGGATGGCGTGGTTTCGTTTCAAAATAGAAATAGAGGGAAGCGGCGCGAGATTCGTGGTTTTTTAAGTTTCTAGGGTTTGGCCGTTTGGGCTCCCTTTTTTTGGTACATTATTTGTCATAAATCAATGATGTTTTAAAAAAAAAACAATGTCATTCTTGACTTTTTCTAATTTTACTTCATACGTTTCAAATATAGGTGAGCATGGTACGGTATATAGCTCGTACTATTATTGTATAAAATATTTTGGTTTGATGTAAAATTTTACATTGTGCCGATCTTGATCTAAAAAATTTGGTTCGGGATGATTCACGATTGATTTAAATACAAAACAGTATAAATATATACTACGTATGTACCTAATTTATAATTTAAGATGATCCAAATCCCTTTATTTTCAAAAATAAAAAATGCATTTAAATAAAGAAAAATTACAATAATTGAAAATTGAATAAATAAATTCGAGAATGTCTTATGAATCTTAGTTTATACTCCGTATTTCACAAAATAAAGAAAATGAATGATAACAAAATAGTATTTCAAATTCTTGTTAATATTTTTAATTCATCAACAAACATAAAAAAAATGATTAAAAGAACAATGTACGCATAATAAAATTAAAACTAGAATAATAAATAAACTTATTATTTAATGAATAAATATAAAAAGAGTATTATATTTACAATATTTTTGTATATATAATCGGTATGGGAAATCACCTCGTGCTGTTACCAAATACCCAACCGATCATTTGGTTCGGTACGGTTCATATTTTTGTGTTTATTTGATTCAGTATTTTTCGATTCGGTTTTATGACTGAATTTGTTTTTCATTCATTTTTATTTGAATGGTCTACATATCTCTCTATAGTCTATATATGCCCAATTTATATTGTAAATTTACAAGGGGATCATTCTTTTTGTTTCGACCCGAATAAAATTGATTGATTGTGCTACATCTTCAAAAGGAGACTCATGCGTATTTGTTGGAAAAAACGGAAATTAGTTTTAATATTTAAGATAGAAATTCTTCACAATATGTGTTTGGTAGATATAAAAAGAAAAGCTCATACCTAAGCCGACTAAATTCATCTCATACATTCACGTTAGGCGTCTTATCCGTAAGAAATGTGAAGCCTACTTGTGTAATGTACGTGATACACGAAACAAACCCTTAAACTGAAGAACATACCAATAGTATGTGACTTTCCCGATGTGTTCCTTGGCGAACTTCCTGGTATACCATCTTCTAAAGAAGTAGAATTTTCTATCGATCTTATCCCTGGAACAAGACCAATATCTACAACTTCGTATCGTATGTCCCCTACTAAAATGAAAGAGTTGAAAGCCCAATTGTAAGAATTACTTGACAAAAAATTCACCCAACAAGGTGTTTCCCCTTGGGAAGCACCTGTTCTGTTTGTAAGCAAGAAAGATGATTCGATGAGACTCTGTATCGACTACCGGTGATTGAACAAACTGACGATCAAAATCAAGTACCGCTGCCCTTTACCACATATTGACGATTTGTTTTATCAACTTAGAGGAGCAACTGTATTCTCTAAAATTGACCTTCGATTAAGATATCACCAAAAACCTGTCAAGAAGGAAGATATTCCGAAGACTACATTTCGTACTTCTTATAGCCACTACGAGTTCACGGTAATGCCCTTTGGATTGGCGGCTACTCCTAAAACATCCATGGATCTCATGGATAGTGTATTCTGACCCTACTTGGATCAATTTATAGTCGTGTTCATCGATGATATTTTAGTCTACTCCAAGACTCGAGAAGACCATGTAAAACACTTGGAAATGGTACTTGGTGTATTAAGGGAGCACAAGCTTTACGCTAAGTTATCCAAATGTGAATTATATCTCGGTGAAGTCACGTTCTTGGATCATGTGATTTCGAGAGAATGCATTAAAGTGGACCCGAGCAAAATATCTACCATCACAAAATGGAAAGTTCCAATAAATGTTCATGAGGTGAGAAGCTTTCTTGGATTAGCTGGATACTACCGACGTTTTGTTCAAGGCTTTTTTATTGCAACTCCACGGAACAAATTTATAAGGACTGATGCATGCGAAAAGAGCTTCGAACAATTGAAGAAATGTCTTCTAGAAGCACATGTACTAATACAACCAGTACTGGGTATGGATTATACAATCTTGAGTGATGCATCTCATAATGGACTAACATGTGTACTTATGCACGAATGCAAAGTTATTGCCTATGCTTCAAGATACTTGAAATCACACGAGTGTAACTATCCTACTCATGATCTTGAGTTAGCATCAATTGTATTTGCATTGAAGATATAACGTCACTATCTATTTGAAGAGAGGACATATATTCACATAGATCACAAAAGTCTTAAATAGCTGTTGACTTAGAAGGAATTGAAGCCGTCGTTGGAATTGATCAAGGATTATGACTACTACATCAATTATCACCCTAGCAAGGCTAACGGGGTAGCCAATGCGCTAAGTCGGAAATTGGTGGCCGAACTCCGACTTCAACCAACTCTAGCAAGTGAAATCCCTGCCGCACAGAGGAATGATGTTTATTGCTAGAAAATTTGCGAGCTTGTCTCTAAGGGGAAGAGACAAGACTTCACTATCAACAATGAAGTTTTGTTCTATCAGAATCACTTGATAGTACCCAATATAGAAGTGAGAGAATATTTGATGCGTGAATCTCACGAAACCACGTATACCATGCATCCAGGTAGCAACAAAATGTTTCAAAATATGAAGAAAACGTATTGGTGACCCACGATTAAATAGGAACATTCAGATTTTACTTCGTGATATCTGACCTGTCAGCAACAAGTCAAAAGTTGGACATCAAGTGCCAAGTGGACTATTGCATCCGCCTACCATACCGGAGTGGAAGTGGGAACGGATTACGATGGACTTTGTAATATGACTTCCCTTGACAGTTAAAAAGAATGATGATGTATTGGTGATCATTGAGAGATTGACCAAATGAGCTTATTTCATACCAATCAGACGTAACACATATTTGAAAAGATTAGCACAGCTTTACATTCGTGAGATTGTAAGATCACATGAAGTGCCTCTATTTCATCATTTCTGATCGTGACCCACCGTTTACATCACAATTTTGGAAGAGTCTGCAAAAATCATTGGGTACTAAGCTTGACTTCAATACAACATTTCATCCTCAGACAGATAGACAGTCTGAGAGGACGATCCAAATTCTGGAAGATATGATGAAGCATGTGTTATCGACTTTGGGAACAACTGCGAGCAATACCTCTCATTAATGGAGTTCGCTTATAGCAATAATTATCAAGATAACATCCAAATGGTTCCATACGAAACATTGTATGGGAGGCGTTGTGGAACTCTAGTCTGTTGGACAGAATTTAGCAAGCAAAAACTTAAAGGACTTGACTTAGTCCCAGAAACTGATGAAAAAGTCCGTCAGATCAGAAAAAGATTGCAAGTTGCATCTGATTGACAAAAATCCTATGCTGACCTTGATAGTCGTGAGATTGAATACAACTTGGACGACGTGGTGTTCTTGAAAGTTTCACCACGGAAGAAGGTACTAGGATTCTATAGGAAGGTAAAAATTGAGCCCAAAGTATATTGGACTCTTTCGAATCATTGAACATGTGGGGCCAGTAGCATATCATTTGGAACTTCCGCTGAAATTAAACAAGATCCACGATGTATTTCACATCTCAATATTGAAACATTATCATTCTGATCCATCGCATGTCATGACCGATAGAAGTGTAACTCTCGGTGAACGTCTGACCTATAAAGAGGAAGCTGTTCAGATTTTGGCACGTAAAATAAGAAAATCGAGAAACAAGTCTGTCCACTACTCAAAGTACTCAAGAGGAATCATTCTACCAAAGAGGCAAACTAGGAGACTGGAAAGTCAATGATGGCTCAATACCTGAATCTCTTTAACAATTAATAACTCAGGTAATTTCGAGGATGAAAGTATTTTAAATGGGAGAGAAATGTAACGCACCGAAAATATGCCTATCAGAATTTATTAGTTGACAATTAATTAATTACTGAGATGATCCTAAAAGTATGTGATTTATAAAGCTTATCTATTTATTTTGAAAATTAAACCGTTGTGTAGAGATTTACTGTGTGATCGCAACGGTGCAATCAAATTTTAGTTTGGATAAAGTTAGACAAAAAGTGTACCCTGATTGGGTTCAATTTAGTCCCAATCAGGGAAGCCGAGTAAACTCCCCAAAATCACCGTCTAGCCCACTCGCCGATCGCCAATAGTCACCTTCTTCATCCTTATTCTATATAAGAGACACCCAACCTCTTCAATTTTTCACCAATCTTCCTCTTTCTTTTTTTGTGTCTTTTGGAGTGTGGGAGTGCAGTGGTGCTATCCAGAGAACTTGATGTCACTGGAGTTAGCCGTAGTCTTTGTTAGAAGTTTCCTCGAAAAATTTACATTTCTTCATTTTAAGCTTGAGGTGAACCCTTAAATATATCGAGTGATTATAATGTTCATATAGATCGTTTTTACGTTCATAAACTGTCATCTGGCTGAGTTTTGTGTTACACATGGTTGATGAACCAAAAATCATAAACCTTCTATAAATCATACAAATTGTTTTTAAAAATTTGAATTACTGATATAAAAATGATTTATGAATGTTAGAGAATATTTCTATATGGTTTCATTGAATATTGGTCATCTAAAATGATGTTTTTGAAAATTGGATCGAGTTTGAAGATAACTAGTTGCAGAACGGTCAACCGCCACGTGGATCGATCGATCGACGAGCAACCAGTTGATGTTCCTGAACGTTACCAAGAACAGTTGACCACCGAGGTAACAATCGACCGTCCAACAGTAACGGTTGACCGTCACGAGCCAATCTAGTGCTGGAAAACCCAATTTCTGAGCTGTAAAATTCTATTTTTGATATCATTCGACAATAATCATGATGAATATTATTTCCAAACTAAATATAATGTTTTGATAAATTCAAGAACCTGACTTGATGCATGACGATAAACTAGGGTGTTAGAAATCGATGCTAGGTTGCTGTTTGTTATTAAATATCATGATGATTGTTATTGATTGTTGATTATGATGATTGAACCTTGATTAAAAAAATATTCTGATTAAATGATGATTATGAATGATTAAGGCTATCTATAAGAACTCTAAGATATACCCCATGTGACCAATTTGGTTAGGCCTTGTAGATAAGATGTCCGGTGGCTCGAGTTAAAACGTACGTACGGGATCCACAAACCAAACTTTAGTATCCACTCGTTTGAGGTACCATCCAACCCAACGGTGAGCAGACCACTATTCGGTTTTGAGTGTGACCTATAAGACTTATATGATAGGTCATCAATTCGTGCGTTCCTTAAACTAAATATAATTTAAGAGCCCAATTATCCACATATATTAGCCTTAGACTAAGAATAATTGAATCGCATTGTTATGATTTGACCCTAGACTAAAAATAGTTTAAGAGCATTGTTATAATTTGGCCCTAGACTATGAATAGTTTAAGAGTACTGTTGATATTACGAATATTGAATATTTAGACTGAACATTATGTGCATGATAACAAATGAGTTGGTTATGGATTGTGATTCTAGTTATGTGGATGTTCGACAAATTAGATATCTCACTCAGCTTCACTACTGAGCGTGCGCACGATATGTTTTATTGGCTACACGCAGGTAAACAAAATAAGAAATGATGATGTGGATCCTAAAGGCAGTTGGGGATACGATGATGAACGAATGCGTGATTTCCCTGTTCAAATAAATAATTTGAATGAATTGTTTATGTTTTATTGTGATGCTGAAACAATTTACTTAAGATTCCGCATATTCTCATGAACTGCAATGGTGTTTAAAATAACATTTATATGATGAAGTAATATTTTTAAATGTTTGAAATTTCTACGTTACCAAGTTAATATTATAGTCTGATAGGGGCTTCAAACCTGGACGGATTAGGAAATTACAATAATATCTCAAATATGTGCTCCAATGGGAAAGCTAAAAACTATTTAGCTCCCCACTCTATGAAATGTGCTCCATAATGTCTACGTGTGCACAAATATTACATGTCTATGTGTGTCTGTGAAGGCTCTATGTACAAATGAAGTACTCTATTTTGGTGTACTCCTAATATTACCCTAATTGAAAGGCATGCACACCTCATTTACAGATACACGCAAAGAAATCAACGTCTTCACTAAAACTGCTCATTGTGTCATGCTCTATACCTTCACTCTCGAGCTATGGTTTGTCTACTCTATGCCTTCGATCTCGAGAGGCACCTCAGTGATATGAGAAATGCAATACAAGAGAGGCAACTTGCCATTGACATCTATACTATGAATCTATGTAATTAAATTACCTCCATCATGATTGACTAAAGGTGACCTTAGTGTTATTTATATTTCTTAATAAATTACAACATTACCTAGTGCCTCAAAAACTTTCGCCCGTCGGATGGCAAGAAGAGGTCAAATGTATACAACCCGATCTTTATGTTCAAAACATAAAATGACAATTTCCAGATGACCCACGATCAATGTTGTAAACAACATTAAAGATTGTAATCGTGCTGAAAATCACATTGACTCTCTAGCATGACTAACAAATCCAACAAAGTGTGAATTCTCTCCTATTTTTTATGAGTTTACAAGTAGTTTTTTTTTCAATTACCAAAAACTTAACTTTTATGTAGGTGGAATGTGGATCTTCTCCCTGAAAGCCCATATTACCAAATGAGGTTATCCAATGAACTGGGCTGCCAGCACCAAATCATGCCGGTCCAAATCTGACCTTCCCAGTGGGGAGCCTTCCGCCCGCTTCCATCGAACATTGAATCAGACTTTTCTGCTTTCTCCTTTCTACAAGAAGCACGGCCCCAGCCCCCCTCACCTCTTCATATGCTCTCCACACGCCTTCGTCTCCATTTCATTGCCCGATCTCTGCTCATTTTCGTCCATAGATATACACAAAGCGTACACAATCACGCAGTCAGATGAATCACTGCTCGCTCTTGCGCATCTCCTCCGCCTCCCTGTGCCGGCCCAACAGGCTCTTCCCTTCGTCAGCGTTCTCTCCGTGCCGGCCTTCTGCTGCTGCCGCTTTCTACCAGCGCCAGTTTCGGCCTCTGAGTTTCGCTTCCACTTTTAGGTCGCTGCGTTGCTCGGCGCCGCGGTTGAGCCAAGGCGGTGATTGGAAATCGCCTGTTGGCCTCGCATCTCAGATCAGAACCGCAGCTCCCGTTTTCACCGAGTTCCGTCGGAAGATTGCTTCCATGGGTACTTTTGTCTTTTCTGCGTTTTTATTTACTCCGTTTTATTGTACATTAATTTGATTGTTCATTTCGGAGTGCATGCTTTTTGTATCTCGATTTGATGGATTTTTTAATAATTAAATAAATAAAATGAATACATTTTCAATGTTAAATGCAGCATGATGTGTTTTTTATTATTATTATATTGGCTGCTGATATTTTCTCTTATCCCAGTAAAATCTTAATCACTGTATATTTCTATGTATGTCGTAATTGCCTGGAATTATTATATTTCCAGGACAGTTGATTTTTAGTGCGGTTGAAACTTGAAATTGCTGTTTGAAATTTGGTTAGACTAAAAATGATCACAAATCTTACACCGTGTGTTAATGGCATCAGCATCTGTGAATCCATACAAAGGAATCTTTACCAGTCTTCCCAAGCCAGGAGGTGGAGAATTCGGAAAGTTCTATAGTTTGCCAGCTCTCAATGATCCAAGGATTGGTAATTTTCAATAGCTTAATTATTTACGGCGTTGAATCCTTTGATGAAATAGCTGTTTAGCTCATTGAACCGTGATCAGCGACTTCATTTATAGTTTAGGCTCTAGTATTAATTTACTTGTTTGCTTCCTTTAAGTTAATTTTTTAAAGTATGGAAAAAGGCGATGGTCACTCATGAGTTATCCCTATGTCTTCCTGCCTAGTTGCACTCAGTTTTTCTTCTCTCTGGCTAGGATCAAAGTTATTCCGCCAATTTTTACATCAGTAAATTTTCATACCTTTTTGCATTACTTAAGCATCTGTTGAGATTCATTTAACATGGCATGCCAGTTTGAGGTCAATTTGAATGGCAGCTCTAAAAAAAATGGGCCACAAGGAAAATATAGATTGGTTACTTATTAGAATCTCAACATCCAAAAGGATAGAGGACTATGTCACAGTTAAGGTACATTGGCTAAAATGTAGGACCACCTATCAGTTGAAATTGAATGTTATTGTAAAAGGTTTCCATTTGGCGAGCTATGTTGTATGATTCTGAGTGCTGTGCGATGATGAAGGCATTAAAGCTAAAGTTGGAAGTTGCAGAAATGAGTATGTTGTGGTAGAGTTGTCGTCATATGGTTCGTACCTTGATAGTCAGAATGTCGAATCCAAATGAGGTGTTCTGTTCAAAGTTAGAACCTAGAAGAAGTACAATTACGTATCAACTATAGAAGGCAATTGTTTGATCATGTCCATTGTGAAGACAGTCTCAAGACACAATTACACTAGTTAGGACATGAACTAGTCCGTTGTTTGATCATGTCCTTAAACCTCTTTAAGGACATGAACTTTGGAAGAAGTTCTTGGATACAACATATTAGAGTTGTAGAGTCATCGTTGGATGTTCTCTCACAAATAACATCTCTACTTATTGGGGTAGAGGTAAGATGTGCATACAACTTGTCCCCCCGTTCCTATTCTTGAGCGCGATATACTGGGCCAATGTGTCTTCTTGGTTTGGTTTATAGCGGGGATTCTTATTAATATAATATCAGGATTGCCTGGTTTCTAAAGCACTCTATTTCAAGCTAGAACTAGGAGCTTTTTCTGATGTTTTTTTAATACATTTTTTTGTTCTTATTTTCAAGGTTGATATAAATATCAAATAAAATTATGTGAAAAGAATAGATTCTCGTATTCTATTTTTAAATTCTAACTAGAACTTTTTGCTTTCATGTGTATGAAGATAAGCTGCCTTACTCAATCAGGATCCTTCTGGAATCTGCCATTCGCAATTGTGACAACTTTCAAGTGACCAAGGAAGATGTTGAGAAAATTATTGACTGGAAAAACACTGCTCCTAAGCTAGTGGAAATACCCTTTAAGCCGGCTCGAGTCTTATTACAAGTGCTATTTTTTGACTTCAGTCTTCCTCGCTTAAAATTGTTGATATATCATGAGAATGCTTTTTTACATCATTTTGTTTTTTTCTTGCTAGGATTTTACTGGTGTCCCGGCAGTTGTAGACCTTGCATGTATGCGTGATGCCATGAATAGGCTAGGGAGTGATTCTAACAAGATCAACCCTTTGGTAAGCATTAACTTTAATTCATATGCCAATATATCTCTAATTGTTGAATAGACTCTATGTTTGTGAATGTATATGCACACAGTATAAAATTGTTTTGCAAATATTCAGTATCATGGTATTAACGAGCTTGGCAAGATGCAGTCAAGTATCATGAAATAATTGAAAACAAAAAATATCCATTCCGGTTGATTGTGATAAATTTGCATGCTTATATTGCAACATTATTTATGGTGCATTACAATTCACATTGCAAATATATATGGAGTATCAAGAGATTATGAAGTTTGTGCAATGTCAATACGTAAAATTTTGGCATCATGCAAGGTGAAGGATGTTCTAAGAACACTTTATACAATGATACAGTCTGCACCGACTTTGCAATACCTGTATACTGCACCCCACTATGTTTCACTCCCCTGTCCTCAACCTGTTACACAAATGCAGGTTCCAGTGGATCTTGTTATTGATCACTCAGTTCAAGTGGATGTTACAAGGTCAGAAAATGCTGTTAAGGCTAATATGGAGCTTGAGTTCCAAAGGAACAAGGAGAGATTTGCTTTCCTAAAATGGGGTTCTAATGCTTTCCGTAATATGCTTGTTGTCCCTCCTGGTTCTGGAATTGTCCACCAGGTACCAGAGTTTAAAGCTTTAAAGCCTAGGTGTAACTTTTTCATGTTTTTATTTGTCATTTTTTGAATTTTGCAAACCATGCATTATTGGGCACAGACTATCTTTCATCTGTTGATGGTCACTTAGTCATGCTGTTGTCTTGGTTTCAGATCTGAACAGTGTTTTAGTTCTTGGTTTGAGAAAAAATATAAACCTTGGGAGGGAAGGTTCCACTAACCTCTGCCCTCATAGGCTATATTTTTATTTATTTATTTATTTATGTACCGGAATAATGTTGTAACAGTAATGGTTCAAATCAATCCAGGGCCAAGTCTATCTTTATTTATTTATTTATTTATTTTTGTACTGGAATAATGTTGTAACAGTAATGGTTCAAATCAATCCAGGGCCAAGTCTATGATCATACTAAAGCATCACACTTGTGTCCCTTTATGGTTTCCATTTCCTTATACAACAATTTAGATGCTATTTTAGGAGTTGGCATTTGACAATGGTACTATGTGCAGGTGAATCTTGAGTATCTTGGACGAGTTGTCTTTAACACTGATGGTGTTCTCTATCCCGATAGTGTGGTTGGAACAGATTCCCATACAACCATGATTGATGGACTAGGAGTTGCTGGCTGGGGTGTTGGAGGAATTGAAGCTGAAGCAGCTATGCTTGGTCAGGTAATTTAGCTATTAGTTCACTCCGTGGGTGCCCTCATCTCTTTAAACATTGCTGCATTGCCACTGGAGTTTTCATCAGGAACATAAGTTTTTGCATTATTGCTTTGTGCACCTATTTTCTCTTTACATAAAAAAATGTTTGGTGATTAAGTGTGCCTTTTTGTCTTATTGAAATTCAAATGATCCAAAATTGTTCATCCGTTCTTAGTTAGCATTTTTCAAAACTTTTCCATTTCCAATTTGTGGTGGGTGGCTTTATATTTCACAAGTGTCAAATGTTATTGACTGTAGTCTAGTTAAAATTATACAAAGGTTACTTCCAAATAGACTTCTAAACTAGCTTCCATCCTAAAAGAACTCAAGCAGTTCAAGGTTTTTTGCATTCTCTTTGAGTACAACTCTTGTGGGAGGCGATATGGTTTAATTTGTCGAATATTATAAAATTGGTCAATCCATATCCACCATCTATCTGCGGCTGCTCCATCTCTTTAACAATCAGTTCACTTTGTGGTTGCGCCCATGTCTTTAAACATTGATGCATTACCACTGCAATTTTCATCAGAAACTGAATTTTTTTGTATTGTTCCTTTGTACACCTATTTTTCTTCACCTAAAAAAATGAATAGTGATCAGGTGTGCTTTTTTTTTTGTCTTATTTAAGTTCAAATGATCTAAAATGTTTTGTCCATTCTTAGTTAGCAATTTTCAAAACGTTTCCCTTTCCATTTTGTGTTGGGTGAGTATATATTTCATAAGTGTGATTGCTATCGTAGTATCATGGGCTCGACTGCTTAGTGGTCAAACTGTTTCCCATTTGCATACTTCTGCTGCCAATTCGACTACCCCTGTCACTTTATCTTTCTATATTAACGTATCTCGAGATGCGTCTAATTGTTATGGAGCGTAGTCTAGTTAAAAGTCTTCAGATTCATTGCCTTAATTTTCTTGTGCCATTGTCTGCACACTGACAGCCAATGAGTATGGTATTGCCTGGAGTTGTTGGTTTCAAGTTATCAGGACACTTACGGGATGGTGTAACAGCAACAGACTTGGTTTTAACTGTCACTCAAATGCTTAGGAAGCATGGTGTTGTTGGAAAGTTTGTTGAATTCCATGGTAACATTTCACCCTTTATGAATTGACCAAGCCTTCTTAAAATGGAAGCTCACATGATGTTTATTTGTTTCAGGTGATGGTGTGGGTAAATTATCGTTGGCTGATAGAGCAACCATTGCTAACATGTCTCCTGAATATGGTGCCACAATGGGATTTTTCCCTGTAGACAATGTGACCTTGCAGTACCTTAAACTGACTGGGAGAAGTGATGAAACAGTAGGTTTTTCAGTCAGTTGTAATGCATTATAATATTACTATGTTGCATGGGCATTCTAGATATATGCTAAGTTCAACTTTGAAATTTAGGTGGCGATGATTGAAGCATATCTTCGTGCAAATAACATGTTTGTTGATTATAATGAGGTACTCTTCAGTCCTCACCTTTGAAAGCATTTCAAGAGTTGAGTTCCTCTTCTTTGTTTGTACAATGTCTAAAAATTTGTATTTCATATTTTAATTTCAGCCTCAACAAGAAAGAGAGTACTCATCTTCCTTGCAACTAGACCTTGCAGACGTGGAACCATGCTTGTCAGGTCCAAAGAGGTATTTCATCTGGTATCTGAGAACAATCAAATTTCATAGTATATATTTATATCCAAGGTTATCACTGATATTCTGTTTGTCATTGTGTCAGACCACATGATCGTGTGGCACTTAAAGATATGAAATCTGACTGGCACGCTTGCCTTGATAACAAAGTGGGATTTAAGGTAATTGTCATTCTTGGCAAGCTTATGAAATACAATTATTAGCCCTAATTAGTAATTACTACGGCAAGAATGCCATTAATTTTGTAAGTAATAGTGCTCAGTCCATAGTTACTAAGACACCTTTTTTTAAAATCTTCACATGTGTTTTTGAAGGAATATTTTTCAAACCGGTTCCATTTGACATCAAGAAGTTTTTAGGGCTCTTAGAAGTATTAACAAACTGTAATTCCAATACAGGGATTTGCTGTGCCAAAGGATGCACAAGAAAAGGTGGCAAAATTTTCCTTTAACGGGCAACCTGCAGAGCTCAAGCATGGTAGTGTTGTGATTGCTGCTATAACAAGCTGCACAAATACATCAAATCCTAGTGTTATGCTTGGAGCAGGGCTTGTTGCTAAAAAGGCTGCTGAGCTGGGCCTTCTGGTATGTTTTGAATTGTAAACAATTTTAGTCACTTCAGCACCGTGCCTTTCTCTTCTTATTTTATCCTCTTTTTCTATTCACCGTTACAGGTAAAGCCATGGATTAAGACAAGCCTTGCCCCAGGATCTGGGGTTGTAACAAAATATTTGCTTCAGAGGTACTGCATCCATTTTCGGAAGAAAACAGTTTCACTTATGCAGCTATGCCTCCTATTCCTAACATTATCTGTTTGTATTTTTACACAGTGGACTGCAGAAATATTTGAATGAACAAGGGTTCCACATTGTTGGATATGGTTGCACAACTTGCATTGGCAATTCTGGCGATCTGGATGAGACAGTTGCTTCTGCAATATCAGAAAATGGTATGGAGTTATTTCCCATTTGGTATCTTTAATCTGGCTGTGCTGCTTTGCTTTTCAGCAAAATAAGTAGCCTTTATTTGGCTGAAATTGATTTACCAACAATTTCCCTTCATAAAATTCAGCTATTTAGGCAATTAAGCCAAATAACCCCTACCAAAGAGATACTTGCTTTTCTACATTCAAACAAGTAGATGCTGCTGTGCAAAAGTGTCTGTTGTCTTCACCATTGTGTGTTCTAATCAAAATTTTCTGTGTTCTTTAGATATTGTTGCAGCTGCCGTTCTTTCAGGAAATCGGAATTTTGAAGGCCGTGTTCATGCCTTGACACGTGCCAATTACCTTGCTTCACCTCCTTTAGTGGTTGCCTATGCCCTTGCTGGCACGGTTAGTCTATAGTTTCTGTTGGTTCATGGTGTTAATTATATTTCTCTTTGTTGTTTTTAAATCTTCCATGGTATCATGGTAGTAAGGGATTGTAAAAACGATTTTATATGCCTAAGGGATCAGATCGCTCAGCCTGACGCTTTTGTATAACCAACATTATGTACTGCATTTTGTTACAGTTAGGCCAATGCATTCCAGGGCCACTTATTACTACTCCTTAAAATCTACTGGAAAGGCATATGCACAAAAGATTGGAGCTACCTAATTTGTGATATTGTTTTGGCCTTTAATTTGGGTGCTGATGTGCCACTCATTTACATTACTCATCCCAAAAAGTCTAGTGTGGTCAAGCTACTTCTTTCAAATTTTCAGAGTATATTTATATTTTTAGCATTTGTTTGTTGATTTGGAACCATATTCACTCAATTTGGCACGAGATCTCTAGTGCAGTTTACTTTTTCAATGTGTATAGTGTTGGAAGCAATTTTTGAATCACAAACCTTCGAATTGTCCAATAAATGAGATATGCTTCTCTTATATTTCTAATTTCATACCGTACAGGTTGATATTGACTTTGAGAAAGATCCAATTGGGGTAGGGAAGGATGGTAAGGATGTGTATTTCAGAGATATCTGGCCAACAAAAGAAGAAGTTGCCGAGGTATGCTTCTCTCCACTATTACCATATTTCTTTTTTGTATGAGCTGTCTTCAGTGATAGAGACAAATGAGATGTGACATTGTCCATTTGTATCACAGGCTGTCCAATCCAGTGTGTTGCCTGACATGTTCAAGAGCACATATGAAGCCATCACCAAGGGTAACCCTATGTGGAATCAATTATCCGTTCCAGAATCGAAGCTGTACTCATGGGATTCCCATTCTACATACATCCACGAACCGCCATATTTCAAAGGAATGACTATGGATCCCCCGGGTCCCCATGGTGTGAAGGATGCTTATTGCCTCTTGAACTTTGGTGATAGCATCACGACAGATCATATCTCACCGGCTGGGAGCATTCACAAGGATAGTCCGGCTGCTAAGTTCCTCCTTGAAAGAGGTGTCGATCGCAAGGACTTCAACTCGTATGGAAGCCGTCGGGGTAATGATGAAATTATGGCGAGGGGAACCTTTGCCAATATCCGCCTCGTGAACAAGCTGCTGAATGGTGAAGTTGGGCCAAAGACTGTTCATGTTCCCACCGGAGAGAAGCTTTCTGTTTTTGATGCTGCGATGGTAGGAGTTGAATGCATGTTCTTGGGGGAGTGGTTTTACTTGATCTTGTTGTATATTATCAATTGCCTAAAAATATGTTGTTTTCCAGAAATACAAGTCTGAAGGAAAGGACACAATAATCTTGGCAGGAGCTGAGTATGGAAGTGGCAGTTCTAGAGATTGGGCTGCCAAGGGACCAATGTTGTTGGTTAGTTTTCCATACTACCAGTTTTGACTAAAATCAAAGCTCCATTTGGGAGCCATTTTTTGGTTTATTTGGCTAAATAGCTGAGCTTTCTACATGCTTATTTTGCCCATCATCAAAAGGGGCCCATCATCATAAGCCCCCCCAAAATATTCCTAGTTACATGCTATTTTCTGTTTAAAAAATTATTTTCAATCTTTGGATTTCATTGGTTATCACCTAAAATATCAGAATTTATACTTAACTTTTTTTTTCTCCCACGCGAGGCAAGAATGCATTGTCATCTTCTCCATTATTTGTTTTGTTTGCTTCAATTAAATCAATCTCCATTGTATTGTTCTCTGTACGGTTACATCTCCAATGTGAAGTACTAGAATAAGCTTGACATATTAATTGATCAAGTTGCTCATTTTAAAATTGCAACTATTTTTGTATACTATGTTATCCAAAAACACAATTATTGAAATTTTTTATCTAAATAGGGCCCTATTATTTTATTTGACATAGGGCCCACAAAATAACAGTGGCAACATTGGGTCAAGAACAAGCATTTTCTCAATTCAAGCCCGAAACGGCTTGATTTCTATGCCAACTTTAGCAGAAATTGATGATACTATATCATTTATTTAACTCTTTGTGTAATAGGATCCTTTCAGAATTTTTCGGAGTCACAAATGTTTTTCCTTGGAGAAGATTCAACTCCTTTCTAAATAAGTTTTGAGAAACAGGCCCTAAGATGTGTGTGTGAACTGTGAAGCATATATGTACTCTAAACATATTGGAATGAATATATGATGTTGATTATATCAGGGAGTAAAAGCAGTTATAGCGAAGAGCTTTGAGAGGATTCATCGCAGTAACTTGGTTGGGATGGGAATCATTCCCCTGTGTTTCAAGGCAGGAGAAGATGCCGATTCACTTGGGTTGACCGGACATGAGCGTTACACCATAGATCTTCCCACCAATGAACTTCGCCCCGGTCAGGATGTGACAGTTAGGACTGACAATGGTAAAACTTTCACTTGCACCGTGCGCTTTGACACAGAGGTATTTTCTTTCTCTCTTTCGCATCATCTGTCTTGCTTTGTTTTGTGGCAAAGGAAATTCCGGTCTTGGTTTTGAAAATTCAATTTTCTGTGTCTGTTAACAACAGGTGGAGTTGGCATATTTCGGTCACGGGGGCATTCTTCCTTACGTTATTCGCCAATTGACTCAGCAGTGAGTGATTGCCCCGGTCTTTGTGTTCACAATGCAGTAAGTAGTGCACAGGTGAAATTGTTGGATTCACTAAACTCGAGAGTGGAGAATAAAGGAATATGTCATACGCTCACATTTTGAGCATCGCAATTTTGCACTCAATGCTGGTAGGTAAGTGTAAAATGAATGAATTCTATTGCGGGATTGATTTCAACTCTTCGATTTGGGCATTAGGAATCTCTTTCTGCTCAATGATAGCTGTGTTTTTTCACCTTCTTTTCAAAATAAAGATTACGCAGGCCCTCAAGTTTGGCTTTTACTCAATTCCCTTTAAAAAGATGCCAAAACGACACATTGCCATTTGTGGTTCTCATATTCGCCCCTATGTACAATCTTCTCTATACACCAAGTTTGGCTGTCTGAAGTTTTGGTTGAAAACAAAATGGAAGAGAAAATTAAAGAGAAACTCTTAGGTCCCGTTTGGTACATGAAATTCAAGCTATGGAATTGGAATTGGAGACTTCAATTCCTATTTTGGTGTTTGGTAGCACACAAATTATGTGGATTTTGAATTGATATTGCAAAAAATGAATTGAAATTGACAGAATTTAATTCTATGGAATTGAATTTCATGTAATTTTAATTCTAATTCAATTCCAATTCCTTATACCTAATGGACCCTTAGGCATTTTCTCTTGGAAGAAAAAAAAGGAAGAGAAGAGAAAAGGGTGGTGCGAATCACACATTATGTTTCCCTCCACACTTTTTCTTTTCAGTTGTGTTTGGTTGGGGTAAATATTTTTTTTTGAAGAATATTTTTCAAAGGAAAATAATTCCAAGGAAAATTATTCTTCAATCATATAATCTATTGTTTGGTAGGAAAATATTTTCCTTCTACTAATGTCACCAAATAACAATAATTACTCTTTAATTTTTAATTTTCTCATTTCTTCTTTTTCCTGTCATTCTGTTGTCTCTCACCATCCAACAAAAAGCGTTCTAGAAACTATGGGATGGTTGCCTTTTAAATTTGGGTATGTTTAATCTTCTCCTGTCTAAAAAATGTCAATATGCTAAATGAAGTGAATTTTTAAGTTTTTTTAATTATTTATAGATTGATATAAAATAAAACTTACATATTTTTAAACTATGTCAAAAGTTATATAAATAAACATAACAAGAATATTATATTTTATTGAATAATTAATGAAGATGTATAAATTAACATAAGTTTTTGTGATTTTTGAATGACGAAGTGTAATGCTAGTTTTTGGGACAGAGGGGCATTAATTTTAACTTTTGTTCGTAATTCTTTGGTGAAGTTTTCACTTTTCAAGGGCAATCTATATAATTAAATTAAAATTTGCTTGAAAGTACAGAGTATATAACACTTATTTCAAATGTTTTTTTCTTGCAAATGGAGTTTCAAACTAGCTTCCATCCTAAAAGCAGGTCAAGGTCTTTGTGCATTTTCCTTGAGTGCGACTCAGCTGACTCTTGTGTGGGTGGGGGTATGGTTTAATTTTTTAAATATTATGAAATTGGTCAAAATGCTCCTTATCAGCATCCATAAGGAGTGTCAATCACTTCAAACTTATATTTTTATTAGTTTCAAAATAAAGTTCACCCTTTACTTTTTCCTTATTTTGGCTGGATCAAATATATAGAAGGAATAGTTTGAAGATCTTTTTCCGACGGAGGGTGTAGTTTTTAGTCATTTGATATTTCTTTTAACAAAAACTCGGGAAGCCACCCCAAATCCCGTCTCTCAAAACTTAGAGTCTGGCTCTGCCATTGGTTTGCAACACAACATATGAATCATTGCTCGCCCTTGTGCTCCTCTTCAATTGTGTTTTCCCAAATTAGTTTCTAAGATTAACCTATTACAGAGATAGTACTCGTTAATTGAAAATAATGCTCAGTTTAGTCCCCTCAATTAATGGGTGTTACAACAACTTTAAAATGATATTAAAACTTATACTATATTCCCAAAATGCTCATTTGTAGTTGAATATTTTTTTAAATTGCTCAATTTTTGAACTTAAAACTCATTAAATATGAAAATCGAACCAATTGTCTTCTCTTTTAATTGCTTTATGATGTTTGGGTAAAATCGGGACACCATGTTTATGATTTTTAATTTCGAAAATGGGCTAATTTGGAAAAAAATTCAATCAGAGATGACCATTTTAGAAGGTTAGTATAAATTTTAATGTCGTTTTGATAGTCGTTAGTCGATGGAACTAAATTAGACATTAATTTTAATTAACGAGTATTATCTCGATAATTAATTCATCTTATGGAGTAATTTGAAAAATCACATAGTTATTAAGTACTTCATATTTTTTTAGGAATTCACTCAATCAACAAACTATGGGGTGCGTTAAGAACAAATCGGATTAGGGGGTTTATTGCGATATTTAGGGAAGAAAAAATAATCAATTTTACGAACGAAACATGATACTTCAAACAAAGTGTTGTATCATTTGTTGTAAACCTTTTTGTTGTAAGATGGCCTCTATCTCATCCCAAAGACTTGTATTTCACACTTGGACTAAGGATCCATTCTGCAGTATTTATATTTTCTACTTATTATTTATTCTTATTAAAATTAGATTAGATCTATTTAGATCATATCAAATGTAATCAGATCAGATCTAATCAGTTCAAATCAGATCTGATTAGATCTAACTAGATCATATCAGATTAGATCCAATCAGATCATATCCAATCAAATTCAATCGGATTAAATAAGGTGAAAGAATAATAAAAATAATATTAAATTTTTTTCAAGGATTAAATAATAATTTACTATTTGATGAAATCAGATTACTTTATTTAAAGCTACACACACGTAAATATTAATTAATATTATAAATTTAAATATTATTATCATTATTACTACTACTATTCTGCAATACTTGTTTGTAAAATATTGAAAATATACCAAAACAGAAGTTTCATGTTTTATTTCTGAAATATGAGTTAAAATATTTACATTACCAATCATGACCATGTATATTATCAAAAAGTAGAATAAATTACTCATGTACTATGCTGTATAACCTATATTATCACAATACAAACTCTTATTAAAAAAATAAAAATATGAAACTCCTATTTTAATACTTTATCTATGTTTTACTCCTATTTATGGTGATTTCTTAATCTTTACACTAAAAATAGCTCATTTTAAAACTAGAGCATGTTAAAATGTACACAAGGGGAATTTAGAACGCAAGTGATACAATGCAACATAATATAATAAAAGAAATTTGGGATTCCATTAGTATAGGTGAAGGGAATTTTAACATGTAAGCTTTTAGTGATGTGTAATTTGTAAGATGCAATATATTACGTAGTACATATGATGTAATATACAGAAAGAATGTACTCTCTCCGTTCGGAATTAAACTTTCCAGTTTGACTTTTCTTCATTTTTAATATGTGTTGACTTAGAGTGTAAATTGTCTAAAATGCCCTTGGTATCATTTTCTACTTTGCAGGTCCACAACTTGCCCAACTCCCAATTTCCGCTAGCACTTGCCACAGTCTACTCCTTCGCCGCCCCAACCCCCACTATCACCAGCCCCATTGCCGCCCCTGGCGCGGCTGTAAGTCCATCATCACAATCAGGTCATCCATCTTCGTTACCCCCCCACAACCATCATTCTAGACCCACCATCACCGCTGACCCCGAGCACCATCGCCACAGCTTCACCGTCACCGCCAACCCCCACCACCATCGATTGAGCCCCGCCGTCATCACCGTCAACCCTACCATCGCTCGAGCTGCCACCAGGGAGAAATAGAAAAGAAGCGAATGGGAGAAAGAGGAGAAGGAGATGATGATGATGTTGATAATAATGGCATAGATCTGCATAGATCTACTGCAGATCTGATGCAAAGATTTACTGCAGATCTGAGAAGAACACCCTACATATCATATCATATCATATCTTTTTATTAATAATGTATTCATCACATCCTACATTTACCAATTACATCAAGGGTATTTTGAAAAATTAACACAAAATATCTTTCTTTTAAATGTTTTAAAAATCAAAACGAAAACATCTTTATGAGATGAAGGAAATACCAAAGTAACATATTGGCGCATAGATATTAGATTTTTTTTTAATTTTTTTAAATTTAATTTCATGTATACCTATATATGTAACTTTGTAATTTTCTAAATTTCATTATGCTAAATTAGAACTTTTATTTAGGAAAGGAAGGAGTATAAACAACTTCCTCCCTCCCTAAAAACATGGGATATGATGTTTAAAATTTGAGAGATTTAAGGAGAGTATATTTTGGTATTAAATTTCTAAAAATATTATTGGATGTGATAGATAAAAGTAGGATTTTTTTGGTAGATTAATATGAATAGATATGATCGATGTGATATGTAACGTAGGTTAAGAATTAGTAGGGTAAAAGTGACTTTTTAATAGAAATGAGAAGAGTTTTTTGGGAGAGATGAAAAAAGAAAAGAGAAAAGTTCTCAGAGACGGAAGGAGTATATAAAATGATCCAAATATATACTGTACTTCCTTCATCTTGCAAAATATTTCTTGTTTTAATTTTTGAAAAGAGAAATTGTAGAAATTTGACTAAGGTAAAAGTGTAAAACGAAAACCTTTAAAAAAAGGTAATGGTGTCCATTTAGACTAAAGTGAAATATTTTATGCATGAGACATATAAGACGAGACATACTTGTAGATTTGGGCCGGGGAGGAGACGTACGGTGGATCAAATGACACCTCCTCAAGAAGAAGAGTTTTTTTGTAACAAGGAAAATACGTGCATTACATGCAGCGATGAGACAGCATGCAGGTACGTGGCATATACTTAGATGAGCTGATCCATTTAATTAATTTACGTGTTTGTTACTACTACGTACTCATCTCAAAACCGGCATTATTTAAATTTTTCACACAAACCCTAATTTCTTTCTGTATATATATATATATACAAACCTAACATGCATTCATCTACTATATATACTTCCATTCTAACAATAAGCATTTATACATCTCATCTAAAAACCTAAACTATACCAAGCCAGAAGGAGAAATCAAAATGAAGCTGTCTTCATCATCTTCAACACTTGTTATTGCTATGGTTCTGGCCATGTTGCTGACGGCAACATTAGCCCAAAACTGTGGATCCCAAGTCGGCGGGAGGACATGCGCCGGAAACCATTGTTGCAGCCGCTGGGGGTATTGTGGCCTTACATGTGCCCACTGTGGAGGTGGGTGTCAAAGCAACTGCCACCCCGACTGCGGTAGTGCTCCCGTCAAGTTTGACAACGAAACCGACGTCGTCGTTAATGCCAAACCTTGATTTGGATGGCGCGCGGTTCCGATATCATTAAGATCAAACAACGTATGTACCGTGCATAAGTTTGTTCTTATAAGTTTATGCCAATAATAAATTGTGACATACACAGATCGAGACACTAGTATAGTATACCATGTGATCGATTGTGTATGTTATGAGAGAATAATAAAGTACTGGTTTGTGTGTGCAAAATATAATTGCACATCACCTTATGAGTTTTACTTGTATGATATGTTGTGACAGACGAGAGTTTTTTTTTACTTTGAATAATATCAATGTTGTGTTGATTTATTATTAGAATATACTCTTTATGCTTGAAAATAAACCCAAAAATGTCACAACATATCATACAAGTGATCGATAGGTGATTGTGATAATTGTGATTGTGATAGATAGGGAAAAAATTAATGGAGGTAAAAATGATTTTTTTACTAGAAATGAAAAAAGTTTTTGGGACGAAACAAAAAAAGAGAAATTTCGGGAGACTGAGGGAGTTGTACGTAAATATTAAATAAAAAATACTCCCTCCGTCCCAAAAAGAATTGTTACGTTTCGTTTTTTGCGCATCACTTAAAATACTTTTATATCGTCTCAAATGCCAAAAAAACTTTCAAAACAATTTCATCTTATAATAAAGAGTAAAATATGGTAAATTTTAGAATTTTTAGATGTGAGTAGCCGTGCTTTTTGTGATGCGCAAAAAAATGAAATGTAACATTCTTTTTGGGACGGAGGGAGTAGTTCACCTCTAATCAATTACATTAAACTCAAAACGTTTTATTTGTCCATATATATTAGGGTTGGACCCCTTAACTTATTTCGAATAAACCAAATATTTTTGTAAATTATGCAATTACATTAATGACTATTATTAAATTAAACACTATGAAACACCATTTAATTTTTTAAAGGAGTTATTGGGAGCTATTGTTATTTGTTAGCATTGTAATATTGCTTTTATTTTTAGTTTTTTCAGTTTTTAAAAATCAGATTTCATGTGTTGCTCGCACATCAATTTAATTAACTTTTTCATTTTTGAGCTTTTCATCACAACATCCGTAGTAGTAAAGATGAATAAAGAGATAAAATTGTAAAAATAATAAAGAACACTATATTGATTGAATGGATACGAGAGGAATACAAAGTATGTATTTATAGATGGAGGAATATATTCTAGAATCTTCCACATTAACGTCCACATTAATGGCTAATTATATAAGGTAATATTATATAATAATTACCTTAACTATAATATGTAACAACCATAATTAAAATATACTCCGTATAATATTAAATATATTAAATAATTGATATATTTAACATGCTCCCAACGTCCTGAACAGTGAGGATTGAACGCCGATTTTAAATTGAATGATAACCAAAATCGTGATTAGAAACTAGAGATATATCTCCGGCTAGAGCAGGCATTTGGACCATAAGAGAAGAAGAAAGATTGTTGGGAAAGAAATGTGCCTGCTTTAAGGAGGATGAAAGAAGAGCCGTTGCGGACAGATTCATGCCGCTACCATCGAAGAAAGGAGAAGATTAACGTGCGCTGGTATCGTGCGCGTCTGGGTTAGAGAAGAAACACAAAAAAAGAAGTATTGCCGGAGATGCATGCATGTTGACTGAAGATTTGCTGACTAAGTAGGTTGAGGTGATGATATGATCTAAAATCAGGAAGCGGTGGTGATGGATGGATCCGAAGCCGGATGGATGAGTATGACAGATCATTATGGATGAACCAGTGGGAGTGAGGCCATCGTCGCTAGATAAATCACTGGCAACGGCGGTAGAGGAAGCAGAATGGATTAGGTCAATAAGAGCAATGACTTCGATACCATGTAAAAATAATAAAGAACGCTATATTGATTGAATGAATAAGAGAGGAATACAAAGTATGTTATTATAAGCAGAGGAATATATTCTAGAATTCTCCACATTAATGACTAATTATATAAGGTAATATTATATAATAATAATAATAACTCTAACTATATATAATAGGTAACAACCATAATTAAAATATATAATATTCAATATATTAAATAATTGATATATTTAACAAAAATAATACCTCAAAAAAATATACTCCGTATTAAATACTCTATTATATTACAATGTACTAGCTTGTAAGAGCCTGTTCTTTAGAGCTTGAACTCTTAACTTCCAGTTCCTTCCAGTTTTTTTAGTATCTTCCCGTTCCTTCTAATTTCTTCCAACTATATTTATTTTCTTCAAATTCTTTCTACTTTCTGACAAATCACTCTAAAAAATATATTATTATTACTACAACTATTAGAAAAAATGACTAATGTAGGAGTAAAACATAAAAGAATGAAAAAAAATTCTATGTCTTTATTCCAAAAGTAGAGTTACAATGAAAATAAATTGTCAATAATTAAATAAAAATAGGTTTGATTACATTATGTGATATGTCGTATATTTAAAACAAAATCTTGTAATATATAAAATATATTACAAATATATTATTTTATAATAAATGCAACATAGCCATAATAACTCTTACGTATTTAACATTTTCATATTTATGCTAATTTTATATTCTAATTAATTTTTTTAAACTAGCTTTTTACATATATATGAAAAATAATAATATGTTTTCTTATCTTAAAGGTAATCATTAAGATAACGTGATGACACCACCACCAACAACAACAACCACAACAACAACAACAACATAAATAATAATAATAATAATAATAATAATAACAACAACAACAACAACAACAATAATAATAATTTATAACAACAAGATTGGGAATGAGAATAATATAAAACCACACATAAAAAATTTGTAAAACTTTTTTTTTGATATTTCCAGTTCCTTCCAGTTCCTTTCAGTTCTTTCAGTTCCTTCCAAATTCTTCCAGTTTTCAGCTCTGTATTTCCAGTCCTAAAGAACACGGTCTAAGTGGAGTTGGTATATGGTACATCACGGTAGTAATCATTTTAAAATAAAGTAGTACTCATTCTCGTACAAATATAAACATTCATTTCGAAATACGTAGTACTTATTCTAGCAAAAGTAGTACTCATTTTAAAATAAAGAAGTACTCATTTTTACACATTTGTCTAATATAATTATACTCCGGTAATAAATAGCGTAGTGTTCATTCTTAAAAAGAAAATACTCATTCTCAAATAAGGAAATGTTCATTCTGAAATAAAATCTTGTTCAATTTTTTCACAATTAAAAAGTTCCGTACCATCATCAACTTCTTCATCCATACCCTTTTTATTGGATCTTCCTCTATTCGATTCGTTCCTACTCATTTATACTATCTGAGCATGGAGAATTTAAAACCCAAATTTATTCATGTTTGTATTGAATAAGAATATGATAATTCTCATAAGTGCTGGTACTCATTCTCAAATTTGCTAGTACTCATTGTCATATATAATAGTTCTCATATATGTTTTGGGCATTGGATAAAAAGTTTGTAAAATTTACAAAAATATCAGGCTGTACCTAAAGGAAGGTACAGCTGGATGTATCATATAATTTGCAGTCTAAGGGCCTGTTCTTTAGGGCTTGAACTCTTAACTTCCAGTTTCTTCTCGTTCCTTCCAGTTCCTTCCAGTTTCTTCCCGTTCCTTCCAGTTCCTTCCAGTTCCTTCTAGTTCCTTCCAACTTTTTTCATTTTCTTCAAATTCTTTATACTCCTAAACCAATTACTCTAAAAATAATATATTTCAATGTGATTATTATTATTATTATTATTATTACAACTGTTATATTCATAACTGTAGTTTATAAATTTTTTTTCATCTCACTATTTTTACGATTCACACTTATTATTTTTTTTCCAACTTTTTAATATGAATACAACATTTTTTTTGTATATTAGTCTACATGATAAAACAGGAAAATATCAATATGTTAAATTATACTAAAAAATTATGGATAAACTCATAAAAGAGTTACATTGAATGTAAACAAAAATGTTCTATGTCTTAATTCCAAAAATAGGAATTCAATGAAAATAAAATGTCAATCATGAAAGAAACAATAAGTTTGATTATGTGACATGTATGATATTTAAAATAAAATGTTTTAATATATAAATTATAATTACAAATACATTATTTATATTAAATACTGCATAAATAAATTGAGGTGCAATATAACTACATAGCCTATTTAAAATTTAATATTTTTATATTTATGCTAACTTTATATTATAATTATTTTTTGTAAAAGTAGTTTTTTGTATTTAAAAAATAACAATACTTTTTTTATATCTTAAAGACATTTACTAAGATAACGTGATGATGATGATGATTATGATTATGATGATGATGATGATTATGATGATGATGATGATAATAATAATAATAATTTATAACAACAAGAATTTAAAATAAATATTTTTAAATTTTTTTTAGGTTTTCCTGTTTTTTCGAATTTATTCCAGTTCCTTCCAGTTTATTCCAGTTCCTTCCAGTTTTTTTCAGTTCCTTCCAGTTCTTCCAGTTTCATTCAGTTTCTTCCAGTTCCTTCTAGTTTTTTCCAGTTTCTTCCAACATCCAACTCTTTTTTTACAGTCCTAAAGAACATGCCTAAGGGGGTGTTTGTTTTTTCTGCAGGAAAAAGTCTGCAGTCTGCGGACCACTACTGTAGACATCTGCAGGAGAAGTGGTGGACCGAAGGTGTGCGGTCTGCAAGAAGAAGATTGTTTGTTTTTTAATGTCTGTAGACTGCTATATAAATTAATGGTGGTAGTGTACGGTGGTGGTGTATGGACGATTGTGGTGGTGGACGGTGGCGGTGGTGGTGGACGGCGGTGGCGGTGATGGTGGACGGTGGTGATGGTGGTGGACGGTGGTGGTGGTGAAGAGAAGTAAAAGAAAAAAATGGAAAAGATGTTAGAAAATATTAGAAGACATAGGTTAATGTCTTCTCCAAAAAGATGCCAGAAAGACCTTTTAGAGTGAAATGTCTTCCAAAAAACAAACAATCTGCAGAGCTCAACACTTGCGCGCGTCTGCGCGGCGCAAACAAAAGAGGCCAGAAGCTCTCATGTCCAAAAAACAAACGCCTCCTAAGTGTGGTTTTGGATGAGACTATGAGCCAGATAAATCACTCGTTCTTGTTTATCTTTCCACTAGCCTTCTCTTCTTCTTCTTCTTCGTCTTCGTCACTGAGTCATCTCCGTTGCCCGATACAAGCACCTAGTTATGTATATGAATCACTGCTCGTCCTTATGCGCCTCTTCAGCATTCTGCTCTCCTTGCCGGCTCTCCAATTCGGTCCATCCGGGCCAGTCTCGGCAGCTGAGTTTCCCTCCGTCTTCTAACCCTACGGCTCTTCATTTCTCCGCACTTAATTACACCCCTCTCCTGTGTCCTGGATTAATCTCTGCCCCTCCCTGCTCCGCCGTGTCTTCTCGAGCTGGTTCTGTACGTTATTCGCCTTTTACCCCACTAATCGTATGGCTATGGCCTTTATGTTTTCTAATTTATCGGAATGATGTGGTTTGATAATTTATGTTTATTTTTACTTTTCAATGAAGGTTAGATTCTTTGGATCCTGCTATTTCGCGTGATTGATGCTGCATTTTTCTGATTAATGTTGGTTTTACCATGTAATTCCAGAATATAAGTGATGATATGCTTGATGAATTGATTGAAAAATATGGAGAGCTGGTGTTTAAAAGAAATGACAACAAACCTGCGAGTGAGGAGGTTGAGGACGATGCTGTAAGCCTATCGTGTAAGCTTCACACAGTTTTGATTCCACATCCTGAATTTGTGTGTGTGTGTGTGTACAATTCTTTCCCTTCTTTTAGTTGAATTGGCAATATTTGTTGGAAAATTTTGTACCTTTTGATTACAAGACTTGCTCCGATAACGTTTCGATACTTGTAACAACAATCCAGCATAATCCTATGTTGGGATTCCTCCAAGTCCCACACTGGGTGTTTAGGAGTAATTGAACCAAAATATATAGGTTTACCCAACCCCATTAGTATGAGGCCTTTTGGGAGGTGCCCAAAAACAAATCCGTGAGGACTTGGCCCAGAGCGGATAATATCATACTAATGCGGGGTTGGGGTGAGTGCACGCGCAGTCCCAACATGAATACATAACCAGATGTACTCTTCGTGTCATCAAGATCACCTGCATAATCACTATCAGTAAAGCCATAAAGTATTGATTTCTCGCCCTTTTTGTAAAGGAGGCCATATCCAATAGTTCCCTTCAAATACCGAAGTATCCTTTTTGCAGCTTGAAAATGCAATTCATCAGGGCAATCCATATACCTGCTAATGAGGCTAACTCCATGCATTATATCAGGTCTTGTTGCTGTCAAATACATTAGACTACCCACAATCTGCTTGAATAAAGTATTGTCTACTTCACTTCTATCAGATTTCTTAGTTAGCTTCAAACCGACCTCAATTGGCGTACTCACTGGATTACAATCCTTCATTTGAAATCTTTCCAGAATTTCTCGTGTGTATTTCTTCTGGGAGATGAATATTCCAGAGGCAGTTTGCTCAACTGCAATGCCGAAAAAGAAATGCATCATACCAAGATCAGACATTTCAAGAAGGTATTAGAGTTAATACACTCAGACATTTGTGGTCCAATAAAGCCATCATCTAATAGAGGTAATAGATATATTATCACTTTCATTGATGGGCAAATATCTAAGGAATTCATGGCATACTGTGAAAAAGAGGGGATCAAAAGACAGTTAACAACATCATTTTCACCTCAGCAAAATGGTGTTAGTGAGCGGAAAAATCGCACTATATTAGACATGGTGCGAAGTCTTCTGTGGAGAAGTTATGTTCCAAAGCGTTTTTGGCCAGAAGCAGTCAATTACCAAAAGAGGACTAAACTAGATGATAAAGCAGAGAAGTGTCTTTCTTGGTGTAAGTGCCCATTCAAAGGCTTACAAGCTTTACAATCCCATAACTAGGAAGATCATTATCAATCGAGATGTGGTTTTCGACGAAGATAGATTCTGGCCATGGGATGAAAATCATGTTGAGCAGCAAATTTCTGTCAACATCGATGAAAATGATGAAGGTGCACAGGAGTACCAATCTGCAGAGAATGACCAGCAAATTCCAGTTAGCTCAAATACTATTCCTGATTCATCCACAACAACTGGAACAGAGCATCCTCAGCGAACTAGAAGAAGACCAGCATGGATGGCTGATTACGAGGTAACTGGGGATGACCAAGGAGAGGATCCACTTACTCATTTTGTATTGTTTTCAGATTGTGAGCCTACTACGTTTGAAGAAGCCGCAAATGATCCAAAATGGCAGAATGCAATGAAAGAGGAGATTGCAGCCATTGAACGGAACAATACATGGGAACTTACTGATCTTCCAGAAGAGCACAAAACAATTGGAGTGAAGTGGGTTTACAAAACCAAAATATATAGGTTTACCCAACCCCATTAGTATGAGGCATTTTGGGAAGTGCCCAAAAACAAATCCGTGAGGGCTTGGCCCAGAGCGGACAATATCATATTAATGCGGGGTTGGGGTGAGGGCACGCGCAGTCCCAACATGTGGTATCAAAGCCTTGATGACCAAGAGGTCACGAGTTCGAAACTCACCGCCATCCAGTTTAAAAAAAATTAAGGTTTCACGTGCAAGGCTCAAAGAGGTCACGCCTGCACGTGAGGGGGCATGTTAGAATATATAACAATCATTCCTGGGCCACATCCACAAGCTTGAGCTTTTGGTTGAGTTAGTTCCTTGACATGGTATCGGAGCCCAGGTTTTTGCGGGCGTGAGGCGGACTGTGTAATGTGGAAAAATCTTGGTGTGACGGTGTAACAATAGGACCAAGACCAAGAAAGAGGATCTGCAGGTGGTGCCTTGTGTCGAAAGTCTTCCCAACGAGATGAGGTCGGGCGGCGTGTCCCGTGAAGTTATAGCCACGGCGGTACAAGATGATTTGGCGGATCAAATGGTGTTGCCCAGCGAAAGGAAAAGATCTGGGGTTTGAGCCTTGTGTTGAAAGTCTTCCCGACAGGAGGTCGGGCGGCACGTCCCGCAAAGAGTGTGCGGCGGTGCAAGATGGTTAGCAGATAAAAGGAAAAATAGATTACCGCTGGAGGGGAGGTCGGAAATTGTGTGGTCCTTGGTTGAGGGGAGGTTTGTTGGGCTTCTGTGGATTTCCTTGTTTCTAGTAAATCAGTTTGTATCCACTTTCTCTGTTTTCACAGCCTATAAATTGGCTTTCCTATGGAATAATATATCATCAAGTTCTTCTCTGGTTCCTCTTGATTTCCTGAGTTCTCCAATTTATATTAGTTTATATTTCTTCTTATTAAGGTTGCTCACAACCTATTTGATAAAAGTTCCCAAAGAAACCCAGTCTACATTTGGTATCGGAGCCCAGGTTCTTGCGGGCGTGAGCAGCGGACTGTGCAGTGTGGAAAATCTCAGTGTGACGGTGTAACAATATGACCAAGACCAAGAAAGAGGATCCGCAGGTGGTGCCTTGTGTCGAAAGTCTTCCCGACGAGAGAAGGTTGGTCGGTGTGTCCCGTGAAGTTATAGTTACGGCAGTACAAGATGATTTGGTAGATCAAATGGTGTAGCCCAGCGAAGGAAATATCTGCGGTTCGAGCCTTGCGTCGAAAGTCTTCCCGACAGGAGGTCGGGCGGCGTGTCCCGCAAAGAGTGTGCGGCGGTGCAAGATGGTTAGCAGATAAAATAAGTGGATTACCCCTGGAGGGGAGGTCGGAAGTTGTGTGGTCCTTGGTTGAGGGGAGGTTTGTTGGGATTCCTCCAAGTCCCACACCGGATGTTTATGAGTAATTGAACCAAAATATATAGGTTTACCCAACCCCATTAGTATGAGGCCTTTTGGAAGGTGCCCAAAAACAAATCCGTGAGGGCTTGGCCCAGAGCAGACAATATCATACTAATGCGGGGTTGGGGTGAGGGCACGCGCAGTCCCAACATCTTAATGGGATTTGGGGGTCAAGATGTACGTAGTCGTACTCCTTTAAAAACAGAGAGGATGTTTTCATTCATTGCTGCAATTACTTCCCAAAGCTTCATGGAGAGTAAGAAGCCATTAAAGTTTCATGTGCCATTTTGATTTAACCTATTATGTGCCCGGATCATTGCCAAAAAAGACTCTGTTAAGCCATGAACATTGTCAATTATAACACTTTGATATTTTCAAACATACAAATGATACAATTTATATCTGGTGTTAGCAATCTTAGCATTATGTCCCTTCTGTCTATTTCAAATTTGTTTTGCCTTTTTATTTTATTTTATTAGGAAGTTTATGTTTCAGATGAGCGGACATGAAATCCATGAATAATTGATGTTTGATGACATTGTTTTGATGTCATTGTTCAGTTGCTTTAGCAGCGGCTAATGTTGCGAATGACATGAAGGCTGCATACATAAAAGTTCTTTTTGTGAAGCCTTTGGTTTATTGGACTAGGTTTTTCATCATTGCCACTGCATTTTCTCGCCCACAAATTGACGCCATCATGTATAACAGCACACCTTTAACATTTTTTAGTACTGCAGTAACAAGACAACAATATTCAGACCATTTGACTAGGAGCTGCTATTCTTATGTAGGACCAAAATCAGAGATTTGGGTGAGAAGCAGTTTGGAACAATTGCATCTGGAGATTTAAAACCAAATTCATGGACTTTGCTGGACTTCGGTTTGTAAAGTTTTCCTACACCAACTGCACTCTTCATTGTGCATATCTTGTGCTTAGTTGCATACTACTTGCATTGCCTGTAAGAACATGAGTAAAACTTGTGTGAGACTCACGGAGCTTACCGTTGTGGTACCTGTCACTTACTAATACTTCTTTGCTAAAAAATGGCGGATTTTCAAAATGCTTGGCTTTCTACTCAATTTGAGGCTTTTAACAAAAAAAATTGTTTTGACCCGATAACTGATAATTAAGTGTCATGGGCTGAGCTTTGTGAGACTATGTTGTGCATGTTTTTGTGCAAGACTTGCACTCACTAAAAAAATAAAGGTTCATTTTTTCAGAGGTGAGAGAATTTGTAGTTTGATACATGTGCTAATGAATTCCAGGTGACGTTGTGGTACATATTTTTCTGCCTGAACAGCGGGAGTTCTATGACCTTGAAACGTTTTATGGAAACGCAACACCGATTCAACTGCCTTTTGAAAACCAACAACTTCAACATTCACAAAATTTTGAGCCTGGAGATAGGGATGGTCACAACAATTGGCAAATGAGCAGATGAACAAATGCAGGGGCAAGGTATGCGTATACACACCTTCTCTAGACTCATCTACCATTGTAGAATTTTACTAGGTGTTGTTGTTGTTGTTGGTAGGTACACCAAGGAACAAATGAACTAGACTTGTTAACTCTTCTTAGGCCTTTATCTCACAGTGTCGACGGCAATTAGCATATGTTATGAGGTACTCCGTATTTTTTCGGGGTGCCATTGTACTACTCTCAGGTTGAAAAAAGAAAGAAACAAGGATGGATATGTACTTGTAGTCCTGTATTTCTCCAAAGAGGTCTCGGCTAATTGATTGTTGTTGTACTTAACTTAATTGTACTGTAATTCTTAGAGCTCGATCAATAATTATATTGAGGACCATTCTCTATTAATAAGAATAAAACATTATATGCCTTTATGAATTAAAATAAATATTCTTTTGAACCACCAAAGATCTTGTGGTGCAACGATATTATTTTGATACTTCAAGTTGCAAATTTTTTTTTAAAAAGGTGGAGCACTCACACCAGATGTCGTCATATCTCGAACTAACAGAGAAATGAATGGATAAATTACGGAATAATCTTGGACTTGACAAAGAGTGAAGGGATAAATCATAGTACTCCATGTCTCCATCTATCTCTAAGTTAATGTCTTGATTTGATTTTCACGCTTGTTTGGGAATAGCATTAGCGATTTCAAAATGATATCTACAGATAGCGTTTAGTGTTAACGATTTCAAAATAATCTGTACCGTTGAAATTTTATTTAAAAAACTAATGCTAATCTCTAAAGTTATTCTTAAATAGACCAATAGTTTAAGAAATAATAAATTGTTTGGTGAAGTTTGTGGGAAGGATGGAGAAATAATATAAGCCACTTATTTCTTTCCTAAAATAGAATGAATGACACATTTATTTTAGAATAACCAAATAATGAAAACATGACATATATTTAAGGATTGGGGAGTATAATCTTTGTGAGAGATCACCTCGTGTTTGGTGCACAAAGAGTTATTTTGTACTATATATATAAAAGTCTTAGGAGTGGGTGAGAATTTTGATCATGCTATCCCGACTCGAAATATATCGATCTCATTCCTATACTGTTCTTTTTTATTTGGGATAACATAATTTTTTTACCGCACATGTTTCAGACCATTTTAAAATGAAATAAGGCGGGGATACATAAATAATTTCTCATTCTATCCTGATATCCTTGTATATGTATGTTTGTATGCATGTGTGTGTGTCTAAGATAGTAAAAAAAAGATTTACCACACATACTTCATACCATTTTGAATCATTTTATAAAAAATATTGAGTGAAATTTAGAAATAAAATTTAAAAACTACGAAACAAGATGTGATATGACTAAATTTTCTTATCAAATAAGTATAAAAAATAAGCTAACAAAATGAATAAAATTTGATATTCCCTCTCTCCCAAAATGTCCTTCACGTTTCAAAAAATAGAAATCACCCTAAATAGGACTAAAATATAGAGAAAAATACCAAAATAGGACTTTCATGTTTTTTTTACTGAAATAAGACTTTGCACTAAGATAATGTGGCAGTTTACATATGCACATTACTATATTTTTTTGGTAATGTATATGACCATGTTTGGTAATGTAAGTTCTATTTCGAGAATAAAAATATGGAAGTCCTATTTTGGTATATTTTCAATGTTTTAGTCCTAATTTGGTCTTTCTCCCCTATCTCCAAAAGTCTTTCACATTTTAATTAAAAAATCACTTTTACCTATTACTTTTTCATACTCTACCTATCACATCATACTCTTTTTTCTAATAATCTACACATCACATCCTATTTTTACCCATCACATCAAAGATATTTTTGAAAAATCATCATAAAATTATTCCGTCTTTATTTTACTACTTTTGTCAATATGTCCTTATATTTGGGAAATGAATACTACTCCCTCCGTCCCTAAATATTTGTCACACTTGTATTCCCGAGGTAAAATATTATGTTTTTTCAATTCATTTTATTTATATATTGGTATAGAAATAAAAAATCGAATTTACATATCAAAAAACTACACGAAAAGTTTTTCGAAATAAGATGTGTCAAGAATATTTTATTTCATCAAATAACCAATAAAAACATAGAAATAAATAACAGTTATCACGATTGTTAAAAAAGTAAGTGTAACAAATATTTTTGAAGGGAGGGAGTAAATAAGAAACAATTTTAGGATGCATATCCATTTCTAAAAAAGACAAGATAACTAAAACCATATACCTATACTGCTGCTGTCACCGTGCGGGCACAAGTTGAAATTAAGAATCTACATATCCAAGCAAGGACCTTGAATAGTGTTCCTTCATTAGCCTGATGGGTTCATGAGGGGCTCTTCTGCTGTCCCTTGAAGAAGCACAGTAAAAAAGGATGAAGTTTCAATGGTCGGCAGCTGTTTTCTTGATTTTGGGTTTGCTGACGACGGTGACAGTCAAGTGCGGTCAGACGCCGCCGCCGCCGCCGCCTGAGGTTGTGAATGTTGGGGCAGTTTTCACCTTCAGCTCAGTCATCGGGAGGGCGGCGAAGGCCGCCCTAGACATTGCCCTCTCCGATGTCAATGCGGACCCCACCCTTCTCAATGCCACCAAGCTCACTCTCACCACGGTGGATGCTAATTCCAGTGCTTTTTCAGCTGCCATGGGAGGTACCTCTTTCTTTTCTTTTCTTTTTTCCAGAAGAAAAAAGGTAAATGATGAAACAATAGCTATATATCATGTGTGAAACTTCAAAAAGATCAAATCTTGGTAAGTGTTTCAAGAATTCATCTTCTTTTGAGTAAGTTGGGTTGATGATGAAACAGATAGTTTGATGATTGGCTTGAAGTGGAATCCTTTAGCTTTTCAGTGTGTTCTTTTGGCCAATTCCTGTTGTTGCAGTTCAATTTCAAGTGATTACAACAAACCAAATCCTTGTTATTGATCCAAAATTTAGTTTTGACGACCCAAAATTGCTTTGCCAGTGTTTCAGGTTATTGATGATCAAGCAGTGGCAATAATAGGCCCAGAATCCTCAGCACTAACTCACATGATCTCTTTCATAACCACTGGTCTTTCAATCCCTCTCCTCTCATTTTCTGCCACGGACCCGACCCTATCTTCATCTCAATTCCCATTCTTTGTTCGGATGACACAAAGTGATTCCTTCCAAATGTCAGCTTTAGCTGACCTCATCTGCTTGTATGAATGGAAAGAAGTCATTGCCATATTTGTGGATGATGAATATGGAAGAAATGGGATATCTTTTTTAGGAGATCAACTTGCCATGGGAATGTCAAAGATCCACTTCAAGTTTGCTTTGTCTATGGACTTTGACTCGAGTGAAGTAACGAAAGTACTAAACAGCTCAAAATTCTTAGGCCCACGTGTTTATGTTGTCCACATATACCCGGATTCAAAGTTGAGATTCTTTAATTTAGCACATGAGCTGGGCATGATGGGTAGCAACTATGTTTGGTTTGCAACAGATTGGCTTTCTTCTAGTTTAGAGTCAGCCCTTCAAAACCAATCTTCTTTAGGAATTCTTGAAGGAGTAGTAGGCCTTCGCCCTTATATTCCTAAGTCAAGAAAGAAAGACACTTTCTTGTCTCGCTGGAGATATTTGATGCAGACGGGTTTTGTGCATTCCAAGTTGATCACAAATGCAATGTATTCTTATGATACTGTGTGGGCCATAGCACGTGGAATTGATACTCTTCTTCGGGAGGGAATAAACCTTACCTTTTCTTTAAGCAAAGGTGACACACATTTTGACAGATTTGAAGTGTTTGGAGAAGGAGAGCATCTTCTTAAGATCTTAACACAGACAAACTTCATAGGAGTAACAGGTAATGTCCATTTTGATGAGCTCCAAAGCCTGGTCGGGAGGGGTTATGAAATATTCAATATTGCAGAAGGAAATATTCACACGGTTGGTTATTGGTCAAATTCTTCCCGTCTCTCTATTTCGCCACCTCCTTTAAACCCCTTCCCAAACAGCACCCAAGCAGCTGAGAAGAAGAAACTTGGGAATGTTGTCTGGCCGGGTGGGGTGAGGTTAAGACCGCGCGGTTGGCTTCTTGCCAACAATGAGAAACCGTATAGAGTTGGAGTTCCAAGGAGAACCATTTTCACCGAATTTGCAAGATTGAATGACAAGAATGAGATGGAGGGCTATTGCATTGATGTGTTTAAGGAAGCAAGTAACCTACTTCCCTATGATATCCATTTTGAATTTGAGCCCTTTGGAAATGGTCTCTCCAATCCAAATTACGACGACCTTGTTAAAATGGTTGCAGATGATGTAAGTCATATCCCCACATTAGAGATTAACTTTAGACTTATTCTTTATTTCTCCACGGAGAAATTCTTCTTTAACACACCATTAAGTTAGTGATTCTTAAGGGTTTTGGCAGAACTTTGATGCAGCGGTTGGGGACATTACTATAGTGACAAGCAGGACGAGGATTGTGGATTTTACACAACCTTACATGGATAGTGGGCTTGCGATAGTGGGTCCCGTGGATGATTCAAAATCAAGTGCCTGGGTATTTCTAAAGCCATTTACACCAGAAATGTGGGCTGTCACTGGATTGTCTTTTCTGGTGATAGCAGTGGTGGTTTGGATACTAGAGCATCGTGTCAATGAAGATTTCCGCGGTCCTCCAAAGAGACAACTAACCACAATGTTACTGTAAGCCAATGTCACTCTCCATTTTTGGTTGCTTTTAGCTTTTCAATTGAAGTTTTAAGAAAATTTTAAGTCCTATCACTGAATACCTAGGAAATATATCCACATACAAATCTCTGAAAGTTTGATTAGCTTTTGCCAAACTGACTTTCAGGAAGTTTATTAAAAAGAAGTCTGGTTTTGGAGAAGCCGGACTATCTTTTTATCCACTGAAATCGTTTTTGGTAATTGAAACGTGAAATCCAAACGGACCCTAACACTATGTTTGGTTCAAGGAATTTGATAGGAAAAGAAAAAATAGTTTTCTCTCATTTTCCTCACCAAAATGGGAGGAATTTGGTTTTTTTCTCTTCTTGTACATTTTGCCTTTTCATTTTCTTTTCCTTCCACTTTTCTTTTCTTTTTCTCTCTAACCAAACAAGAAAAATGTTTTCCCTCTCATTTTCTTTTCCTTTCCCTCTCAAATTCCTTGAACCAAACATAGTGTAAGTGTTAAGCATTGTGAAATACTTTAGTATGATTACTTTTTTAAGCAATATGCTTATGCAGGTTCAGCTTCTCAACGCTGTTCAAGACAAATGGTAAGTACATTATGGCACTTATACTGGGTTTGATGTTTTTTTTTGCTATTTTATCCCAAGTATTTGAAAAACAGAAACGTTATGCAAAGTGTTTTGGATCCAACAAATTTTCTATAAATTTCAGCTGAAAAAACGGTAAGCGCGCTTGGAAGGATTGTGATGCTGGTGTGGCTGTTTCTTCTACTGGTTGTAACCTCAAGCTACACTGCAAGCTTGACATCAATCTTGACAGTCCAGCAGCTGTCATCGCCAATCACGGGAATGGATAGCTTGGTGGCAACCAAATGGCCCATTGGGTATCTGGTCGGCTCATTCGTGCCCAAATATCTGAGAGATAATTACAATGTTCCTCTGTCAAGACTTGTTTGCTTGCACTCTCCTGAAGAGTACGAATCTGCCCTGCGGCGTGGGCCAGGTGGAGGAGGGGTTGCTGCAATTGTCGACGAGCTTCCATACATACAGCTGTTCTTGGCTAACCGCACGGATTTTGGCATCATTGGCCAGCCGTTCACAAAGAAAGAATGGGGTTTTGTCTTCCAGAAGGACTCTCCAGTTGCGGTCGACATGTCGACTGCAATCCTTAAACTGTCTGAGAGCAAGAAACTTCATGAGATCTACAAGAAATGGTTTTGCAACCCAATATGTCCTTCGGACAGGGGAAGAACAGCAGAGCCGAACGAGCTCCAAGTGGGCAGTTTCTTGGGACTTTATATTCTGTGTGGTGGTTTTGCTGCCATTGCCCTCTTAATCTTTCTGTTCAGAACGGTTCGCCAATTTCTGCGGTACAAAAGGAAGAAAATGGACCCTTCTTCGCCATCTGGCTGCTCGCAGATTGTCTACAACTTCTTCGACTTCATCGATGAGAAGGAAGAATCCATCAAAGCGTTTTTCACGCAGCATGACGACAGTTCTCATTCACAATCTTGTAATAGCTGATCGCCATTTGTGACTTCTCCCAACTTATTACGAAGCTCTTGCTTTAAATGTACATTATGAATAAGGGGAATTTACGTAAATAGCACTAAAACATAATGACTTTCTCTAAATAGCACCATATGTGCTTTTCTTCCCAATGTACTTTTAGTCATTATGCATTAGTCATTATTCAAGTAAATATTCATCATCATTGGACATTATGGACATTATTAAGTTCTATTTAGGGAATAAAACAGTTTTTAGTGCTATTTAGTGCAAATATTTCTTATGAATAATGGTATGAGTTTTGTGCATGCAGTTCATATGTAAATAATATGTATATAGGAGTTAAACCGAGTGATCTCGATAGGCCCGGTCCGACCAGTTGGACCAGTCTGATTCTATGGCTAGACCCATTATTTAGGAATATGACCAAATCTGACGAAATCGATGAACCGGGTGATCCCGATAGGCCCGGCGGATTCGCGAGTGTGGATCAAAACCCCTATTCTTTTAATAAGAAAATTAGAGGGATATAGGTTTCGAGCTACTCAATCACTAGTTTCCAATTGAAGCCTCTCACCATTGGCACAACGGCTCTATTTGTTAGTGCACCACACAAACAATTGTTATCGGTGTATTAATTGTGATACACTTAATGTGATACAATTAGTTTTTTTTAAATAAAATATTACTACTATCTCTACTCGAAATAAAATTACACTTTAGTGCTTTACTAGGAACTAGAGGAATTTTTTAATACATTTATTTTTATTGATTATTCAATAAAATTAAATTGTTAAATCATCACTTGTTATATAAAATTTTGGATATAAGTTTTAAATACTCTATTCATCTTAAAAGATAGTCAGAATTTGATCTTTTAGTCAAATTGTGACACTCTTTGATTACAAATTAAGAAATAAATATATTAGCTCCGGTCTAAATTGTTTGTAACATTTTAAAAGAACGTGTAAAATATCATCTCTTTTATAATTATTAAATTTATAAATTGGTCAAGAAATAAAAAGTAAATATCACATCATTCAAAAGTACATCAGAAGTTCTATAAACTAAAATGCGATAAGAATATTTTATTTTATCAAATGATCAACTAAAATGAATAAACAAACAAAAGTTATTGAGAAGTCAAAATAATAAATGTGACGGAAACAATATTTAATTATAATGAAATTTTAATATAACTGGAATCTATTTTAAGATGTATTTTTGATATTTTAAATTTTTTTAAACATTTATTTATTTAAAGCTATATTTAATTTACAACACTAGTATCTTCTCCTCTCTTTTTTCTACTACTACAAATATATGCACAGATATGAAGAGGACTGAAGGAGCATGCTTTTATTCAACTGAAAGTTATTAGGAACGCCGTGTGAGTGTGACTGTCGGCATCTCTGTCCTCACTCACTAAGTAACTGGGTATATTGTTTTCACTATTTACCGATGCTGTTAGAAGCCGGTGATGCTCTTCTTCAACAGCAAGCTTCAATTTTTTACTGGAACATCCTTTCAGTGCACCCCAGGTAATTAAAATTAAGTACTATGATGTTTTTACTCTTCCAGATTTCTGGAGTTCCAAGATTGAATTCCCAGATTTTTTTTCTCCTGAAGAATCTTGAAGACGTGTTAAGGTGTTAGGCCAGTAAATACCCACCAAATGGTTGAGTACACATCACACTCCCCACCTCTCTCTCTCTCTCTCTCTTCTTGTCTGTCAATTTACTCATATCTTTGAAATTGAATTTCTGGGCAGGGATCAAGATATGGTGATGTGAGTTGACTCTTTCTGCACTAGAGATGGAGGTTCATGTCCTCCTGAAGAGAGGAATTGTGTTGGTGATTTGTTGTGTGTGGGTCCCACTCACCCTTCTTGGAAATGCAGCACCTCGTCCGGAGACAGTGAACATTGGAGCTTTGTTCACCATGAACTCGGTTATCGGGCGCTCTGCTAAGCCCGCCATTATGGCAGCTGTAGACGATGTCAATTCCGATCCAAACATTCTTAGTGGCACAAAGTTGAACCTCATTTTACAAGACACAAATTGCAGCTGTTTCATTGGCACTGTCGATTGTAAGCACATTAGTCTTACTTTCTTTCTCATTCTTGAAACTGGATTTTAAACCATGCTAGGAGTAGAACATAGAGAAAGCATCAACGACAGGAGTTCCATGTTTTTAACTCCAAAATAGGACTCCGACATGTGACAATTTGGCGCTGTATATTGGTATTCCGTAGTGTTTTTTTGGTATTATATATTGACATTTCTGGCATTGTAACTCCTATTTTGGGATAAAAACATGAAACTTCTATTTTGGTACTTTCTGCACGTTTGATTCTAGTTGATTTATGGGATGCATCAATGGATGCTTATCTTTGTCCGATACCTTTTAGGATGCCAATACAAATTTAGTTATATTTAATCCCTTCATGTCTGACATGGCATATTTTGTAGCTTTACGGCTGATGGAGAGAGACGTGGTCGCTGCAATAGGTCCACAATCCTCGGGAATAGCTCATGTAATCTCTCACGTAGCAAATGAACTTCATGTCCCACTTTTGTCATTTGGGGCAACCGATCCGACCCTTTCTTCCACACAGTACCCATTTTTCGTTCGTACAGTCACTAATGATCGCCACCAGATGAGTGCCATTGCTGATCTTGTTGAGTATTTCGGATGGAAAGATGTGGTTGCTATCTTTGTGGATGACGATAATGGCAGAAATGGGATTTCAGTACTGGAAGCTGCTCTCTCCAGCAACCGTGCCAAGATATCAAACAAAGCATCCTTTTCTCCTGGGCCCACCAGAGAGGAGATCAATGACTTGTTAGTCGACGTGAACCTTAGGGAATCTAGAGTGTATATAGTTCATGTAAATCCTGATTCTGGGCTGCTGATTTTTTCTGTAGCAAAGAGTCTTGGTATGATGTCAGGTGGTTATGTTTGGATTGCTACCGATTGGCTTCCTTCTGTTACAGATTCTTTAGAAACAGTTGACCCAGAAACCATGAAGGTCTTACAAGGGGTTGTTGCCCTTCGCCATCACACACCAGACAGTGCTCAAAAGAAGATTTTCGCTTCCAAGTGGAGAGGCTTTAAGGAGAAAGAAACCTCGAGCTTTAATTCATATGCGCTCTATGCTTACGACACAGTGTGGCTACTCGCGCACGCTCTAGAGCTTTTTCTAGGCCAAGGTGGAAATGTTACATTTTCCGATGACCCGAATTTGGGATCCCTCCGTGTTTTTGATCAGGGTCATGAGTTACTTGAGATACTTACCGGCGTAGTCAACTTTACCGGTCTCACTGGACAGGTTAAGTTTGATGGGGAGAAGGACCTCATTGATCCTGCATTTGACATCCTCAACTTTGATGGAATCGGGTCGCGTTTGGTAGGGTATTGGTCAAACCATTCCCTAATAAACAAACATCTGGACAATGTTGTATGGCCCGGTGATGTCACCGAGCGTCCCAGAGGATGGGTTTTCCCAAACAATGGGAAGCCATTGCGAATTGCAGTTCCTAACCGTGTTACTTACCCAGTTTTTGCGAGTAGGGATAATAATGGACCACTTGGGGTGAAAGGGTACTCTGTCGATATATTTGAAGCTGCCGTAAAGCTGTTACCTTACCCCATTCCTCATGTCTATGAATTGTACGGAGATGGCAAAAGAAACCCCTCTTTCAACAACATTGTGGCAGATGTCGCACAACAAGTACGGAGATTTCAAACCGGCCGTTGTCAATTCATAGAATGTCAGATTACTTTTTTCTTTGGGTACTAATTGTATTTCACTATTGCATGTTAGAAATACGATGCAGCTGTAGGGGACATTACAATTACCATGAACCGGACGAGGATTGTGGACTTCACTCAGCCTTACATTGAGTCCGGACTGGTGGTGGTTGTGCTTGAGAAAGAACGCAAATCCAATCAGTGGGCTTTTCTCCAACCATTTTCAGTCCAGATGTGGTGTGTCACTGGGGCTTTCTTTCTCTTCGTTGGAACCGTGGTTTGGATCCTTGAACACCGGATCAATCCAGAGTTCCGTGGCCCACCAAGTAAACAACTTGTCACCATCTTCTGGTCAGTTTGGATTATTGAACACATACATTTGAGCTGTTTCTTTTTGTGTCCATAGATAAAACCTCAGGTGGTTTGTTCTTGCAGGTTTACTTTCTCAACAATGTTTTTTTCCCACAGTGAGTTTTTCAGTTTTTCCCCTTTACCCTTTTCATTGTACTTTTGATATGCTTACTATAAGAATAAGAACAATTGCATAGAATTTGTGTTTCCAAATTTGGTGCAGAGGAGAACACTGTGAGCGCACTAGGGCGCTTGGTTCTAATTCTGTGGCTCTTTGTGGTTTTGATCATTAACTCAAGTTACACAGCTAGCTTGACCTCAATCCTCACAGTCCAGCAGCTGTCATCAATGGGGATTCAAGGGATAGACAGTCTGATCTCCAGCTCTGATCCGATAGGGATCCAAGACGGCTCATTTGCATACAATTATCTCATAGAAGAGATGGGCATTGCAGAGTCCCGTCTTCGGATACTGAAAAAACCGGACGACTATGTGGATGCTCTTGGGAAAGGTCCAGAAGGTGGGGGCGTTTCTGCCATTGTTGACGAGCTTCCATATGTAGAGGTCTTCTTGTCCAACACGAAATGCAGTTACCGGATTGTTGGACATGAGTTCACAAAGAGTGGATGGGGATTTGTAAGTATCTCACCCAACTTCGCGTCCGTATTGACTTCTTAATGTGTTGTTAGATTTGATGAAGAAACTTTGCCAACAAACCAACTCTAACATGTCCCCCCACGTGCAGACAAGATTTGTTTTTGCTTGTGCCTCGCATGCTACCATCATTTTTAAAAAAAAAAATTGGGTGATTGTGAGGTTCTAAGCTCGTGACCATGGCAATGAACCGACTCCATGAAAAGTTGAAGCTTGTGGTTGTGAACACAGGAAATCTTTTTGTTGGGCGTTCTCTCCCACATACTCCGTATAAAAGAAACAAAAAAAAGATGCCCAACGTATAAGTCTAATGGTTTCTTCTTCTATAGCCAATTGGTTTTAGGATGGAAACCCTATGGGCTTGTGTGTTGGGCCTTTATTGTAAATACACGCGAAGCAGCGTGTGCCCCCACCCCCACCACCACTCTATGATTGGTTCACCGGAATTTTAACATCTTTATATACATCTAACAAAACTAATGAGATAGTTAGTTATGGTGAGCAGGCATTTGAGAGGGACTCCCTGCTAGCGGTTGACATGTCAACAGCGATTCTACAGCTGTCAGAAAACGGAGAGCTGCAGAGAATCCGCGACAAATGGCTGTCAAACAAGGAAGAAGATGGTTGCCCATCGCAAGGGACTCACCAAGCATCAGACAATGGTGATGGTGATGATGATAGCCGGCTTTCTCTGAAGAGCTTCTGGGGGCTATTCCTAATTTGTGGGATTGCCTGCACGGTCGCAATCACAGCGTTCTTGTGCAGGGTGTGCTTGCAATACAGGAGGTATACCCCACCTGCCGCCGAGGAAGGCACCCACGGTGAATCTGCATCGCCCAGTTGCTTTCAACGCCTCGTAGATTTTGTTGACAGAAGGGAAGCCGAAATCAAGCTGATGCTGAACCGGAACAACACGCCACAGCGCAATCGAAGGGGAGACCGGTTTTGTTCCAGTTCGCCTGCATAAGTATGAACAAGCTAAGATTGGGTTTGTGTCAAAATGTAAATACGGTTTGTCATTGGTTTTGTGTGATTATGCATGATCTGCCATGCCACTTCTTCATTCAGTAATAAACGAAATAGTCATATAATTAGACTTATATAGAGGAAGAACTTTGCAAGTTGCAACTCATGTTTATATTTTCTTCTTCCTTTGAGAAAGAACCTCATCACATCATTTCCTTAAAAGGACACAAATTGACAAAAGTTTTGAAAGTCTTGAAAAATCTACCGAGTCTGTCCTAAATTAATTGTCTTCTTTTGAACAACATATAAAATTCTATCTCTTTTAAAAATTATCTTACTTACAAATTAAGATTGATAAAATAAGTGATGACATGTATATTTTATTTTATCAAATGATCAATGGAAACACGTACACAAACAAAAATTGTCGACAGAATATGAAACATTAATTGGGGACCAACAAAATATACACTACTCATTAAATAAATATCTTACCTAAGTAAAATACACAAAATGATGGCAAAATTTTCAATGTCTGGTTTACCAGAACCACTAGTGAGCCAAACAAGGCCCATGTCTTTACCAATAAAAGTTTGACTTACCATTGGAGAGTTGCGGTCAACCGCGTTCAGTGCCCCCACGGCGTCCATAACTTGTCGTTTTGGCCCGGCCGCCCATTTGAATATTTGGGCGCCTATCTTTTGGAAATTATTAATTAACCAAACAAAAAACAAAAACAAATAATTGCTTTCGTCCCCAACAACAGATTGCAGAGGTTTGGTGGAAGGCCATATTTCAACTAATTATTTTTAATATAATTGTTATTATTATTATTATTATGCCTTTTTTCCAAATCTGCAACCGGTAATTGCGTGCCATGATATATATGTAATGAAAAGGAAAGGAAAGGGAAAGGGAAGGGAAGAAAAGCGAAAATGGGTCATTTGAGTGTGAGGAGAAAGATCCTGCTGCGGACCGCCATCCTACAGGCGCATCTCACGCGCCTCTGGCAACAAATCCTCGCCCGCCGCGTCCACAAGGCGGTCAAGTACCGGCAGCTGCCTCGCTGCTCCTCCGCCGCCTCCTCCGCCGTCCCCTCCCCTTCTCCGCTCCCGCGCGATGCCGACGTCGATTATGGCTTCGCCGTCGGCACGTCGCAGCCGCCCTGCTTCGATCTCGACAAGGACGCGTCCGATTTGGTCTCCTTGAAAATCAGCCTCCTCGGCGATCATCAAATCGGCAAAACCAGCTTTCTGGTTAGCATCTCACATCGTCTCTCGATTTTGTTTATTTTGGAATTGATTTCTGATTGATTGATTGATTTTGGAATGGAAGACGAAATACGTGGGGAAGGAGAGAGCGAAGCTGTGGTCTTCAGGGACGGGGCTGAATCAGGTGGACAAGACGATCAATGTGAAAGGGGCTCAGATATCCTTCAACATTTGGGAAGTGGAAGGTATATTATATTACCTTTTGGAATTACTTTCTGTAAAAAAACAATATTACCTTGAAATAATGTTCAAGTTCTTGTGTGTGCTGAAATTAATGTCACCCGAATCGAAATTGCCTAACGATGCAGGCACAGATTTTTCCTCTCAGTACCATATCCACGCTGCGTGTAACGACTCTGTGGCCATGTTCTTCATGTTTGATCTCACCAGTAGGTGCTCCCTCAATAGGTACGGACTCCGACTCCGTGTTGTGCATAGTCATTGTTGTTGGTGTAAAAGTTGGATTGAAAGAAGAAAAAAGAACAGTTTTGCTTTGTTATTTGGATATGACCTAATGAATTTGCAAATGAATTATTGTTCTTTCATGTGCTCAGTGTTCTGGGGTGGTACCAACAAGCCAGGAAATGGAATCAGGTATTATTAGGCTGCTGAAATTGGTCCAGGTTTTCTATGAATGAGTGTATGTATAAACCTAGGGTAGTAATTCATTTCAGGCTGCAATTCCCGTTATGATCGGGACCAAGTTTGACGATTTTGTGGAACTGCCTTTGGATTTGCAATGGACGATTGCTAGTGAGGTACGTAAAACCTTATATTTTGGCGATGTGATTGGTTTACGAAACGATCTATAGGAAAATTTTAAGAGATGAAAGGATTAATAAAAACAGGCAAGAGCATATGCAAAGGCACTGAATGCAACACTGTTCTTCTCAAGTGCAACTTACAACATCAATGTGAATAAGATCTTCAAGTTCATCACAGCAAAGCTCTTCAACTTGCCATGGAAGGTGGAAAGAAACCTGACAATTGGTGAACCCATGATTGATTTCTAGTTTCACTGTGTGTGCCGTGTGTGTATATATAATTTACAAGTCAACCGGTTGCTGTATCCAGCGACTCGGGTTGTTTTCATTTTCAATAGATGCATTCATCTTTCTTTTGATCGTCGGCATTGTTTGTAAACCGCCATAAGTTTCTTGTTCGTCTATGTAGATTCTCCTGACCATAGTATTGCAAGAGTTTTAAGGCGATATATGGACTGCACCACATTTAGTTGAAGCACATTTTGAGTTCATATACTATGAATTATGTATATGGATCATTTTAAGTTCATATACTACAATCCTACAAACACACAAAAATAAATGGAAAGAAACATGAGAATGTGGATTGCTTGGTGGGCTCTCATGTTTCCTAGTGTCATAAACACAAAGTCAATTAAATCCAAAACCCCTCCCACCATACAAAGTAGGGCTGTTCATCGGTCGAAGACCGAATTGAATCAAATCACGGATCGAAGACCGGACCTAAATCTAATCGGGTTTAGATTGGACCGGACCAAAATACTTAGGACGAAATCGGTCGGGATCGATTTGACCGAATAAAAATATATATTTTTTAATTATCTTAGTGAATTAAATTTATTTTAGGCTTTTTATTTTGTACCGTGCAAATAGAAAAAAAATAAAAAAATTAGCAAGCTAAAAATAGATACACAACATGGATTATTTCTATATAGAATCATAAAAACTAATGTGAAACATTTTTTTATTTTTTAAATTACTTAATAAAAAACCCTTTTAATTAAATAAATTAAGATATCTATTAAAATAGAGCATCAAAAAGTAAAGGTTTAGTATTTAGGTCTTTTAGGTCTTGTAGGGTTATTAGGTCTAGTCGGTCTAATCGGTCTGGATCTAAATCATTTTGAGTTTGGACCGGACCGAAACTCGAATACCTAAATTTTTTGGGCCGAAGACTGACCCGAAATCCATTCGGTCCGGGTTCGGCTTGGACCTAACGGTCTGGTTCGGTCGGTTTTTTCGGTCCGAACCTAAACATGAACAACCCTAATACAATGTGGTGTATGGAAAGACTAGGTTAGAGATTTCATGTGCTAATATTGCAAATTGTCACGGAATAAGAGGAAATCAATTATGAAAAGAACAAATCACTCCGATTCTAATTTTTTCTTTCACACAACATATTTAAACCAACATGGCTTGTGTGTTTACATGAAAAATCTTGTTGCAGTTAGAGAGTTTTTCTTATTCAATTGATTCTAACTTTTTCTTTCACACAACATATTTAAACTAACATGGCTTGTGTGTTTACATGAAAACTCTTGTTGCAGTTAGAGAGCTTTTCTTATTCAATTGATTGTCCTATTTTATGACCAAGTGTATTCCGGTTGGAATTACTATTTTTATCGTTATTTTTTTTAAAAAATTAATGTCCTATTCTAACAATTGAGTTTCTCGAAAAAAATGTTACCATTTTATGAGCCATAGTAATTCAAATTATGAAACAATATTTGCGAAGTAAGACTACTCAAAGTAATTTGAATATACACGAATGGCAAGAGAGACTACACTTGCGGCTTTTTTGCACACTCTGTCCCCTGATTTATTTGTATGTTTTAGTAATCTCTCAAAATGAAGGAATGAATAAATGCCTCGGTTCCATGGCCACTGGAATCCAGTGGCCACGGAAGCCACTGCCCCCCTACGGAGCTCCGTTCATAAAATTGATGATTCATATCCCCTCGTAAGTATAATTGACTTTAAAGTCAAAAGTTTTGACTTTACACTTACGAGGTGCAATTGACGTAGGTGGAGTGATTAGTTTGGGTTGAGACTTGGCGGGGGGTTTACCCGGGGGGTCAGAGAGGGTAGAAATCATCAATTTTATGAATGGAGCTCCGTAGGGGGGCAGTGGCTTCCGTGGCCACTGGATTCCAGTGGCCATGGAACCGGGCCGAGGAATAAAAAGCACAGAATACAAAAAAAGTCATACGAAGTACTCCGTATAAATTAGATCGTTCTTTATTGATGAAAAGAATGTTACTCGGGGTAATACATACTCCCTCCGTCCTATAATGTTCTTCCGGGTTCATATTACGAGGTTTGACCGACTTTATTTTCAATTCAATTTATCTGATTGTAGATGTAAAATTAAAAAAAAAAATTAATATATTTAAAAACTACATTAAAAGTTCTACAAAAAAAGTGGTGACAATACTATACGGAGTATTATTTTATTAAATACCTAATGAAAATAGGTAAAGAAAATGATTAAAATTTGACCAGGTAAAAAGTGAGTGGGAAGAACATTTTAGGACGGAGGGAGTATTTTAATAAATTCCAGTGACTTGTGTAGGAGTACAAAAAAACGTGCGGCTTTATGGGCTGAAGAGTTAGCAGAAGAATCCCACACCGAGACCTTGGCAAAACTCACACCGGTAGACAAATCAATATAATGAGCACTCTATCTGCATATAAGTTCAAGCACGCAGCCACGCAATGAACACATAGCAAACTATATTGCAATTTGTGGCATGCCTTAATTTTTGTGGGTTTTTCATTAACCCAACAAATTAGTCTGACTCTTTTTGTAAATTATATCATACATTTGGTTGTATTTAGAGGTAGGTATAATTGGTGTTTAATAGGGGCGAAAGGAAGAAAATGGTGATGAAGGAGGTTGGCCAATTGGAAAATTGCTAGAAGACATGCAGATCTGTGTTGATGTGCAAATCCATGATGATGATGTGTGGATTTGTTCTTCGCGTTTGTAGGGTTTTGCGGTGCGGTGATGAAGAAGAAGGAAGACCTGGAAGGTTCTATAGAATTGATCTGCAGCTATGAAGAAGCTTTTGGGATCCGCAGTTAGGGACTTAGGGCGAGCTATGAATGGTGGATTGTAGTTGAAGAATGAGTACTAGATTATGTGGGGATGAATACAACTAGGTTTTAGAATGTGCATTACGTTATTCGTAAATGAATATTGTACAAATGTGTGAAAATGTGTACTACATTTTTTCAGAATAAGTAACATGGTTTTTCAAAATGAATGCTTATGTTGATGCGAGAATGAGTACTACTCTACTTCAGAATGAGTAGTACCCGGAAATTCCTATCTCTAAGTACATCTGAATATACCATATACACTCTCGACTTTTTGTGCATTTGATAGTAGGATATATTTAATGTTTTCCTAAAAATTATTGCATTTAGTTAAATTATTATGAGGTTTAGTTACTCCCTTTGTTTGGAAATATTTTTCACATTTGACTTTTCTTGATCAAAGTTTGTAAACTTGGACTCTGATTTGTGGAAAAAAGATATCGTACTATGCTATAAATTTAATATCAATATATTCCTAACAAAATATCAATTTTTTATAAAATGTCCTTATCTATAAATATGGATACTAATGGTCAAAAGTGCAATATTGGCAACTGTGAGAAGTCAAATGCAAAGAATATTTTCGGATTGATAGAGTATTATGTTTGAGTTCCATTTAAGTTGTCATACTTTCTGGGGGTATCCCTAAATTTTCATTTTTTTGTATCCTCAATGAAAATGTACCTCTTATAATTTCTCTTCTTATATTTTTTCTTCTAAATAAATTTTAATTACATAAACACTTTTTAATTTAATTAGTTTTTCAATGTTTTAATAGCGACTATGATAGTGTTGCATAGGGGTGGACAAGAATTTTGATCCCGCTGCCCCATTTCGAAAATATCCCAGTCCTTCTGTAAAAGGCTCGTTTCGTTTGGGACGATTTTTTTTTTGTCGAATTTGTCCAAAATAAGTTTAAACTTGAACGCAACGGGACAATTTTGTAGACTATTAGTTAGAAACTATCGGACTACTGTAACATATTTATCGCCACCAAAAATCTCCTTATTTAATTTGTAGACGATTAGTTAGATAATGTCGGACTATAGTTCAATGTGTGCATGAACAACTATACTCTGTATTCTGAACCACAAAATCTAAGGGGGGTGTATTCAATTAGGATTATAAAAGATTTAGATAGATTGTTTAAAGTATATGGATTATGCAAAATCTAAGGATTATTTTAAGTCTATGCAGAGTTTGATAAATTTTGATGCATTTTATCAGCATGATTTTATAAGATTATGTTTGATTGTCTATAATCCATAGATTTTGCATACATAAATATGAATGATTTTATAAATATATACATTGTTGTAACATGAACTATTGTAATTAGCTATTAAAAAATTTTGTTTATGAAATTGACAAAAAACTTCAAAATAATCCAATAAAATAAAAATAACTAATTTTTTTAAAAAACTATTATTGTCGTAATATATTTATTAAAATAAAATAAGCAATAAATTTGTTTTTGCATCTCAAATTGTTATTATCTCTGAACTATACTTCTTGTATGTCAAAACTCATCAATAATAAAATTATAAAGACAACTCAAAAGAAGACATTGTTCAAAATTTTAAAAGATAATTGATAAATAAAATTAGTAAACAACATAGTCTTCCATTTCAACTTCATTATCAGCAAAACCTTCTTCATTCTCCTCATTAGCATCATTTTGTGGTCTATCGGCCCACATAGCTTTAGCAATGCCATGTCTCTAAGCGTTAGCTTATGTCCTTTGTTGTTGCTGAGTTTGAGAAAGTATTTTAGAGTTTTCTTCCTCCATGTCAAGATATGAAGAAGAAGATGACTCAAGTTCTGGTTCAGGAGGAAATTCATCAGAACAACACTCTTTACGAAGAAAGTTATGTAGTCGTACACAAGCTAACACTAGCTCTGCTTGCATGTGTTTGAAATAGAAAGGGAGGTGCATTTTTTAAAATGGTGAAACGTGATTTAAAGATACCAAATATCCTCTCAATAACATTTTTCAACAATGCATGACGAAGATTGAACAACTCATTTACATTTCGGGGGTGACGACATTGACCTCTACCGAACACCTCGCAATGGTGCTAAAAATTGTCGTCGATTAGTAAATCCACAGCCAACCAAAAAATATTTTCCTGAAATAGAAACAAGATGACATATACACATAACAAATATTTTCATAAAAAAGTAATAAATTAATAATAAAATTAATTTACTTACCTTGAGGCACTTCAAGTCCATTTCTTCTACATAATGCATCATTTAGCATTTTTGAATCATGTGCAGATCCTTCCCACCCGCTAAGCACATATATGAATTCTAAATCAAAGTTGCAAGCTGCTAACACATTTTGGGACTGAATACCATGACGATTACGATAACTACTTACTTGACGACCATTTACCATTGCAGGAATATGAGTGCCATCAATGGCACCAATGCAATCCTAAAACATAATAAAATTGTAAAAAATAAAAGTTTGAAACAAATTTGTAGTTCATGCATTTTAAAAAAATAGTAATCAAAACTGGTTCATAATCAACGTTGCATTATTTTTGTCAAAGAAAGTACCTTAAAGTAGGGGTAAAATCTTGTGTTAACTCTTATTTTAGAAGGCACGGCAAATCCCGACTTGACCATCATTTGTGGTGCTATAGTGTTTAATGCCTTCAAAACTTTGTTAAAGTTTTGACTAGTTGCGAAATGTGAACGACCAAATCTTTGACGAACATTACAATACCAATCATTGTGACCCACAATGAGTAGAAATGTTGCTATCATTTCTTCAACACAAATATATCTCATATCTTCTAAAGGTGTACTTTCTCTGATAACGGTACATAGCTTAAGAAACACATTAGTATACATTCTATACAGTTCTCAAAAACTTTGTGGATCTTCTTTAAACACTCCATGTATATAATGATATCCTTTTGTAGTTACGGAGCGACGTTTGAGGGAACCTTCCACACGTTGAGGCATGTTAATTAGAGCCCTCTCTTAAAACAATCATTATTGCTTGAATGGCCAATAATAAGTACTTGATAGTTTTATAGAATTCCTCTTCAATTCCTTCTTCATTCATTTCTTCTCTTCATATCACTTCTTCTTCCATTTATCTATATGACCAAGCACATATATAGTAAAACTAACCACTTCTTTACACATATGCATACCAAAATAAATAATTAACAAATAAGTAGACATATGCAGAGTAATAAATCTTCTTTCCGACATTGTGTTCTATACATACATACAAACAAATATGTATATGGGACTAAAAAAATGTTCTGCAAACATGTGTTCTGCAAATATGTGTTCTACAAATATGTATATGGGACTAAAAAATGTTCTGCAAATATGTATATGGGACTAAAAAAATGTTCTGCAAATATGTATATGGGACTAAAAAAAATTCAAAGCATTTTGGTATTTTAGAAGAGTACTTGTAAAAAAAGTAAATTCAAAACATTTTGGTGCCTGTGTAAACAAAGACACCAATAATGTTCTATCATGGATTTATGATTGCTTTCTAGCTGCCATGTTAGGTTAAAATGTGAGTCTTGGAAGATTTTTTGAACCTGAACTTGTGTTAAGCTGAACATTCTTATTTTCACATAATAGTTCCTTTACATGTTTGGCTCTATTTACTTTTCTTGTGCAATGGAATGTCTTGTGCAATAAAGAATCAGTCGCTGAATTGAAGAACATACGGCAAAATATGTGTTCTATTACAACATTACAACATCATTATAACATTACAACATTATGCCAAAATTCAAGAATACACGGACTAAAGAAACTGATAATCACTTCAATAGCATGAGTTTGAGCAAGAACAATATAGAAAAACCTAGAAAAAATAAATATGGAAAATCAATTTATCTTAGCCAAGTTTGAAGAATAGTGAATTAATGCTTCAAACTGGACATATTTGTATGGCGGAACTGCAAATAAAAAACCCTAAGGAGATGAAAATGAGATTGAAGGAGACAAATAATGATTTTCATTACCTGGTTAAAATAACCTATTGCCGGCTGTGGTAATTGACGACCTCGGAATCGGTGACAGATCTGGAGTGCTAAACGAGGGAGCGCCCGACGGGGAAGGAGATCGAGAAGATGACTCGGGGAAGAAGAAGATCTTCGAAGAAGGAGATGGAGGCATTAAACAGACTCTTGGATTCTTGAAAATACCTGCGTTTTTGGTTGGATTTCAAAACAAATTTTTTATTTATACTTCAAACCAAAAATCCATTAGAATCCATTTATTTAACAATCCTTAAAAATATATTAACTTTTCAATATCATTCGATTTAGAAAGATTTTTTAAAATCTCAATTGAACACCTCCAAAATTTAATTGATTTTTCAAAATCCAAATTGAATACCCATTGACTTTTAAAATCCAAAAAAATATCTATCTAAATGTACAAGTTACACTGTTGGCATATCTAAATGATAGGTTCCAATTTGGAGATATCCCGGGGTAAAATATATTGTCATCTCCACAACTTGCATTACTAGTTTAAGAATTCGTTTGGAATAATGTTTCCAATTGGTATTAGTGTTTTGAATGATTTTTTTATTGATATTGGGTAGTAACTATGGAGTAATTTTTAAAATGCTAAAACTAACATAAAAAATCAAATTACCCAATTTAGTGCGTGAGAAAGTCTTATGACTTATCTTTCATTGGCCTCCCACTCTCCAAGAATCTTTGAGCAGTGGTAGGGGTCCCATAATGAGGTTTTATTAGCTTTGTCCTATATTAGGAATGTCATTATGTTTTAGTCTTATTTAGTGCAAATTTCACCATATTTAAACTAAGATGACTTGTATGTTTACAGAAAGATTTTACTCTCTCCGTCCACAAATAAACATTACGTTCACTATTTGCAGAGTCAAACTTTATTCACTTTGTTGGCCTATTTTCGTCACCCATTTGATAAAATAATATAGTCATGTCACATCTAGTTTTGTAGATCTTTTGATATAGTTTTTTAATATGTAATTTTTATTTTTGAATTCTACACCATTTTTTATATAAAGTGATTTAAAAATAACTTCAGTCGAACATCATAACACACAACGTAAAGTTTATTTGTGGACGAAGGGAGTATTATAGAGTAGTTATTAAGAATATTTCCTATCCAATTAGTTACTTTATTTCAACAAATGAACTTCTCATAATAAAAATGTCACCACCATTTTATGAGAAAGAAATGGTAAAAGAGGCTACACTTACATTATTTTATACTCCTTCGGATTTATTTGTCTGCTCTTCAAAAATTGAAGGAATGAAAGCAAAACACAAAATATAAAAAAAATTGACACATTAGCTTAGCTTGTTCTTCATTGATAACAACAATGCAAATAGCTTAATACACATACATTTTTAATAAATAATTTTTAAATATGATAAGGACACGGAATTCAAATTATTAAATTGGAATTGAAGACAACATCCAATTCTAATTCTGCTGTTTGGTAACACAAAAATACGTGAATTGCTCAGAGGATAGTCCCCAACTGCAATGCATATCAGATACAAATTATTCATAGTGATAAAGAACTAACAAACTAAAGGAAGATCAAAGGGCTTTGTATCTATCCATTCTCCCTATGAAACTAAAGGAAGATCAAAGAGTTAGCAGATTAATCCCACACCGAAATCTTGACAAGGCACACACAGGTAGGCAAAAGAAGCGGTCAACACCATGAACAAACCACGCAGCCACGCAATAAACGCATAGCGAACTATTCTTTCGCCTTTTACTAAAGAATACCGTGTGTTTGTTGCAATTCGTGGCATACCTTAATTTTTTTGAGGGTCTTTCATTCTGGAGGACCCAATAAATCAGTTTAATTTTCGTTCAATTTATGGTGAACAGATATATAAATTAAATTTATTCTTCTCTGTAAAATTATCTTCGGCATTATTTTAGTACTTTTACCTGAATTTTTGGTACCTTTTTAATTTAAAATCTTCTGTCTTGTCCCTAAATTTTGTTATTTTTATTTATAAAAATAAAGTTGTGGTTGATGTTGTTTTCTATATTTGTCTAGTTTTGACACTTTGCTGTTAAAACATTATTTAAATAAAATTTGTACTTCCGTCTAAAAAAGAATGTCACATTTTTTTTTCAACAATCACAAAAACCTTTGTTTATTTGTACATTTTCATTAAATATTTAATAAAATAAAATATTCTTGACATCTCTTATTTCGAATAATTTTTCATGTTGTTTTTAAATATATAAATTTTATTTTTTATTTCTTATATCAATATTTAAATAAAATGAATAGAAAAAACATGATATTTTGCTTCGTTTTACGAAATGTGACAAAAATTTTGGAACAGATGAAGTATGATACAAAAACTAATGTTATTAGGTTTTGTTATATATGGAGTAGCACCATAAAAAAGATTTGTTTTATATATGTAGTATTTTCAAAAATAGTGTTATTTTTTTCGAGGTCAAATATTATTTTGTTTAATCAATATACTTTATAAATTTAATTCACTTATAGGTCAAATATAAAAAATGATTAACTATTAAAAATCAAAACCAGAGACTCAGAGAGCTATTCAAGAACGGAAGTACTAATTAAACTCACTACGCTCATAATATTTGTAATGTGGTGTTTTCTTAGTGAGTTATGGTAATACTTTTTCCGGCCTAGAATGAAGTTTATTCTTTTACGTCGTCCCAAATTTAAATTTATGTTTTTCCATTTTCTATTTTCAAAAAATGAATATTTTGCTCTTATAGTTTTTTAAATAAATTTCACTCATATTTTAAATTTTCAACCTAGCTTTTTTTGTGTTTAATATCATTAGTCTACTCATCCAGAACCGTCTCCGAGGAATCAAGATCCTTGTACGATATAGAGAAAATAATCATTTTTTCATAATAAATTAAAATTTATCAATTAATTTTTTTAAACAATAATTAGCATAATAGTAATAATAGTAATAGGAATAATAAAAAGTCAAATTCATAATATATATACATACAAGAAAAATGTCAAAATTTTTGGTCGCCTCCGAAAATGGGTCCGGGCCAGGTAAGAATCCTTCCCATGCCCATATTCACCTGTCACAAAATCTCCCTATCTGTAGACCATTATTGTATATTAAACAAAATTATTTGTAAAATATGATATTTGAGATTAAGGGGTTGTTTGTTTCAGCCTCTTAATGGTTCAGATGTCTGAATGGTTCAGACATTTGCCTCTAAATGGTTAAGTATTATACAGAGTCTGAATGGTTAAGACATCTTATTTGAATTGATTAGACATTTGTCTCTGAATAGTTAAGCAATATACTAGCACTTAATGGTTCAGACCTCTTACTGGTTCAGCACTTAATGGTTCAGACCTCTTACTGGTTCATCACTTACCTATTCAGAAGTTGTCAAACAGTCCCTAAATTGTAAATTTTGTTTTCACTTTCTGCACTAAACTTGAAACACTTTATTTTAACCATATCTTTAGACAAACTTTGTAACTAACCTTTCAAAGTATATTCATCATTTACCTTTCAACATTTGTACTGTAAGCACGCTTTTTTTTACACATTTTCAAGCTCATATGGTCAAAATTAGACATAGCAGAATCGATTATCCGAACTGAATCATCTGAAACCGAAATTGAAATGATCTGAAAAATAAAGTTCCAATATATAACCAAAGACTTGAACTAATCCGAATCAAACCAAAACTTAACTAAATAATTCATATCCAGTTTAAATCCGAAACCGATTAGATCCGAAAGGATTAAATTCGAAATCGATTAGATACAAAACCGATAATACCCGAAACTGATAAAACATGAAATCAATTAGATCCAAAACTGATAATATTCAAATGTGATTTAAATTTGGCTATCATCTACACATTATCTCCACCAATAATCAAATCGTCCACATAGATTAGAACATGAACCTCTTTCTTTTCCCAAAAACGAAGATTAGAAAAAGATTAATGAAGGGAGGGAGTATATGATTGATTGCTACAAGCTCTTACTTGTTCACCCTAATTACTTCCTAAATAGAATTCAAAATTCACAATTTAAATTCTATGGTTCTAAATTAAATCACATTGTTCTTTTTTGGATCATAATAAAGAAATAAATCTTCTAGACTTTTGCTGCATTGAGAAAGTAATTTTTTGGTTAGCATTTTACATACATGACAAACTTTGATTTTTTTGACTAATCACAACCAAATTAAAGATCACAAACAAAAATTTTGAACTTAAAAATATAAATTTAAAAGTTAAAATTTTAAATTTGTAAGATATGACTTTCAAATTTGTCCTTGATGTAATAAGTAAAAGTAAGATATGATTTATAGATTATTAGTGGAACGATTATATATAATTTTGTGTTACCAAACAAACGATTTGAAATTATAATACAATTCTATATCAATTCTTTAATTATATCAAGCAAAGATTTTGGAAATTAATTAGAATTCAATTCCATCCAATTCAATTTTATAGAATTTCAGTTCAAATTCAATTCAATTTTAAATTCGTGTACAAAACAGAGCTGTAAGGTCGATTCAACCTATGTCTCTATCCTGTAGTTGGTGCACTCATTCATGAAGATACATGAGTACGACCATGTTTTTTTCAACTTATTCTTATTACTTACTCCCTCCGTCCCAAAAAGTCTTTCCTGTTTCATTTTTGCGCATCCCATAAAACACTTATATCCCGCCTTGAATGCCAAAAAAACTTTCAAAATAACTTCTACCCACAATAAACAAGAAATGTTGTAAATTTTGGGCATTTTAAATGTCGGTAGAAGTGTTTTATGGGATGCGCAAAAATGAAACAGGAAAGACTTTTTGGGACGGAGGGAGTATTAATTTAAATTTTTCTTATTGGAATCAAATCAAACCAGACCAGATCATATGATAAATGGTTTTAAATATAACTACATTCAAATCAAATCAAATCAGAACTTATTCCAATCGAATCAGAACATTTCAAATCATCAAGATAACATGGCCTACGTCGTCTATAACTTTTTATATCGCTCCCAGTCACTCACTCTCAGATTAGAGAAGAAAGAGAACGGGGTGGGATATTAATTCCCTCATCTAAAATCTTTTGGGATCTGTAAGTAAAAAATGATGAGCTCCATCCTCGAGGACCTCCCCAGACCCGGTCGAACGGTCAATGAGAAGAAGCAAAATTGAATTTTGATCGCTAATTAGTGACAAAAAGTGAAGTCACCAACCTTTGACTTATAATTAAATAAAATATACTCCGTATATTACCCCCTCTGTCCAAAAACTATCTTCTCAGTTACTATTCACACAGTCAATTTTGACCAAAAGAAATTAAAAATAAACATATATTCCAAGAGGATGGGAGTAACAACCAAGATCCGGGAGGGCCTGAAACGAATAGCTATCTATACTCAGATTGTACCTCTACTTAGGGGGATGTATTCAATCCAGATTCTCTAGGATTTTGTTGGATTTTAAAAGTCAGTGGATATTCAATTGAGATTTTATAAAATAATTTAAAATTTCAGAGTATTCAATTTAGATTTTTAAAAGTCCACCAAAATCTAAAAGTATTTAACAATCCATTGATTTGAAAAGATTTGTATTATGGGTAGATTTTGATGGATTTAGGAGTCATTTTTCTAAAGAAAAATCTAGTGACAAATTTGTGGCTATTTCCAAAGATTTCAACGGACTTGGGGGAGCATAGATCTGAAGGTGATATTCGGCACAAGATTTGGAGCTTTGGTCCGTCGATTTGGTCCCACGTCGATTCCTGTGGAGCTTTGGTCCGATGATTTAGTCCGGCGAGTGCTTCATGGCAACAGTGAAGAGAAAGCGAAGCCGGAGACGACGAAAACCTACCGACGACCATGAACAAAACTACTCGGTGGAGGAAAGAAGAAGAAGAAGAGAGGCAGCAGCAGTGAATCTGGGTGGGGACGATGGTGGCGGTGGCGGCGTGGGAGCTGAGCTGGCAAACGAAACAAAGAAGAAGAATAAAAAAGAAGAATAAATGTAGCAACGGCTAGGGTTTGTGGGGGAAGAAGGAAAAAGAAAAGAAAAAGAAAAGAAGAGGGAAAGAGAAAAGGGAAGAAGGGAAAAAGAAAGAAAAAAGAAAAAGGAAAAAGAAAAAAAATGAAGAAAAAAATTCAAAGATAAAAGAAAAGAAAAGGAAAAATATTATGTATCCATAAATCATTGATTACAAATAATTTGTCAAAATCATAAAAAATCCTTCTAAAAAATAAATTAAAATCTAGTTAACTCCACGTAGACTTAATATAATCCATTGATTTTATAGGATCTATGAATTTTAAACAATCTATTAAAATCTGGATTGAATACACCCCTTAGATTAGACAGAGGGGTCGTTCCTCAAAGACCTTGCAAAGCATACCAAGAAACAGGCTCCCAACTATTTAAGGTGTGATTGAAAATTTAATTATAAGGAGTCATTGATTTTATACTCTTATAAAATTCAAAGTGAGAGATGTTCCTAAATAGGGACAAGAGACAACCCATTTCTAAAGGACGTATTCCTTTTTCCATTTTTTCCATCATCTCCGAGCCAAAATTTCACCATTTTTTAGCTTTGGGGTGTAATGAAATAAATCAAAATGGATCTCTAAACTGTCTGTCCTTCTTTAATTAATAAAGTAGCAGTTAGTCAAGCAATACAACTTTCGACGTTGAGCCGGGGGTCTCTTTGGAAACAGCCTCTCTACTTTCGAGTAGGGGCAAGGTCTGCGTACACACACCCTCCCTAGACCCTACTTTTGTGGGATTTAAGTGGGTTGTTGTTGTTGTTGTTGTTCTATTCCTTTTTTCTTTGATATGTTTGGGATCCACTCCCTCCCAAAAAGAGTTAGAGTCAATTTGATTTTTTGGTCAAATTGATACTCTTTGATCACAAATTTAAAAATATATATATATTTAGTTATAATAATGTAAAATTAACATAATTATTAATTTTAAAATATAATTTTGATATATTAAATATATGTTCAACATTTTCTTCCTTCATCCTAAAATAAGCATTTCATTTCAGTTTACAAGGTTTGACTGAAGTTATTTTTAATTCATTTTATTTGATTTTAAGGGTAAAATCTAAAAATAAATTTATATTTTAAAAAGTTATACAAATTAAATTAAAATTAGATGTGATATGATTATACTCTGTACTATTTTATCAAATAACTCATAAAAATAGATAAAGAAAATGAATAAAATTTGACAATATAAATTACATTGAGAAGATAATTTTAGGACATGAAAAATATTAATTTAAAACTATATTTATTTAATACTCCCTCCGTCCTAAAATTAACTTCTCAGTTTGACTTTTGCAGTCAAACTTTTTAAACATTGACCGTAAATTAAGAAAAAAATAGATTGAATTTTCATATAAATTTATTAGCAATAGATTCATTTTGGAATATAGTTTTGAAATACAGTATATAATTTTTATAAAATATATTTATATAAAAATTGAGTTATTGATGGTCAAAGTGTCGCATTGGAGGCTGTAAAAAGTTAAATGAGAAATTAATTTTAGGACAAAGGGAATAATTAAAGTGTATTATTTAACGTTTGAGTTTGACTACCAAAAATAAACAATGACTCTTTTTGGACCGAGTGAGCATTATGGGATTTTGTCGGAGATCTCCGTAGGTATATCTCAAATGATTAAATGCCCAATCTTATTGGAGTGTCACATTAATTACCGGCCATAACAAGATTATTATAACACCAATTAATTAATTAAACACCATGGAACCGTCATTTGAACGAGCTGAGCGTGTAAGTGTCAATAGCGTTGACCGCCGCCGCCGACCACCGTGCCCTTGAAAACATAGAGGCACTCCCCACTCTCAACGCCGTGCCAACGAAGGGTACACTGCTCTCTCATGATCCTCTGCTTATGAATGAAGATGTAATCATCCGCCGGCAGCAAACTCCGCCCTAAGAGCATCTCCATTACCTCCTTCACCGTGCTTAAATCGCTCATCTCCACCGGAATAGTGGCGGCGTCGAGCAACGCCGACGACGTCTGCACGGCAAACCTCACCCTCCTCGACGACGCCGCCGCCACCGGATCCGTCGCGCACCGCGACGACGACGACATGGCCTTAACGGACACCACGACTTCGGAAAACGGGGCGACAATGCCACACTCCCCCAAGATCCGGTGCTCGTCGTCGAGCTCTTTCCCGGAGAAGATCAAAGCCATCCTCTTGATAGGAGTGCCATCCATTATGTGGATCTTCTCCTTCAGGGTTCTGACGGTGTCAGTCTTGGTGTCTGCTTCTATGCCCATTCGCCTGGCGGTGGATTTGACAGTGAGGTGTATTTTTGTGTTCTCGCCCCGGGGTTGTGGCGGTGGCAGTGTGATTTTGACAGTGAGATCGATCTTTGTGCCGTGGGAAATGAAGGGATAGTCTTCGACGTCGAGGCCGTCGATTAGTTCCCAGCCGAGAACGGAGAGGGTTTGGGAAGCCATTGGAAGGCCGAGATGGTTTTGGATTCTTTGCTTCATTTGGAGGATGGGTTCTTGATGCTCTATTTCCATGCCAAGTTCATACCCTCCCACTACTACTATGATCACTCTCATCTACCTACCTATCTTTTTGTTGTATTTATTTTGTGTGCTTCTCTAGCTTATTAGTATGTTTTATTTTTTCAGGTAGGAGAGTATATAAATTATATACTCTCTCCGTCCCAAAAAGATTTACACCTTTCAAAAAAATTGTTTCCCACAATCTCCTACCCATTTCTATTAAAAAACCACTTTTACCCCTTACTTTTTGTTATTTTGTGTGCTTCTCTAGCTTATTAGTATGTTTTATTTTTTCAGTTAGGAGAGTATATAAATTATATATAGAAATACTCCTTCCAGTCTCTCATGAAAACCTTTTCTTTTTCACTTTCTACGCACACACATACAGTTAATGCCAGATGGTCAAGTTAATTAGTAGTTACTTCGTTCTACAAAAAAAGTTTCACATTTTTTTTAGAAAGATTGTTGTAACTCTTCTTATTTCTTTCTCCTTTGCATTGTTTTTACACCAAGGTTCAAGTGACATTGAACCTTGATGTCATGGGATGACCCGGGGCACTCCGGTGCCCCGTTCATAAAATTGACGGTTCCTAACCCCCCGGTAAACCCCCCACCCGGCCCCATGACATCAAGGTTCAATGTCACTTGAACCTTCTCCTTGTTTTTAACCAAGCGATTTCATCTTTCTTAAGTTTTGTGGCAATGAAATATTTTCGTGGGACGAAAGTAGTACGGAGTAGTAGTTAAGGGCCACCGACGGGTGAAAAAACAACCATGTTTGGTATATACACTACGGTTGTACAATAAAGGTGTGCATCGACATTTTGATAATTCACACTGACATAAAAGTATTAATAGTTTAGAAAAATTTTGAACTAGTAATTTGTGTCAGTGTGAACAATTACGGATATATATAAATTACAGTGGCAGTACACGCTAATGATCATGTACTTCTTCCGTCCCATAAAACTTTTCTTAGACGAAAAAAGGCACAACCTAAAAATGGGTGATTTTGATACTCCCTCCGTCCATCATATATCTTCCCAATAGCCCTTTTTCTTTGTGCATAATAGATCTTCTCATTTCATTTTTTTAACAATTAAAATACCACAACTACCCCACTTACTTTATTTATTACACCTCACCCACCACATTTAATACACTTCACCCATTTTCATTAAGGGTATTATGGTAAACTTTCACCTTTTTTCAACTCTCCTTAAAAACCACCAAAAGTCAAAATGAGAACATCTTAGGGGGACGGAGGGAGTATTATTTTTTAATTTTGGCCCGTCTATCATACAAATTATATTTTATTTTATTATAAATTTAGGTCAAAATTAGAAAATAGTACCAAAATTATACTTCCTCCGTCCCAAAAGCTCTTCTCCTTTCCTTTTTCATCTGTCCCAAAAAAACTCTTCCCTTTCTCTATTAAAAAGTCACTTTTACCCCTAATAATTCTTAATCTACCTATCACATCATACTTTTTCTCTTTTAATCTACCCATCACATCCTACTTTATCCATCATATCAAAGGGCATTTTTGGAAAGTCAATACCAAAATACACTCCCCTTAAATCCTTTAAAAATGTAAATGATAAGTTTTTTGCGGGACAGAGGGAATACATTTTTAGGGTGTGCTTTTTTCGTCTCTGAAAAGTTGTATGGGACGGAGAAAGTATAACTTGAGGTACAACGTAACCTTTAGTGTACAAGTAGCTTTATTAAAAAAATGTACGTATCAGCATATGCTAAACATCACGTAGGAATGGTGGGTAATGTGTGACGTTGGTCAGTTAGGAAAGTTATGTTCATTTTGAACTCATTTTCTTGTTGTATCTTACGGAGTACTTCTTTGTTCAAAGGAAGCAAAATATGCATGAAATGGCGGATTGCACATACATGAATCATTTGCCTAAATTTGCCTACAAGTGAAAACCTCATCACACTAAGAGTTGTATTCCAATGGAGCATGTTTTTCACTTTATGATTATTAGTAAATTTCAAAATGATCTTTTTTTAATTTATACTCCATCAGTTCTCAAAAATACTTTCTCTTTCATTTTTTTTCACTTCCAACAAAACACTTTCACTTTCAATTAAAAAACCACTTTTACCTTTACTTTTTCATACTTTACCTACCACATTATACTTTTTCTCTAATAATCTATCTATCACATCTTACTTTTACTCATCACATCAAGGGCAAAATTGGAAATCAACTACGTACAATTTAACACTTCCTTATTTTAACACTTGGTCAAAATAGAAACTCTTTTTAAGAACGGAGAGAGTATAATTTATAGGTATTTTTCAAATTAGGTTCTACTCCCTCCGTTCCACAAAACCCTTCCGGTTTTGATTTTGGGAAAAAATAAGGAAAGTCAAATTTTGGTTGACTTTCCAATTTTGCCCCTGATGTGATGGGAAAAAGTAAGATGTGATAGTTTGGTTATTAGTGAAAAAGTATGATGTGATAGGTAGGGTATGAAAAAGTAGGGGTAAAAGTGGTTTTTTAATAGAAAATGGAAGTGTTTTGTGGAAAGAAAAAAAACAAAAGAGGAAGGGTTTTGTGGAACGAGGGGAGTATTCATTTCAGCTATTGAAACACAATTAGATGTTTGAAAAGTTTGAAGGAGTTCAAAGAAAACTAAAAGTAATTGAAAAAACTAGAAAAAATTGGAAAAAGAAACTGAAAGTACGTAGTAGAAAAGAAGTTGGAAGAAGCTCGAAAGAGTCGATAGAAATTGGAATTGAAGGAGTTGGAAATACTATATTACTAGGAGTCGGAAAACATTAGAAGCTAAGAAATTGGAAAAAAAATATAGTGGTGAAAAAAATAAAAAATGTTGAAAATATTATCTTATTTTATAGATTTTATATTTTTATTTGAAAAATTTATACTCTATTTTTTTAATTTTTTAAATCTTTTTTATCTTCTTTTATGTCATTATATTTTATCTCAAATCATATTAGTAAGTTCTGTGTGACTAGCTCGCAATATTATTATTTTCTTCAAGTTTTAAAATTAGTATCAATAATATAATTTTTCATTTCTTAATTTGTACGGAGTATATCACTAAATTATGTGACAAAAACAAAGAAACAAATGAAGCAATGTTTTTTTATTAATCTTAGTTGAAAGAAAAACTGGTATAAATGATGTAATAATGTTTTGACCAAACAAAGCTTTCTATTCTTTATTTAATGAATTTTTTTAATGTACTAAAATTTACTCCCTTCGTACTAAAATGATATTTTATATTCGAACGTTATGCAAATACTACTTCCGTCATAGTGTATTTGTCCACTTTGATTTTTTCGAATTAAAATGGACAAATTTTAAACTTCAATTACTCTCAATTTGTATTGCATATTAGTATAATGAAATATAATCATAAAAATTCTTAATAAGATAAATCTAAGTAAATCATTTTATACTAAAATACATTATAGTTTGAAAGTAATTGAGCTCAAATTTCATCTTGTTTGACTCGAAACAGTCAAACTAGACAAATACGTTACATTGGGACGGAGGGAGTAATTTTTTTAAAATTATTTTATTTATACGTTGGTATACAAATAAATAATAAAAGTCACATATTTTAAAATACTACTCCCTCCGTTCCATAAAACGCTTCCCCTTTCGTTTTTTTGAATTCCCTAAACTCTTCAACTTTCTATTAAAAAATCATTTTTACCCATACTTTTTCACACCCTACCTATCACATCATACTTTTTCACTAATAACAAAACTATCACATCTTACTTTTACCTATCACATCAGGGGCAAAATAGGAAAGTCAACCAAAATTACACTTTTCTTATTTTTGCCCAAAATCAAAAGTAGAAGGGTTTAAAGGAACGGAGGAAATATATCATAAGTTCTGTAAAACAAAAGCTGACATAAATATATTATTTTATCGACTCATCCATCAATGAAAATATGTAAACAAATTATCAAGAGAGCGTGGCAAAAACCATATCGGCATAGAGCAGTGGTGGGTTTGGAAGTTGGCGAACAAGTTCTGAAGAGACTAACGCAACCCATATAATAAAGATTTCCATAGAAGATAAAACCTTTCTTGGGAACTGATCCGAATAACCCGGATGAAGAAAATAAAAGCATTGTTAACATGATAAACCCTCCAATTTCAGGCAACTGCAATACAAAGCAATACCCGAATAATAGTCATCTTAGGTGCAGGAGAAATGGGTTTCATTATCCCTGCTCGCCCTGCAGGGAGCTGGCTCTCATGCCATACCATGTAGAAATATAGAAAAATCAAACCCATTTTCTTATTCACATGTCAATGAATTTAAGCAAATTTATACGAGCCCTAAGTACACGGGCCAGGCCCAACAACAAAATATTCGCAAACTAATACTCCATCCGTCCCAAAAAGATTTACACCTTTCAAAAAAATTGCGTCCCACAATCTCCTACCCATTTGAATTAAAAAACTACTTTTACCCCTTACTTTTTCAAACCCTATCTATCACATCATACATTTTTCCTAATAATCTACACATCACATCTACTTTTACCCATCACATCAAGGATATTTTTGGAAAGTCAACACAAAAATATGACTCCCTTAATTTCAATTTTAGTCAAAACGTGTAAATGTTTTTGGGAGGGAGGTAGTAATATATGCTAACTTACGTTTAGTAATTTCTTATTTTGATAATGAACCATTTGGTCATAGTGTTTGTCCATCATATAAGTAAATTAAGTCTAATTACAAACTTTTTGTTTTTTAACATTTTTTAAAATTCTATGGAAATTGTAGTACTCCGTATAACTTTTTATAGGATTAATGAAGGCTTCATTTATTCCAAAAAAGACTTTTTTTTAATCCTCACAGAAAAGTTTCTCCTTATTTTTTTGGAAAACTTTGAGTGCCTTAAAATCTTACTCTTCTACCTGACTTTTAATCACACATTTTTTTCTTTATTCAAATATCTTGAAAAGTCAAATTAAGAGTCTTTTTTGAGACGTAGGGAATAAGTATCAATAACATATACGAGTATGCATAGCTAGTCAAAATTTTAACATGGTATCAAAGCATTTCTGATTTTCATGAGTTTAATTCTTCCTGGTTGTTTGGATGTAGGCTTAGCAATATGAAATGTAATTTTGTTGAGTTGGTTATAAGAGATTGAAATATAACCATCCATGCATTGTGTAGGTGTTATGGATTATATAGTACTCCCTCCGTCCCTTAAAAAAGTTTCCGTTTTGACTTTTTGAGGATTTAAGTGTAGTGTATTTTGGTGTTGATTTTCTAAAAATACCCTTTGATGTGATTGATAAAGTAGAATGGGATGGATAGATTAATAGAGAAAAAGTGTGATGTGATAGGTAGGTTAAAATTAGTAGGGCTAAAAGTGACTTTTTATAAGGAAATGAAAAATGTCTTTTGGAACGGATGAAAAAAAAAGGGGGACTTTTTTGCGGGACGGAGGAAGTAGGATATTTGATTATATATTTATTAGTTATTTAGTACCCCCCTTCTTTTGACAACAAAAAATAATGTTATAATATGACAACAACTCTAACCGAAGTACTTGCGCTGCTCCAATAATAAAATTGATGGTTTCTATCCCTCACCCCGGCCCGCCCTCACCCCAACCCCTTCAATCTTATTCCCCAAATTTATTTGACTTTTGGGTCAATTTTTTTATCCAGAAGTCAATAAATTTAAGGAGGGTTGGGGTGATGGGTTTGGGTCATGCTGGGGGTTAGAGGGGTAGGAACCATCATTTTTACGATCGGAGTACTATAGGTAACTGATTGAAGGTGTTGTCATATTATGACAACATTCCTTGTTGTCAAAAGAAAGGGACTCTTATTATTGTAATCTAGGTTTATTCGGTGAGTGAAATTATAAGCTTTTTTGAGGTTTCTCTCAATGAAAGCACTAATGATCTCTAATGTATAAGTTATTAAAATTATTACTCCGTATTATTATTATTATTATTATTATTATTATTATTATTATTAAGTGGTATTTCATTAATCCCCACTAGTTTGTTAAAATAAAGATGTAGTAGGAGAGATTGTTGAGTCGCTACTTCGTACTCATGCAACGTATTTTGTTTCTTTGTAGTATATTGTATCATTTCGCTTTTTTCCCTGTTTTTAATTACTCCCTTCATTATAAAATTAATTTTCTATTTAACTTTTTACGATTTCCAATGTAAGACGTTGAGAATAATATTTTCAATTGTATACAAATGTATATTTTAAAAGTAGTTTTAAAACACATTTCAAAACGAATCTATTGACATTATATTTACACAAAAAATTAATACTTCGTATATATAGTTAAAAAAACTAATCGTAAAAATTAAACTCATAAATTAATTTTAGGACGAATAGAAGAAGTAATGGAGTACATTACATTTAATTTTCTTCCTCCCTATCATATTCAAAAATATAATGAGGAATTGTTTCCAATTTTTTATTTTCTTGTTTAGAATATCTCGCATTAATTAACGATTATTAGCTTGCAACACAAGCACTAATATTTCTTGTTAATCACGTATAATCAGTTATTTGGGCCCCCGCCCTAATGTATCATTTACCTAGTATAAATATGAACACTAGGAGAGCATTTAATCCGTATTATTACAAACTACAGAGAGAGAGAGAGATTTATCAACAAATATTCTCAAGTAAATCGCAATTAGTGTATTGAAATCATGGGAAAACAAGGATTCTTCGCCCCACGAGAAGACGCGTACACTCCTCTGCAGGTGATCCGCGCCACCAGCGGCGCCGTCATGGCCAAATCTTGCGTCAAACCGTTCGAGTACCCAGTCCAGATTCTGGTCACGGCCGCCGGCAACGAGCTGGAGCGCGCCGCCACGGAGCTGGCCAGTGTCTGCCTCCACAGGAACATCCTCGGCGTCCACGTCTCCTTCCAGTCCGACAGCAACAAGAACCAACGGTGGACCGTCATGCCCTCCGTGTCTAGGGTTCCTCTCAAGTCTCTTCTCGCGGCGTCCCCCTCCCCTCTCCCGGAGTCCGGCGTGGGTTTGCTCCTCCGGGAGACGCTGGAGGGGCTGGAGTGGCTGCACCGGGTGGGCGGGGAGGCGCACGGAGGCGTCTGCGCGGACAACGTGTACATGGACGCGGAGCAGTTCTGGATGCCGAAGCTAGGGTTCCGGGAGTTGATGTGCCGGAAGAAGAAAAACACGGCGGAGTGTTGGGCGGCGCCGGAGAGGGTGCATGGGAAGGCGGCGGACGTGTGGGCGTTCGGCCTGTTCGCGCTGGAGCTCGTCTACGGCGGAGAGATTCCGGCGTCTACGTACGCGGATTTGAGAAGGCTGCTGGAGGACAACTTTGTGGGTCCCAAAACAACATGGTTCCCAACTTCTTGGAACAGGTTATTATTATTCAAGAACAAGAAGAACAAGAAGGAGATGGTGAGAATATCAGAATCTTTGGGGTATTTAATAAGAGACTGTCTTCGTGAAGATCCAAGGGAGAGGCCATCTTCAACACAGTTGCTTCAGGAACACCCTTATTTCTTGGGGGGTTCCATTAATGGTGGTTCAAGAAAGGAGGTCAAAGAGGTTCTTGCCAATCAGTTCAAGAAAGCCGAAGGGCGTGCACGTTATTAGTTGACTAGCTATTTCAAGAAGGTATATATGAATTTGTAATTGAATCTGTTAGTTCCTGTTATTGTGATTCATATGATGCTACTTCATTCAATTCATTAAGTGAGTTAATACGTTTTTAAATTTCATCAAGGCATTCAATTCAAAATTTGTGCGTGGAAGATCGACGATGACGACGATGATGATACATTACATGATGAAGTGATGACGATGGCGGCAACAGAGATTGATAGGGAGGCATGACGAGGGTCAAGTGGTGTTTCGAGACTGCGTTTTAGTCTTTCTAAGATTATTTTGTTGTTCAAATATGTATATGTATGTTTTTTATATTGAGCGGAATTATAAGCTCTTTCAAGGGTTTTCTTTTCGGTTCTTTCCCTTGACGCCTTTGTTGAACCGACAGGAATAGAACAAATTGTATTGGGATATGTGCATAATAAGAACAAAGTTACATTGCTTCTCTAAACCCTAATTTTTTTCTCTCTTCCTCCTAAACCCTAGCTAGCCCACTTCTCCGGTTATTCTTCCCCTTTTTTTCTATTTGGGTTAGTTACGCAAGGAGTATCATTTACTCTTCATTTTTTCGTAATCTCCCAATGCAAATTTTTTCGTTAATTTTGTATTTTAAAAAACGTACTCCGTATATACTAGCTCTACTTAAAAATAAACTCTAATTTGGTTTTTATCACATACACGTTCTAAAAGAAATTAAGTCCTACAAAGTGAAGCACAAGTACAATAGTCGAAAGAAATATTTGCACCAAATAGCATTAAAACTTAAGTCATTTTCTTAAATAGCACTTAAACTGTTTTCTTCCCTAAATAGCACTTAATAATGTCCATAATGTCCAGTGATGGCGAATATTTTCTTGAATAATGACTAATGCATAATGACTAAAAGTGCTACATTGGGAAGAAAAACACATGTGGTGCTATTTAGAGAAAGTCATTATGTTTTAGTGCTATTTAAGTAAATTCCTCTAGTTGAAACTCGTTCAATTATATATATACTCTCTCCGTTCTCAAAAACACTTTCTCTTTCATTTTTTTCACTTCCAATAAAACACTTCCACTTTCTATTAAAAAACTACTTTTACCCTTACTTTTTCATACCCTACCTATCACATCATATTTTTTTTTCTAATAATCTATCCATCACATCTTACTTTTACCTATCACATCAGGGGCAAAATTGGAAGTCAACTACTCCGTATAATTTAATACTTCCTTATTTTGCATCCTAGTCAAACTAGAAAGCTTTTTTGCAAAAGGACGGAGTAGAAGGCAAAAAATCTAAGGGACGCATTTCATACTTAAACAAGAAAGGTAAATAAAGAATTGTAAAATTATCTTGACACAAAAATGTAGTACCCTCGATTAGTTACACAATTTGGAGTAACTCTTTATACAAACCACAGTCACAAATTTTATTTTCTTAAACATGGTAATAACCAAACAAGAAAGAAATTATGGGTCGAAGAGAATGGAAAAATGCATACTCTCTTCATCCCCAAAAACACTCCCGTGTTTGATACTCCGTATATTGATTACGTACACAATCACAACTCTAATCAATGAAAAAATAATTTTAAACAAATAAGGTCTATAAAATCTAGGTGAACCTTAGCTTATACTCCCTCCGTCCCTAAATAAACTTCCATTTTTGACTTTTTGAGGATTTAAGGGAGGGATATTTTTGTTTTGACTTTTCAAAATTACCATTGATGTTATGTGTAAAAATAAGATGTGATAGACAGATTATTAGTAAAAAGGTATGATGTGATAGGTAAGGTATGAAAAAGTAAGGCGTAAAAGGAGTTTTTTAAGGGAAAAAAGAAGTTTATTTGGGGACAAAGAAAAAACGAAAGAGTAAGTTTATTTAGGAACGGAGGGAGTATCTACCAAATTTTTTCTTTAAAATAAACTCAATTATATTCAGTTTACATTAAACTACATCGGTCTCAAAACTTAATTTATTTCAAAATTTATATAGTAATTAAAAATTTAAGTTGAAGAAAGTTCCTTCAAACAAAAATGGCTATATCACGTAAATAGGACTTAAACATATCACTTTTCTTTAAATAGAATAAGTCATATTTACTTTAACGTTTGACAATGAAAAGTTCTAAATTGTCCTGCCTTTAAGAAAAATGAGATATTACACAATTCAAGTAGGATAAGACATTATTTAAAGAAATTTGAATAGTCATTGAAATAATCAGTCGTTATCCAATATTTATTGCTAATGACCACTTTCGTAGAGTCATTCTATAATCAGTCATTATCCAACCCTTGTTGCTAATGAAGAAAATACAAATCTATATACGTGCAACATAGTAATAATAATAACAATAATGATAACAATATCGGTACAGCGCTCAAACAATTAAACAATAATAAAGTACAAATAATAGTACTCCCTCCTTTCCGAAATTGAGCTCTCTATTTGACTTTTTTTGTCAAAGTTTATAAATTTAATCTAGATCTATGAAAATATATTGTGTTGTGATATCAATATAATATCAATAATTTCTTTTTGAAACATAGTTTTGAAAAATTAAATTTTAATAAAATATATTCATGTCTAAATATAAATATTAATGATAAAGTGTTACATTAGAAATCGTAAAAAGTCAAATAAAAAGAATGAGGGAAGAAATAGTGATCCGGAATGATAATGAGAAAATAATTAGCAAAGGTTATTGGATTTGGTATCAAATTAATTACGAGTAACAAAATAAGGTCGTACAAGTAAAAAATATTTGTTGTGCATGTGTGATCCATATCATAATGCATGCCACCTTATGGAATATTGTACGCCGCCATGAGTGGTTGTTTAACCGTATCTTCCGCCGCATCGGGTGAACTTGCTGCAGCCGCGGGTGTAGGGGCGGACGGCGGTGTGGGAGCGGCAGTTGTAGTAGGAAGGGCCGCGGCGGTTGCAGGGGATGCTGTCCCTCCGCATCGCCCCGTAGCTGATGTACCGGCTCTGGAACAGCAACCGCCTCGACCCTTCCGACTCCATCATCAGCTCCTCCGCCGTCTGCTCGATGTCCATCGCCCCGCCGCTCTCGGCGCCGGCGAACGACTGCACCGCCGCCTGCATGAAGCTCGACCCTTGGTCGATGACGTTCAGGTCGGCGACGTTGAGGGAGAGTGCCGGCGGAGTGTTGGCCTGAACGAGGAGGAGGAGGAGGAGGAGGTTGAGCCCGCGCTTATTCATCGTTGGCGCCATTTCGACGTGGGATCAGATGTTATGAGCTGAGAGGTACTAAATAAATGTCGCCACATTTGCTCGTAATTGTGATTTAATTATAGATTAGTTTCGTGACTCGGCGCAATTAGCGGGGAAGATGTGTGGGGTTTCGCTGGTTAATAATCCACCTTCCCCTGCACCGCTATATTGTCGCACTCCCACACATGGATTTTATCAAGGTACTTCCTCCCATTGTCTCCTTTTGAGATTTTTTTTCATTATAAAATTTTATTGTTACTTTAAAACATAATAATATTTCCGTCAAGGGAAGAAAGGTAAGTGAATAAAGTTAAACCCTGTAAGTAGTGAATATGAATATAATTTTAGAACGAAGGGAGCAATATTAAATATTGATACAAAACTAATTTTTATAAATTTTATTTAATTATAAATTTTATTTAATTATAAGTCAATATAGATTATAAGTCAAAGTTTAATTATAAATTTTATTTAATTATAAGTCAATATAGATTATAAATTTTATTTAATTATAATCTAATCAATATAGATTATAAATTTTATTTAATTATAAGTCAAAGTTTAAATATGCACGTTTGAATGAAAAAAGTTAAAAGTGGATAAATACTTAGAGAAACCTACTTTCTTTTATACTCGCTCCATCCCTGAAAATTTTTCTCCTTTCATTCTTCATCTGTCCCAAATTTTTTCTCTTATTTCTATTAAAAAATCACTTTTAAACTTAGCAATTCTTAACCTACATATCATATCAAATATATATTCACTATTAATTTACGTATTATATCTTACTTTGACCCGCCATATCCAAAGATATACCTAGAAATTCAATACCGAAATACACTCCTCTTAAATTCCTTAAAAATCAATTTTTTTCAGGGGAGGTAGGAATTATATTTCCACTCGAGTGGTAATTATGGATGTCCTTCCAAGTACTTTCAATAAATTCTTTCTCTTTTATTCTTTTATATTTCTCTAAAACACTTCCACTTTCTACTCCCTTCATCCCTAAATAAACTTCCTTTTTTGACTTTTTGAGAATTTAAGGAAAGAATATTTTTGTGTTGACTTTCCAAAAATACCCTTGATGTGATGTGTAAAAGTAAGATGTGATATGTAGATTATTAGTAAAAAGGTATGATGTGATAGGTAGGGTATGAAAAAGTAAGGGGTAAAAGAGGTTTTTTAAGGGAAAAGAGAAGTTTATTTGGGGACAAAGAAAAAACGAAAGGGGAAGTTTATTTAGGGACGGATGGAGTATTAAAAAATCACTTTTACCCCAAATTTTTCATATCATACATATCACATCATACTTTTTCACTAACAAATCTAATCATCACATCTTACTTTTACCAATCAAGAGTAAAATTGAAAAATCAACCATAAATATATTTTCCTTATTTTGACTAAAAGTAAGAAATGGAATTATTGAAACAGAGTAAAGTGTATTTTCTTGACATTTTGATTGTTTGCTCGGTCCTAAATATAGTTTTGGGTCGGAAGTTATGATGAATGACCAAACTTATTTTTAGTTCAATTTTATAAAATAAAAGATATAAAAATTCAAAAAATAAAATTTATATTTTCTCTATCCCAAAAATGTTTGTCACATTACACGAAATAAAATAAGTTTTAAGTTTTTTTTAGTTCATTTTATTTAAAGATTGGTGTAGAAATAAAAAATAAACTTGTCGTATATAAAAACTACATCAGAGTTCTTCAAAGCAAAAAAGTGGCAAAAATATTTTATTTTGTCAAAAAATCATTAACACTACGTTTGGTTCAAAGAATTTGGAAGGAAAAGAAAAGAAAATGGTTTTCTCTCATTTTCCTCACCAAAATGGAAGGAATTTGGTTTTCCCTCCACTTGGTACATTTTGCCTTCTCATTTTCTTTTTCTTCCACTTTTTCTTTCTTTTCCCCTCTAACCAAACAAGAAAAACACTTTTCCACCTCATTTTCTTTTCTTTTCCCTTTCAAATTCTTGGAACCAAACATAGTGTAAGTTTTTTGATAAAGAATTGTGACATTCTTTTTTTGGGACGGAGGAAGTAACATATGCTGAGGCAGCGAAGACAACGGTTCAATTAGGTACTTCAATCGATGGTTCCTATCCCGAACTCATCTCCCTTTGACTGCGTCGTCTTTCCTCTGGCACTAGAAATTTTCCCTACACTAAACACTAGGAAGAAATATCATTCAGTGCATTGCATATATAGCTGAGATCGTAACTTTTCATGAATTTGAATGAAGAGATTGTGTGATGAGATCGTAGAGTCTGCATCTTATAGATCGTGTCTCCCAGTAAATTCTCGAATAGTCCTTTGTAATAATATATTTTCCCAAATCAGTCCTCAATAAGTTTTAATTACCTACGTGGTCCTCTATATTTGAGATTTATTCCTAAGATGGTTCTTCGTAAATAATGTTACTCAAATGAGGATTAATTGAAGGTATTTTGATATTTTTTATCAGCTAAATTTAGATTTAATTATTAAAATGATCATTTATACAGATGTGATTTCCCAAAATGATTTTTTCTAATTAAAGATGTGTATTTGATTTGAAATTTAAAAGATTTTTTTATAAGTTTTAAATAATTCATGAATTATTTATAGTCAATGTATTTTTTCAATTTTACATTTAGTTGTATAGAAATAACTGTTTCGAGAATATACTTTAGATTTGGATGATCAAAATACCAAAATATCTCTCAATTAATTATCATTTGAGTAACATTATTTATAAAGGACTATCTTGGGAATAAATCTCAATTATAGAAGACCATGTAAGTAATTAAAACTTATTAAGGATTGAATTGGGAAAAGACCTTATTACAAAGGACCATTTTTTAAATTTACTCCTACTTTAAAAGACGATACATCGTGTGTTTAACCAGTAGCAACAGTAGTTGCTACTATATACTAGTATTACAACCCGTGCAATGCACGGGTTCGGACGAATATTTTGTCGATTTTGAATTTATTCAATGCAATATTTTTTCCACAATAAAGGAAATATACTTCATGCATGATTTATAATAACACACAAAAGAAAGGCAAAGTAAAAAGAATAATATTTGAGGAATTGAATCTACACACAACAAAGTTTGCTTTAATACCAAATTTTTTGAAAGATTTCAGGGTATACAACATTTTTTGTATGGCTGCAAGGATTTCCATTGTCATCTAAGACTAATATTTTTAATCTTATCTTTGTCTTCACCCGCGAAACAGCAACATAAAGCTGACCGTGAGTGAACACTGACTTGGTTAAAAATAATCCAACAAATGACAATGTTTGACCTTGACTTTTGTTTATAGTCATAGCAAAACATAAGACTATTGAAAATTATCTTTTCTGGAACTTTAGAGGTAGTCTTGGATCAGACGGAACCAAATTCATCCAGGGTATGTAAACTTTTTTTGCCCACTCGATTTTCTGAAACCACAATAGCACCAATAACATTCTTTCGCATCTCGTCAACAATTAATCTTGTACCATTACACAATCCAGATGTTTGGTCAATGTTCCTCAGTAACATAATTGGTACCCCTTTTTTTAAAACTATCCTGTGGTTTGGGATTCCCGAACATTTGATTTCATTTAAAAACTCAACTGTTATCCAGTCGCCATCAACACCTACATTTGAATCTGCTTCGCATGATGAATCAGAACTCAAGTACACCATTTCGTCTCCGGGAATGTGTTGGAGTTGTGCCCTGATGGCCAACTGTTTATCGTTATTCTATCATGTATAGGCAGATATAATATGTTTACACATCTCATGCTAATGTAAACAAATATTATATTCCTAGAATTATATTTAAAAGATGTTTATCAGATAGTGTTTTTCTGTTGATGAGACTAACATCTCGAAATAAATATTTATCTAAATGTCCATAGTCGAGTATTAACGAGAGTGGGATATCGTTAATGCATGTGAGACTAGTGTGTGTTGGATGTTTGACTTAGTCTCATAGTCAATGACGGTGTGTTCGCATCCGCACATGGGCAGATATTATCTAGAGATAATAGGATGCCGGACTGACCCATCCTAAAGATGTTGCTTGAACTTTTAGTTCATGCTCTAAGCATCTTTAGCGCGACCACGGGTGTAACTATCCTTNGATTAATGTCTTATGGGGCCCACTGATAAGTCATGACTGAGGAAATTGCATGGCCATGCTGAGATGTTTTTATGACGTCTGTTCCTATTAGTCAGACTTGATAAATCAGTGAATGACTTAATGGATACAAGCTGGATTTTATTAATCCCTTGCATTAAGTCTAGACATTGAGACAAAGGGATAAAGTTACACGGAGTCTGAGTCGTGGAAAGGTTTTGACGGTGCAAACGTCTTAACTTATAATCTGGGGGCAATAATGTGTTGCTAGATACCGCTTATTGCTTATAGTATTGGTGCAGAGCCAATACTGTGGCCAGCTTTATAAGTGTCTATACGGGTCACACACTTTGAACAATTTAAGGAGTAGGATTAAACAATGGGATAATAAGTAATTTGTATATTTGTAAAATAGTAAAATAAAATATTTTGGAATATAATAATATATATATATAAATATTCGGTTATATATTATATATATGTGCCGATTAATATATATATATTATATGTTGAATATTTTATTTTGATTTGTCATTTTAATTATGAAAATAATTATTTTGACATAAACTATTTCAAGTATATTTGTATACTTGTTTAAAAATGATATGGGTATTTTTATTTGATTTAAAATTAATTTTATACTAATTTTTGGTGTCAAATAAAATACACTTTGAACATTTGAGTGGAGAAGAATTTTAAAAATCCTTCTCACAATCAAACATACGGCCAAGTGGAGATTATTGAATCAATTTCTCTTCTTGATTGATTCTTTAGGGGAGCTAATAGTTTTTTAACATTTTGCTTAATGACAAAGTATGATTAATCAATTTGTAATCTTTTGTTTTCTTTTTAAATGGTTACACGACACATGAAATAAATATAGGGTGAAGATTATCATTTAGTTGGTGTGTCATTCGGCCATAATTTTTCTAGAGAAAGAAAAATTCTATTGTGTTCCATTAATATCATTTTGTGTATAGAAAATATCTATAATATTTTCTAAATATTATTAGAAATATTTTCTATAGAAATATACAAGATTATTATTATCCCAATTTTAATCTTTATATTTTATACTACTATAATCTTTACTAGCATAAAGATTGTGGTAAACTCCGGCACTGTTTGTGTGTCAAAGTTGGAGACCGGACGCTTGAACGGTTACGTTTGCACTTTCAACGCTCTTCCTGCGACTTCTTCGTTTTTACCGCTTACGGAGAAAGGTACAAATTTCTTACTACTATAAGTTTTAGTACGTGATTCTGGACAAGATAATCATGTTAGGATGTTAAAATTTTTATATTCCACTGCCTATCCTTGCATGGTTACCTTTCAGAATGAGGGATAAAACAAATTCATTTATCATTTCTACAACTTCGAGCGTGGGTGCTAGTAGTGCCCTGTCTTCAAAAAAAGAATAACTTCTCATATTCTCCAATAAGTTCGGATAAGTAAAGTCCACTATACTTTTGAGGGGTGAGCTGTTATCTATAATCAAAAATTCGAGAGGAATTTCAACATCAGTAGTTCCATCAATCACTTGTCCAAGCTTTCCATCTCCAACTTTGATTATCCAATCAGAAAAATCTTGCGTGTCTCTATCTACGCAAGAGGACGTTGATGAATGCAATCTCATATTCTTCGTTAACTTAAAAACTTTACAATAAGACCACAAATTTGATAAATTAGAGGTAGCACCGTACCTACAATTTTATCTCTCGAAGCTCTGGGTAAAACAGGAAGAATTTGTCTGAAATCACCTCCGAGTACAACCGTTTTCCCTCCAAATGGTTCATTTATTGAGTTTGGATTAGAGAACTTCATTAGATCTCTCATCGTGCGATCCAATGTCTCAAAAGCAAATCTATTCATCATACATGTTTCATCCCATATGATTAAACTTGTCTGTTGAATTAGTTCTGCTTTTGGGCTCCCTTGTTTGATGGCACACGTTGAGCACTCTGTTAGCGCCAAAGGAATTGAAAATCTGGAGTGTGCTGTCCTTCCCCCAGGCAAAAGCAATGCTGCAATCCCACTGTATGCGATATTCAAGACAACTTTACCACTTGATCTTAGAGAAGCACACAATGATTTCCAAAGAAATGTTTTTCCAGTTCCACCGCAACCATACACAAAAAAGAATCCTCCTTTTTCAGCAGTCACAACTTCCATTATTTCATCGTATATCTTCCGCTGATCTTCATTCATCGTAGATAAGTATCCCATAAGATCAGATGACAACTTTTCTTTATCATAGTTCAACTCCTCAACCAACAAATTGTTTTGAAATGTATTGAGTGGACTGTCATCTCGAAATGGCATAGAACTGAATTGCCTCAAAGACCGTCCATTTGGATTAAGCAATTTTTCAATCTCAATCAGACATAAATTTTTTAGGTCTTCTTGAGAAATTATAAGCTCTGAAAAAAGAAATAGAAATAATGGAACTTATTTAATTCTACAAAGTTCCGAATAAAAATTGTAGGTTTCAAGACAATGCATTATGTACGGATTAATATGTTAAAAAACTACTTCTCTATTGATATACCTTGATTACGCAATAGTCTCCTTCGATCAAATAAAATTCCCCACCAGGCGTTCCCATGATTTTTCTCAAACAACTTGCGGGCAACTCATGGTATTTGTCACTAATAATGTGACGAACAACTTTCTAAGCTGATTCCCAGAACCTAACTCAACAGCTTCTTTTATACCTTCAATAAATTTCTTATCATCAGCAAGTAACCTAATGCATAGCATGCCTCCTCGAATGAGTTATGCAGAACATTGTTAACTGTCTTCATATTTTTCTTTCTTTTCAATTACAAAGTATACATTCTATTTTCAAAAAGTTTTCTTTTAAATTCAAATTTGTATAATTCTATTTTATTGTAAAGAAAAAAGTATTGTGATATGATTTATTTTTCTCTTTTTTATTAATTTTAAGTAATCCTGTACATCGGTCTGTTCAAGAGTGTATAAGTATTTGAAAAAAATATATGAATTATAAAGACGTTAAAATTTTAGGTGTGCATGAATACCTATTATCACTTTTTTTCAATATAAAACATATGCTATGTATTAAACATTGCGTTTGACATATGTTCATGAAAAAAATACATTCTTCATTGATTTATTCGAAGAGTTAAGAAAAAATGACCTAGAAAACGTACTATATAATTAAGAAGACAACTTTATACCATAGAGCAAAAACGTTGAAGTATGAATGATTTTCTTAAATCAAAGTTAATTATATTTTATTGAATGCCTCTAACTATTAATTCACTTTTCAAAATTCTAAATTAATTACCTATAAATTATGATAACATTTGTAAAGAGGTGTTTAAATCATATGTCAAGAGATGCAAATTTCATTAAATTTAAGATATTGAATTGAACAATCATAAACAATTGAACTCTATGGAATTGTTTTAGTATGACATAAAATCCTTACGTATCTCAATACATAGCAAAATATGATTATTTATTGTAAACTCAAAAAAACTCATAATCCAAAACCAACAAACACAACTTATTATCAAAGTGTACCATAATTCATCAAGTATTAAAAAAAACTTAAAGTATTTCATTATACTCCAACGACCAAATAATAATGACGATTAATTTTTTTCAATCTTAATACTCCTCATCTTGTAAACGGACTCATCTCCATCTCCAAGGTTAGATGACTCGCCTTGCATTCTTTTCATGGGAGTAAGATTGACCACATCATCTCCTGATTGTGTTGGACGACTTTCTTGAGATTCCACAAAATCCACTATTAAATTCTATAAGAAAAAAAAGCAAAGAAGACATATACACTATGAATAGTTCATAATATAATTAATCATGATTGTTCTTATGAATTAAAAGATCACAAAACTTGAATTTAAGATTGCACCTCAAGTGTAAAGAATAAAAAATAATGTAATTGTTATGTCTTGAATTTCAATACCTTTTGCAAGAAGAGGCCTTGTCAACTAAAATCACTTGTGAGTTTGTCTTCCCATCAGTTGAATATCCGATGGTCTTATCAGTCTGCAATAAAGAAAATATAAATATGTTATCAACCATAAATATACTATCGTTGAAGAGAGAAACACAATGAACTTTAAGTAAGTGTTTTAATTCCAAACCTTAGGAGAGAAAAATGTAGAGTGCAACTCCTTAAATTTTGCAATGACCCGGTCATTAAAGCATATGTCATTAACATTGTAAGAAGGTTCAAACTCATTGAAGCTTCCGGCGCCAACCTCAACCTTGAAGATAAATGACTTATCTAGCAACATTTGATTGAACACATTTGGTTGTTCACTTCCTCCTGAGACATTCTTTATAGGCAAACATGAACATTACTCCAGGCTAGATATCAATTTGACAGCAAGTGCGCATATTTTTTTTTAATCTCACATACCTTTTAAGCTTTGCATACATATAGCATCGATGAAATAAGTTTTGTATACATACCTCACAGAACTTCAGCATCTCGGAGCAGGACTTATGCAACAACAAATATCCAACGCTTTCAAATATTACAAAAGTTGCACTATCTGATGCATCGTTCACTCTAGCCTTAATTCGATACATGTGTATATTCATTATATTAATAGGGACCATTAGGTGTATTCAGATGTTTTTATCATTTGTTCAGTTTTTATAGTGTAATGTTTTTAGGCTCTTTTAAAATTTTTTGTGGAGATTATGAACAATGTTTAAGCAATATAAAAAGTCTTAGAGTCTAATGTTTTTAAACACTGGAGAAACTTCAACTTTAATAGACTATTAAAAGTAAAGAAGCCATTTTTTATTAGTTTTTCAGTACTTAGGGGCTGGAGAAACTGCAAGAATCTTTTACTTCCAAACCGATTCTTCATTTATTTATTCAATATGGGCAATTGAAGAATTTTGGTTTTTATACAGATTAGTGTAATTGTGTTTTGAAAGTAAAAGCAAAAAAACCTTCCAGCCACTAAAAAAATTATAAGAAATCCTATTAAACATAAATTTTATTTTGTATGCAAAATACGAATAAGAGTACAATTCTTACATGTTCGTCCATGAATATCATCTCAATCGAATTCGTCATCTTCTCATCATTATACACTGGCATCTTGTACAGTCGAATCACACGAACCAAAACTCTCCAGCATTCACTTGATGGATTGATCTTCAACAAAGGATGAATCGGTTTGGAAGACATGTCAATTAATCAGAGGTTTTAGGCATGAACGCGGCTTACAATGAAAAAATAGATTGATGAAATGGCTTACTTAAAATTTGATTTATATATGACCTAATATAAATCGCAAGAAGGAAACTTACAGCAATAAGGGTAGAGAATCCAGAGATTTGAACCGGAAAATTCGAAAGAAGAACAAATTTTGCAGAGACTAATCATCATAAGAAGGAAAGAAGGCCAATCATCCCAAAAACAATTATGATTTTTTAAGAAAAGGGAAAGTTACCTATTCTTGGTACCGATCGTTGGAATCTCCGTGAAGAAAGACCATGAAGAAGGAAAGAGATTAATTTCAATCACATATTCTCTAAAATCTCGCGGTGGAGCCATTCGAAGATGAATATCGCAGGGAGGTACAATCGAAGGAAAGTGCAGCTGATGTCTCGCTTCATTCAGACTTGCGGATGAATTCCACACAGAGTAGCCCAAATAAAAGAAGGCCAAAGTAATGAATCATTATCCAACCCGTTTGAAATATTGAGTAAGTCCAATATGATGACATGGCTTATGAAGTGTCAAAAAAAATTCCCGTCAGCATGACAAATGTCAAAATTTTGGGAGTTAAACTCCCAAATCCTTTATATATAAAGGATATAATCATATTAGTGTTCATTTGAGCACAATATTTTCATGCTGCTATTTTAAATAGAAAAATGATACTCCGTCCGTCCGGAAAAGAAGTACCCATTTTGACTTTTGATCATTTTTATTGAGTGTTGACTTTGTGATGGAAATGTCCATAATACCCTCCTGCCCTTCCCTAGTCCTTCCCTGCTATCTCACACTGGTCCTTCCCTGCTATCTCCGATCTATAGGAGTAAACCGTCACATCCTCTAAGCAAGACTATTGACCCAACCCAAACCAACACTGTCATCTCCACCCGCCGACCGTACTAGCAGGAGCTTTCTCAGGAAGCAGATCTGCAAGGAGATGAAGTTCAATGACCACAAAACTGACCCCCCCTACCACCTCCAGCAAAAGATCATACGGAGTATGTAATTTTAACAAGATCTAGACGGAAGAGGAGAATCGGAACAAGAAATTTCAAAAGAGATGGTGCAGATCTGGCCGGAAAAGAAGTAGATCGAGAAAAAATAATGGAGAAGAAAGGAGAAGAAGAAAAAAAGGAGAAGAGGGGGACTAAGAAAGAGACAGAGAGAGAAGAAGAAGATTGAAGTTAGGGGGATAGAGAGAGAAAAGAGAGAGAGGGAAGACAGAAAAGGAAAACAAGAAACGGAAGAAAGGACAGAGAAAAGAAGAAGAAGAAACGGAACAAATGAGGAGGGGGAGAAGGGGTAGTTTTGGAAGATTGGGTATGAAAACCTATAATGAGAACTTTATTTTCGGATGGAGAAAAGCGTAGAATGAGAAGTTCTTTTCCGGACGGAGGGAGTGTGAGATTGCGGTTGGTTTGTTAAAATACTCTATCCGTCTAAAAATTATCTTTTTGTTGCATGTTATGATTTTTGAAAAACAGTATTTTTAAATTATTTTATAGGAAAAATGACGTGAAATTAAAAAAAAATTACTTCCTCTATCTCGTAAAATATTTCTTATTTTGATTTTTGGAAGAGGAACCTATAGAAATTTTAGAAAAGTGAAAAGAAAAAAATTCAAACAACTAGGGCTCGAAAAGTGTCAAAATCGGTAGGGCATATAAAGTAGTTGGAGGATATACAGTTAGATTTTTGAAAATAAAGATAATTGAGTTCATGTAGGCCAAATTTAAATATTTTATGGGATATGAGAAAGCTAAATAATTTCAAGTTATCTACTTTCTCCGTCCTGCAATATATTTCTTATTTCTTATTTAGGCCAAATTAAAATGTTTTGTACTTTTTTCGGATATGTAATATGAGAAAGTTGAAAGGTTTTATTAAACGGAGAAAGTACAAAAATTGAGGTGACATAACTATACTTCACCATTTTATGGAATGTGCAAAAAAATCAAAGAAAAAATATTTGACAATGTAAATAATGAGCAAAAAAGTAAATTTTGGATGAAGTAAAAAATAAAAGAACAAAGTTGAATTGAAATAACTACACACCAACCAAGGTCCTGGGCCAATGCGACCCACTTTTGAAGCGGGCGTAAGTGGGCCTTGGCTGTGCCCATTTAACAATAATCACCTCATATTTTTTCTACGAAGTGTTTAAAGGCATCATACCATCTAGAACATGTATTGGACAGGTCTCGAAATTTCCAAAAAAAAAATACCAAATTGAAAAATATCCCAAAAGAATCGAATCATAAAGCAGTGAACCATCCATACGATATTTGGGAATAGTACAATATGACACCTCATTCTAAAAATCTCAAACCGAACATATGTATTAATATATTACAAAAATAATGATATACTTCGCATTTATATTTCTTCACTAAACAATAATTTTATTTTGAAAATTTGGTTCACATTTTATTGTGTGTAGGTTATATTAAATTTGCGGGAGGCAATTAACGTAAGTAGGGGATGAGCTGAGGAAGAAACTGGGTGGATGGGAGGTTACCAGAGGTTAGGAAAGAAATTATCAATTTTGCGAACAAAACACTGTAAGCATCCCAATTTGAATAGTGTCTTCCATGATCACTCAAAGTGTGGCGATGGAACATGGCCATATTATAAAAAGCTTACTATGAAATTAAGGAAATAAGAAGGGCTGTAAATGGATGACCGAAAATTCGATTACCGTCCGCATCCGTATCCGTTTATATGGAAAATATCTGTATCCGTTAAAACCGATTATTATCTGTATCCGGTAAAGGATATCCGATTGCTAAACGGATACGGATTTGGTAATCACACATCCGATCCGTTTATAATCCGCTCCGCATTGACATCCGTTTAAATAACCTTTTATTCGTGTATCCGATCCGTTGTATATAGTTTTTTCTAATTTTTTTATTTTTATATTTTGATTCTCTGTTGATATCTCACAGTATAAGACATTTTTATATGCAAAACACATGTGTAGACACACAAAAATATGTGTGTATATGTATTGTGTACATCTTTTTATGATATGTAGTCATCGTAAAATATTATAAACTATAAAAAATAAGAAATATAATTATCCCATAAAAAAATATAGTTGATTTAATAATATTTTGATTTAGTTTAATAGAAAATTAAAGTATTGTTTAATTTGGTTTACAAAATTGGGAACGGATACAGATACATCCGATATCCGACCAATATCCGATGGATACAGATAAGGATTTGATTTTCAGTATCCGTCAAGATCCGTATCCGAATTCGATATCCGACAAAAATAAATGGATACGGATTTGGTAATAACACATCCGATCCGATTGATATCCGTTTATTTTCAATTTACTTTAATAAAAATGTCGTTTACACAAAAAGTCTAACTCTATCCTATAATTATAAACTTATATTTTGATAGCAACTTAATTTAGAAAATTATAACATATACTTACTTTTTACTCCGTACTTTTTAGGAATAATTTGATTATAAATAACTTTTAATCTGTTATTTTTGTTTCGCTCGTAAAACATATCGTTGAAAAGCTCATGGCGAACTCTACCAAACATGACTAATATTGAATATAAAATATTGACTTCTTGGATTTTCACATTTTTTGGTCTAACAAATATAATAACTTATTTTATTTAAATATCATATAAAAGATTTATTACAATTTATTTACACACTACTAGACCCATTTTTAGGGCGTTGCAAGAGCAATTTTGACAATGGTCAACTAAGGCTGCGTTCCGTTCACCTAATATGATCAGATCTGATCTAATCTGATTGGATCTGATATGATTTAAATTCGAATTAAATTAAATTTAAAATAATAATAGTAATTTTAATTAATAATAGTAATAATAAGAAAATAATAATAATAGAAATATTGATAATAATAGTAATAATTATATACTCCGTAAATAATAATAATAATAATAATAGTGATAATAATAATAGTAATGATAATAATAATAATAATAAATATAATAATAATTGTAATAATAATAGTAATAATAATAATTATAATAATAATAATAGAAATAATAATAATAATAACACTAATATTAATAGTAATAATAATAATAATAAAATAATAATAATAATTGAAATATTAATAATAATAGTAATAAGTATAATAACAACTATAATAATTATTGTAATAATAATAGAAATAATAATAATAATAATAATAATAATAATATTAATAGAAATAATAATAATAATAATCATAATAATAATAGTAATAGTAATAATAATGACTATAATAATAATAAATATTATATTAATCATAATCATAATAATAGTAATAATAATCGTAATAATAGTAATAATAGTAATAAAAAATCTAATCTGATTTAAACTAATTTTCATAAGAATAAGAAATAAATAGAAAAAAATAAGTTGAACGGAGTGCAACCTAACTTGGTATGATTGTTGTATGAATGGGATTTGAGCTTAGGATCTGCCTACCAGACGGGACTCCATTCAACTTTCTAAAATAAGATTTTTCATGTGGAAATTATTAAAATAATCTGCTACCTCTTCACAGCAATCTTGTGAGATTCAATACTCATCAGCCTTCCATTTGCTATATATGCTATCAGGACGCAAGTATGGAGGAACATATCTTCCTTCAATGCAATGTAATTCAACAGATCTGGAGGGAGTTTTCAAATGGTGTAGATTGGGGTTCTCGCACAGCAAAACTAAAAAATCACTAAAGCTCCGTTTGGTACAAGAAATTCAAATTATGAAATTGGAATTGAAGACTTCAATTTCAATTCCAGTGTTTGGTAGTACAAAAATTATGTAGATTTGGAATTGATAGTGCAAAAAATGAATGAGAATTGTGAATTCAATTCTATGGAATTGAATCTCATGAAATTTCAATTCCAATTCAATTCCAATTCTATCAATTTCATATACCAAACGAACCCTAAAATTCTTCACCCAATTTACCACAAACAAATCACCAAGAAAACTCATGGAACCCACAACCAACAACTCATAGAAACCACAAGTTCTTGGAGATAAAGAAGATAACACGGATAATCTGAAAGTCGTGTAACACTTATTATTTCGGGTGTTGAATCCAAAAATCAATAAGATAAAATTCAAATTTGACAAAAGCAAGTGATGGTGTAAATTACCTAACCGGGTAAACTATACTAGACCGGGTCTAAAACAGTTCACTTGATTCAATAAAGTAAAAAGGTAAAAACACTCAAATGACCGGTAGGATTGTAGGTGGAAACACTTGTAGCCCAATTGATATTAAGATGAGAGAATGCACGGGTACTTTTACAAGGGAGTTTAGAGAGAATGAATTCGGATCCCTATCTCTGAGAGTTACAGCAGTATTTATACTAGGTTCGGGGGGGAACAGAACGTCGTGCACCTACGTGGAGGCACGTTCTCGGATGGTGGGAGGTGATAGGCTTTGTCTCTTAGCGGCCTTGTCGCCTAGTGAGGGAGATTACTTCCTTTGTCAGGTAGCGTCTTGGATGGAATGTTCGAGTATTTCCAACGATTCTCCACTGATATGGGTCGCTACAGTCCAAACCACCTCGGATTCTTTCTTGCCGACGCTCTCCAACCCTAGAAACTGCACTGGGTAATTTCTGAGGGATGAGTTTATCGAAGTTAGGGAATGAACAGAGTGATAAAGTAGTTTGACCGGTATACGTTTTCCCGAAGTATACCGGTCATATTTGGACCGATCGAGTATCCCATTGCTGACTTTAATACCGGTCATATTAAAGTCTCCTTCCCAGTAAGTTCAGACTGACCGGTCAACTATTTGGTCTTATCTTTTGACCGGTCCTGGGTGGAATACACCCATCAGCAAGTATACGTTTTTATGAATTTTAATTGACTTGCAACCATGGATTCATCGGAGCTTTATAGACGCGGAGGGAAGGTTTAGAGATGCGGTCGCAAACCCTCGCCAAGAGGGCGCTGCACCCTTGGAACCCTCATTAAAACGGGACTTTTATCCTAAAAAATCAATGAATCGTGCACTCTACACCACTAAACTTCTTTGATGATTATTAGGACGCACACAGGTGTAAAACAACAGCTATTAGTGACAAACTAGAGCTCCAATTGAAAAACTGAGCAGTCAGAATCATCCCTCTGTGTCCCGAAGAAGCTCTAAAAATTTCAGAAAGATCTCATGGCGATTGAGAGGTTTGTGCAGTCTATCTAGAAAAATCTATGCTGAAAATTGATTGTCAAAAGCCATCCTCTTTTTGATTTTTCCGCTTGCTGTCTGCTCTCTTTCCCCCCCAAAACTCTCTGCTCATTTAGCCAGCGAAAAGACCAGAGAAAACCAAGACTTAAGCTTCCCAATGAAGCTTCAATTTAACTCATCATTGGGCCACGCCAATAAGTGGATATTTGGGCTTCCACTTAAACCAAACATAAGCTATAAATTTACTAATGGACATAAGTTGGCTGGACACACAATAATCTCCCCCTCCAACCCATCTAAGAGGAGACACAATCCCATCAAGATCAAAACTACTCCCTCTGTCCCGCTATATTCATCCACTTTTGACTTTTGAAACTGTTCATCTAAGCACTTTGACTCATCAAATTCTCTCAATGTGTAAGCCTAAATATAGTCATGCGTGATCTTGTTTGATTTGTCTTAACATATAGATTATTAATATATAATTTCTATAATTTTTTAATATACAAATTACAAGATAAAATGGATTAAAGAAGTGTATTGAATGGTGTGCAAAAATGAAAGTGGACAAATATAGTGGGACGGACGAAGTAAATGAAAAACAAAAGTACTATCTTTGTCATTTTGACTTTTTATACTCCCACGGTCCCTTAAACTGCTTCCTCTTTCTTTTTTTTCTTGTCTCACTAACTCTTTTTCTTATCTATTAAAAAACAACTTTTATTCCTTACTTTTTCATACCCTACCTATCACATCATACCTTTTTACTAATAATCTATCAATGACATCTTATACTTACACATCACATCAAGGATATTTTTGAAAAGTCAACACCAAAATATCTATCCCTTAATTTTTCAAAAAGTCAATAAGGGAAACGCTTTCAGGGACGGAGGGAGTAGTTTTTAAGGAGTTAAAAAAAGTAAAGTTTACCAAAATATCCTTGATGAAAATACATGGAATATATTAAATAAGGGTGAAGTATAATAGATAAAGTTGGATAGTTTTGGTATTTAAATGTTAAAAAAAAGTAATGGGAAGATCTATGGTGGAAAAATAAAAAGTACCATAATTACCAATCAATCAAAGAAAAAGGCATGTGATTTGAATAAATGCATCACAATTTTTTTTTGAAAGCCATAAAAATTATTCAAGTAAACAATCTCAACAAAAAAAAAGAAAACTCTATCAAAAAAATAAATATCTCTTCAATACATATTTTACCATATTACAAAAAACAACACAAATGATACAGAGTATATACATAGTTTACCAAATTACAAAAAACAACACAAATGATAATTAACATGGGAGTAGAATGGCATGGCAGAAAGTAAGAGCACATAGCTATGATCCACCCAACCATACCAGGCTGTTCTTATGCTTTACAATCGAGTAATTACAACGTAGGGTGGGTAACTCCATTGTCTCCATTTCCTGTGCAAGAAGATTGTATATAAAAATGAAACGCCTTCCACTAGAAACACCCAAGACCAATACCTCTAGGTACTTCAACCAACCAACTGGAATCACAAATTCATAAGGTCTAAAATCGATTACCCGTTTAATTGTGCTCTTTTCGGCATCCAAGGAAATGCTACGCACCTTTCTCCATTCCCCAGTTTCTGGTTTCATCTCCCAAACATCCCAAAAAAATTCTTCACGGAAAACGAACATGGAAAGATACCTTCCTGCGGACAAAAAGATATTCCTACTTCTACCTCCTCCAAGAACTGGTCTTGGGACAGGGGCAGGAGTCTCCGTGATGATTTCAGTCTCAGCATTCAAAGTCAACACTCCATCGTCACGGGCAGAGCACCAATGCACAAAACCTTCAGTAAGTAATGGAGGAGCAATAAATGCTCACATAGCTTCGTAAGATAAGTGTTCCGTACGGACAGTCCTCCAAGAGTTATCAGCTCCAACAGTTAATATATAGCATAACCCTTTTGAGTTTGGCCGAACAGGATATGGCATGACCACTTTATACTCCATGGTAGCTGCAGCATATGCTATTCCTATTCCATACCTTACTAGCCCACCGACCTTTGGAGGGAGAACAAAGATTTGACTTGTAGCAGGATTCGAAATATAAGCATTATTATGGTTCCACTCTTCAAATTCCAACAACAATCCGTTGCAACTAGTCTTAACTTCGTATCTAAACTTGTACTTGAACTTTGATATCTCAATTCGGCCTTCTCGCACAGCCATAAAAAATGAATCTTTGCGCGTACATTGGAAGAGAAGCCCATATGTTGTATGCTGAAGGTGTGCATAGATGAAATTATGGGTATGGATCATATGGTACCACTTCCGGCAAACAAGCCTTGCCGGGTCATAAATATCTTGAGCTGGGAGACGCACCAGAACTTCAAACAGCAATTCATCAGGTAGAGACTCCATGCCCGTTAACCTCTTCCTTTTACACCTCCTCAGATAAAAAGTTCGAGTACAATTGCCCTCAGCCATCTACATATCAAATAAAGATTCAGCTATGAACTTTTCTACTCGTAATTACCTAATTAATTCTACTATAATCTAAAGCGAGTAGATTCCTATATATTACAATCAACTCTTAACTTTGTTTGAAGTTCCACGGCTTCCTCTATATATATTCCAATCTAAAACTTGCCAATAAACAATATTTATTATGTTTCTTTAAGGGATACTACCTAGACAAAAAAAGGGACATGGTGAATATGCAGATTTGACTACTCTTTTCAATTTCATGAGGAAACCTTGCTATCGTTTTAATCCAAGCAGTCACCAATGTCATGCTATGACATGGGCTCCAATTGGGGCCCATATGGTGCACCGTTCAAAACATTGATGGTTCCTACCCCCCTAAACTCCACCCTACCCGCCCCCTGCACTCCCCTCCCTTCGCCTATTGGCTACCGTAATTACTATCATGGGAACCACCCCGCTTTTGAATTTGCAAATTTGATTTTCTAAGACAAAGGACTATCGCAAAAATAGTACTCCCTCCGTCCCAGTGTATTTGTCCAGTTTGACTTTTTCCAGTCAAACTGGACAAACTTTGAGCTTCAATTAAATAAAACCGTAATATATTTTAACATAAAAATGACTTTATTGGATTTATCGTATTGACACTTTCAAAATTGTATTTCATTATGCTAATATGTAATATAAATTAATAGTAATTGGAGTTCAAAGTTTGTCCAGTTTGACTTTTTCGAGTCAAACTGGACAAATACACTGGGACGTAGGTAGTAGCTTGTAAAATTCCATGTGTCGTGTTATTCATATTTAGAAAAAAATATTGATTTCATTTTCTCTGAGGATGGACATTTCTCATTACAACCGGTCAAGGATCCAATTGATGATGATAATGATGAGGATGTTGAAAGAGGACAACTATTAAAATCTTATGAATGTTGTTCGGCCTTTTGATTAGAAAATCACAAGAGTGATATTGGTGAAGACTTCTTGAAATCATGATGAAATCAAGAACAATACAAGCCTGCCCAATAATGATAGAGCAATTGGAAAACTTGGTTTGGGCAAAATTGTTCCAACAATTGATATAGGAGTTGTAATCTTACATCACTCCAAGTGGTGTTAGATTGTGACACCAATTAAATTGGGACACCTATATGGTGTCCCGTGCATAAATATGACAGTTCCTACATCTCATAAACACCCTCATAAACCCCCACCCAGATCTCGCCCCCTCACGCTTTTAATTATATGATAATTGTTGATGTTAAAATAAAATGTATTAGTACACAATTTGAATGGGTCAACGATTGAAGTTTTAAAAAAAAGGTGGAACCCCCACCCCACGGGTCCTGCACACCCCGAGGTTGGTTAATCTCACCCACAAGCGGCGGAATCTAAAGAGGCGTCTCCAGGACTCAAACCCCCACCCTATAGGTTGCCAGCAAGACTCACGCCTTTGCTAGTTGAGCTATGCCCCGGAGGGGCTCAATGACTGAAGTAAAGGGATAACAACATGTTGGAAAAGAGTACGAAGTACTACTTGAGTTCTTGAATCATCTATCAACTTGTGACTTGTCTTAAAGATTTAAAATAAAGAGATCAATGAAAATAGTACTCCATGATTTGGTTGCTGCAAGTGGGCAATATACATTATCAAAATACTCCATTTGCTAAAAGTATCATCCGTATATAACATATAAGTACTCCCTGATTTTCAACCGCAGCTGTGGCTGCTTTTCTTGTTGTTGGTTCGCCGATTTTGAATTAACGGCCTCAATCAATCTTACAGTGTCAGATTACCCCTTACACACACACACACACAATTTTACTCAAAACTTTTGGTTTTTAATATTTAATCAAAGATATATATAATTTTATTCAGATTTCTTTTTTATTTATTTAATAGCTTTTAGATCTTAAGTCATAGGGATCATATTCATTCTCAATTTTATATATGGCATAACATGCTGTTAGCATCGGTACCTCTGTGTTTCCTTCATCTTCGTTGATGGCGGCCATCCGCGAGCGAGGCGGCGGTGGCTGGTGGAGGATTGATGGTGGAATTTTACTCATGGCTGGACTCCTTTCTCCGATTCCGAGTATAAATCTGCAATCATACATACATTTTACCTACAAACAAACAAACAAACAAAACACACACACATAGGAGAAAGAAAAAAACATAACTGACGGATGTTCCATGCCTTTAAATAGAAAAATATGGGATAATTATTGTTAAACGGGCACAACCCAGGCCCATTTACGCCCGCCTTAAATGTGGGTTGAATTAGCCCAGGCACATTGGTTGGTTTGTGCAGAGATGAATAGGATTTGAGACGGTTCGATATTTTTAAATACTCCGTAACTCGTACCATACCGTTATTATTTTGATGGTTCTATGTGATTTCAATTTTATGCTTAAATACTCGGTATCATGTCGTTCAGAAATGAGATGGTACCATGCTATACTGATGCCAAAATATACCATAATACTTCGACAATTTGAAAATAATTTTATTCTTAAAAAATGGACGTAATTGAAAAACATGGTGCACCATTACATATTTTACCATATTACAAAAAAAACAACACAAATGATACAAAGTATAATTTAACATGGGAGTAGAATGGCATGGCAGAAAGTAAGAGCACATAGCTATGATCCACCCAACCATACCAGGCTGTTCTTATGCTTTACAATCGAGTAATTACAACATATGGTGGGTAACTCCATTGTCTCCATTTCCTGTGCAAGAAACACCCAAGACCAATACCTCTAGGTACTTCAACCAACCAACCGAAATCACAAATTCATAAGGTCTAAAATCAATTACTTGTTTAAATGAGCTCTTTTCGGCATCCAAGGAAATGCTACGCACCTTTCTCCCTTCCCCACTTTCTGCTTTCATCTCCCAAACATCCCAAAAAAAATCTTCACGGAAAATGAACTTGGAAAGACACCTTCCTGCGGACATAAAGAGACATAAAGATATTCCTACTCCTATCTCCTCTAAAACCATCCAAATCCTCCGTCTTTGGCTTTGGGGCGTGATGGAATAAATCAAAATGGATCTCTAAACTGTCTGCGCTTCTTTAATTAATGAACTAGCAGTTAGTCAAGCAATGCAACTTTCAACGTTGAGCCGGGGGTCTCTTTGGAAACAGCCTCTTTGGAAACACCCTACTCTTAAGGGATTTAACTGGGTTGTTGTTGACTTCTCAATCTTATCCTACCAGGGTGTATTATTTGGACTTTATGGAAAGCTTATAATAAAAACATATATGAGGGGATTAAAGAAACTAAAATAAGGATCATAATCAAAATTGGTTCAATCCCGGCATTGGTCTAGCAAGAAAGCTCAAAGAATTGCTACTGATGGAAAAATTGAGGCCTTAAACCCTAAGATTTTCTTCCTAGAATCTGAGTTTCTTGTTGGTCTACAGGTAGAAGAATATAGGAGTCTTAACGTGCTTCTCTATAGCTTCTTTTTATTTGCGCTTTGATTCTTTTTTGTGTGAATTTTTATTCTAGGGCTTTTGTTTTGGGCCTGGTCAGTCCAATTCTTTACATTTTTATCTTAAATCTATTCGTAAGAGTTACCTTACTCCACTAGAAAAAAAGAAACGTCATATTCTAACATTGTTAATACTAGTGTAGCTTTTAAAAATGATAAATTTTTGTCCGAGAGATCCAATTATATAAATCTACCTAGGACGAATGTGGATTATGCAGACATGGATCTGGACATAATATAAGACTTACTTGACTTCGTCAATTTGGTTTTCCAAGACATGAACTACCACAAAATAGTTGGTAAATTATCTATGTGTACTATGATGTATATTAGAAAAAAAGTGACTTTAGTATTTGTTTTTCAGTGTTTGAGAATGGTCAGTTCTTCCTACAAGCAATCGTGGATCCAATTGTTGATAATAATGGTGAGGGCGTTCAAGAGGAAAACCATCTAAATCTTTTGCCTTTGGATGCCTTGTTTATTAGAATGACACTACTTAAAACTTTTCTTGACGTTGTGGTGGAATCAAGACCGATAGAAGCTAACTCAATCACGATGCAAGAATTAGAGGAGTTGATTTTAGCAAAACTGGTGCAACTTGGAGCAGACATGCAGGGACGCGAAGACTTCCTCACACAAGAGATCCTTGGAGTATGTTGATCGTGTAAACGAGGTCATAATTGCTATTCTTGGTTTTGATGGCAGAGTCAACCAGAGGGCACATGTTTCGTGGCTATTCCTTGATTTTTACTGAGTTTGCAATTGATGTCTCTTTGTTTGCAAATTGACGTCTCTTTTTTTTGCAAGATTCATTTTTTCTAGAAACTCTATCTATACTTTGGGTAACATGTCGGAATTCGAACCGATACTTTTATACTTTGGGTAACGGGTCAGGATTCAAACCGATACTCAAGGAATAGAATTTCTAGAAGAATAAATCTTGCAAAAAAAGAGACGTCAATTGCAAACAAAGAGACGTCAATTGAAAGCTCAATAAAAATCAAGGAATACCCACAAAACATGTGCCATCTGGTTGAACAACGAGATCTCCGCCACCAAAACCAGGAATAGCAGTACAAACCTCGTTTACACAATCAGCATACTCCAACAGAATCTCTTGTAAGAGGAAGCATGTGCATCCCTGCACATCCGCTCCAAGTTGCACCAGTTTTGCCAAAATCAATTCCTCTAATTCTTGTCTCGTGATTGGGTTAGCTTCTATCGGTCTTGATTCCATCACTACGTCAATAAAAGTTTTCAACAGTGCCATTTTAGTAAACAGGGCATCCAAAGGCAGAAGATTTGGATGGTTTTCCTCTTGACGCCCTCACCATTATTATCAACAATTAGATCCACGATTGCTTGTAGGAAAAACTGACCATTCTCAAATACTGAAAAACAAATACAAAAGTAATTTTTTCTAAGATACATTACAGTACACATAGCTAACTTACCAACATTTTTGCGGTAGTTCATGTCTTGGAAAACCAAATTGGCGAAGTCAAGTAAGTCTTATATTATGTCTAGGTTCATGTCTGCATAATCCACATTCGTCCTGGGTAGATTCATATAATTGGACAAAAATATACCATTTCTATAAGCTACACAAATATTAACAATGTTAAAATATGACGTTTTTTTTCAATGGAATAAGGTAACCCCTATGAATAGATTAAAGATAAAAATGTACAGAATTGAACTATAAAAATTCACACAAGAAAGAATCAAAGCGCAAATAAAAAGAAGCTATAGAGAAGCACGTTAAGACCCCTATATTCTTCTTCTAATTCTTCTACCTATAGACCAAACAAGAAACTCAGATTCTAGGAAGAAAAATCTTAAGGTTTAAGGCCTCAATTTCTCCATCAGTAGCAATCCTTTGAGCTTTCTTGCTAGACCAATACCAGGATTGAACCAAATTCGATTATAATTCTTATTTTAGTAGCTTTAGTCCCCTCATATATGTTTCTATTATAAGGTTTCTATAAATACCAAATAATACATCCTGGTAGGATAAGATTGAGAAGAAGATTGAGAAGTCCATAGAGGACTCTCTTGTTGTAGGTTATCCACCAATCCAAAAGATAAGAGTGGGGTAATTTTAAAATCCATTATTAGGGGTAATGGTTTCCATAAAACCAATGCAAGATTTCTACCATTGCCATTAATATTGACAGGAGGATGACTTTCATATGGTAGTACTAGGCCTAGGGCAAGAGTTTTTTAGTCTTGTAGCTGTTTAGAATTTATCTCAACAGGCATTTTTTAGTATTCCCCAGGACCTGACAAGAATGGACCCACCTTCCTCCTCCATTCAGTGGTTGTGCATAGACCAGCCTCACCCTTCTTGGAAGTAACCTTTGTCCAAGGTTCTTCCTGAACCGGATCTTTTCCCTTTCTGTGAGGTTGATCAATACACTCTTGAACCAGTTCTTGTTCCACTTGCTTGAGTTGCTTCAGTTCCCCCCCTGCTTCTACCCTGATTTCTACAGTGGCCTTTGAGATGACCAAGTTTTTTGCATGCATAACAGTAACGAGGAAGGTTTTCATATCTAATTGAAATAAACATTTCTTTATCCCCTAAATTCAGGTGTGCCTCAGAAGGAAGAGATGTCGAAACATCTACTTCCACACAGAAGCTGGCTAGACAAGGACGTGAGAAGTTGAGCGTATTCTCATCTACCTTGAGAGGTCGGTAACTTAGGACCGGAGACCCAAACTGGCACCACAGGGCAGTCCTATATCCTCCTTCGTGAAGGAGACGGAGGGACAACCTTTAAAAATACCTTGAACTGAGCCTTGCAACCTATCTCATATTGTTCACATGAATAATTTGGAAAAATATATAGAACTTACCTACAGAAATTGTGTAACGGCCATCTTCCAACAACATATTTATATATTTCAGTAGAAAATTTCTTGCCCCTTCACCAAAATGTGCAAAACCCTCAGTAGTTTGCGGGAAATGCCTCGCCGTAACCTGAAAAGTTTAAGATAGTTCCAATGCTTTAAGGATCAAATTTAAAGAATATGTGATGTCTATTTCTATTATGAGGGAAGAATAGGGTCAGTAACTATTACAATAGTTTGTTAAATGTCTGCCAAATTCAAAATTGTTAAATATATCATCCAAAAGATACTCCATCCTCGATATAAACGATTTTTCATTTGGACCAAAAGGATCCATTTTGGTCTCAATGCTCACTATTTATCCGATGATAAAGACATCCATTCATGATAAATCGTAAATATGCCACGAAAAGTAAGCATGAATACAATATGTTCAAACTGCAAACAGATTTTAATGATCAACTTCACCACGAAAATATTTTTTTAAATTGCCAAGATGGTAACTAGGTTTCCAATGCTATATTTTAAAATAAAAATAATTAGTTAATTTCACTTTTACTTAAATTTAGCATTAAATTGATGGGAAAAAAGAAGCTAACCTCCCATCACCAGACTCACACCTCCACCAGATTCCCCAATTCACTTTTTTAGATGCATCCTCATAGCCATAGTCATGATATTTTGACAAGTGAAGATTGCATTCGATGCTTGGCTTAAATGGTTTAATACTCTCAATTATCCATAGGAATTGTATTATCCCCATATCATACCAGAGCACATCAACTGTAAGAGGGCCATAGCTTTTTTTTATGAAACTCATATGATAAAACTTGCAAGATATATGGAAATGATTTCTTGAATGAGGCCAACTATGTAGGACTACTTTACCTGATGAGGCACCTCAAGCACCTGCTTCAATTTTGGAGAAGAGGAATAAAACATCTGTTGATCGCATTGTGAAATGGTATGATGCTTGTGTCACTTACATGATGGGTTCAATTGTTTTTTGGCTCTATTGTTAGAGGCTCAAGTATTGAAGAAAGACAACCACGTGCTAGAGAAATGTATCAAGTTATTTGATTGGTGGCTTTTGATTAGGAAAGAATATAGAGAAACACACTGCTCTTCTTAGGGTTGATAGTGTAATTTGAGTGCCCACATCTTTCTTTTCGGGAGTCTAAATACATTTTGAAGAGTATTTTTTTGTAATTGTGTGGCATGAACTAAGAACTCAAATACCATATAACTTACTAATAAAAACTAAGGACCCTAGCAAATTCAAATTTTTCAACATGAAGTAAAGCCATAAAGGGTTTTGAAAATAATGAATCAGTTCCCTTTGAAGAAAAACTAAGATTGAATTAATGATACTAATTCAATTTTGCACGCACTAATAAATTCAAGAACATTTACATTTAGAGTATGCATTGAATCCGAAAGTGATTCAAACAAAGTCTTTATCAATTTTCTTTTAATTTACTATTTGTGATTAAACCTTGCAATTTATCACCCCAAAAAAAATGGATTGATTAGTCATACTTCAAGAAAATGGATATAAACAAACTCCAAAATTGTTTTGAGATCAAGCTACAATATAAATAAAAGAAGAAATAAAAAAAATTAATGTTGAAATTTGGATGTACCTTATTAATGTCGAGGAAGATGATAAACAATTGGTTGAACGCCAACAACAATGACCTCCACCGGCCTTCATCAACCAGCAACGGTTGTCCATCTTCAAGGGCCAACTCATCGTTGTGAGACATAGGGTATAAAACCTCGGTCTGCATCTGTTATTTCCTAATCTCCATAAACGGTTGCAGATGGGAGGCACGGGATCCTCCTTCGATTTTAAAATCTTTTTTTACGGAGTATCTTTCGGTTGTTCAGAAGATGGGTGACATGCATGAATGAGGGGATGCTAGAGCTACCTGAATAGGAATTGACCCAAACTTTCATACCACATCCAATCAATATTTCAACATTGTTCCAAATACCAAGGTCTAGCCAACTACCACCAGAGTTGTCCGCTTAGGTTGTCGTTGTTGAAAAAAAGAATAAGATGAAGACAAAGAACCTAGAGCATTGTTCAGTAAGTAGAGTATGTTACTTTTTTGAATTAAAAAGTAAGCTAAAACTGTCTCACATAGAGTTCTAGAAATGTAAAAAATTCAGAGGAAGTTTGTGAAAATTTTGAGGTATATAACTATACATTATCATCTAATTTATAACAATAAAAAATTTAACAATTCTGTTCAATAACAATATTAATGTAAACTATGGTCTACTTTAGAACATTTGATGCCAAAACTTTAGAAGAAGTTTGTAAAATATTTTTTTATATAGCTAAACATTATCCTTTAATATATAACATATTAATTTGCTCATAGTTTTTCTTTAGAAACATTAAAACATGTCACTCTAAATAATAATATTGCTTTATACTATAATACACTTTAGAAAAACAGAGATTTTGCCTCATGAAACCAGCCAATACTACATAAAATTTTACTCTAGAATGATCGTTCCCTATGACTTGGAGGTTACATTATCTAACCCTACAAAGAAAAGTATTCAACCTCATCATCCTTATCGCCATCTTATGATGCTACCCCAAGCCTGAGCACATGCACACCCTCAAAGAGACAACTCACAAGTGGATAGACTCCACCATTACACCACACTCACCCTTACCATGAATCAAATATCACAAAACCTAGATCACCAAATAGACAAAAACAGTAGAAAGTTCCATTCAAAACATACCAGTACATATTAGTCTCATTCAAAACAGAGAGGATGATTGAAATAGAACACAAAGGCTTGTATATTTGGCAGAAAATAAGGTGTTTGATTGAATTGGTGTTTAGATTTCCAGTTTTCATACATTTTCAAAAGATGAAATTATAAATTATTAATCTCAAATCCAACTTAAAATTTCAAAAGGTATGCTTCATTATTCACTAAATGTACTTAATTTTGACTATTCCTTAAACTCTCATAATCTCCCCTATACACCAAAAAATGAAATCCATGTTAAAATTAAGAGGAGTTTAAGCAGTAAATTAGAAAAATGAAACAGAAAAGAAGACAAAACTGAGTTCTGCAGTCTTCTTCAACCTCTGTTACAAAACTATCGAATGAATCAAAAATGCAAATAGTACTCACAAAAAACCCTAAAATCAAATTTTAAGACATATAATAGAGAGAAGAGATTAGGGATTAAGAGGAACCTAATAAGTGGAGGCGGCAACTCCATCGACCAATTTGGGCAGCTGCAACTCTATCGCTGTTGGAAATCAAGAGCGGCGGCACTGATGAATGGGAATACCACAAGTTACTATGAACAATATTTCAATCCTTGTGTGCGGATTCCACCCGCGGCCATCGCAAGATTTGTCGCCGTCTGGTTCATCAGCGGCGCCTCCTCATCAATTGCGGCGAAGGGAGAGAGGGCAGGACGTCGTTTGGGACTTTCGGCGGAGAAAAGCGTAAATAGCGAGGGGAGAGGGCAAGACAAAACCGTAAATAGCGGTTTCTAAGTGAAATTAGTAAATGTCCATAATTTGGGCTTTAATTCCATAATTGCCATCTTGAAATTGGACTCTCGGATTTTATGTGAAATTGAAATTGGACCATTAGATCTTAGGTGCAATTTGATTGTGTTTTTTTATATATAATAGATTTGATTGTGTTTTTATATACTCCGTATATAATAGATAAATTTATACTATTATCAAATAAATTGGGCTCTTATATTTATTTAAGATATATATTTAAATTTATATATATATATATGTATATGTATATATATATATATATATATATATATATATATATATATATATATTTAGATTTGGGCTTCCTCACTCATTCCAATTTATCATCTAATTACATAATATTCAATTTGATGATAATAAAATTTTAAAAGGACACGAATACACAATGGGATAAATCCGTTGAGAATAGCATTAGAGATTAACGTTAACATTTTAGTTAAAATTTCAATTATATAATTATTTTAAAAAAATTAATGTTAAACATTCTCGTAAATATCTTTTTCAAAATGGTAATATTAATCTGTAACATTATTTCCAAATTAAATAGACTACGTTTAGCTATGGTGTTCGATCTACGGCGCTCTGACCATAATTTTATAGGTCATGCTACATCTACTCCAAAATTTTTATATCATTTGTATACTAAAAGTATGTATTAATATTTTGATGTTTTACACTGACATAAAATGTTGGTGCGTTAACAAAAAATTATACTAATACAAAGTGTTGGTGCGTTAATAAAAATTAATACTACACCAATACAAAATGTTGATGACTACAAATTTTTGGGTACAAATAGGATTTTTCCTCATTTCATTTATTTGGTGCGATCCGTTTTCAGTTTTTCATAGTTCAGAGACAAAGAGAAAAGAAATGAAGAAAGAAACAAAGAGAAAAGAAGGAAAGAAAGAAAGAGGAATGCGCATAAAATTCTGCAGAAGACTCTTGTGTCACCTTACCGGAGCCAAACTCCTCCTCCTCTCCGCCGTCTTCATATTTTACCTTCTCTACCTCCTCCGCCCCATTCCAGTTCCCACCACCGCCGCCACATCCTCCTCAGTCTCGGCCGCCGAGCTTCCCCTCCCCCTCTCACAAATCCTCTTTTCCATTGCCGGCTCTTCTTCCTCATACCCCCTCCGCACGCCTTACCTGAACCTCTGGTACAAGCCCAATTCCACGAACGCCGTCGTTTTCCTCGATAACCCCACACCCGATCGCTCACTGCCCGGCCCGCCGATTTCCGTATCCTCCGACACTGCCCGTTTCCCCTACACCTTCCCCTCCGGCAAGAGATCCGCAATTCGCGTGGCGCGCATCGTCAGAGACACTCTGGATCTCGAATTGAACTCGAATTTCGACTTCTCCGGCATTCGCTGGTTCGTGTTCGGCGACGACGACACAGTGTTTTTCCCGGACAATGTGGCGAGGATTCTCTCCAAGTACGACGATCGGAGGTGGTACTACATCGGGTGCCATTCGGAGAGTTACGAACAGAACGCGAAGCACTCGTTCGATATGGCGTTCGGAGGGGGTGGGTTCGCCATTAGCGCTCCCCTGGCTAGGGTTTTAGCTAGGGTTATGGATTCTTGCCTGTTTAGGTACCCGCATTTGTACGGTAGCGATGGTCGAATTTTCGCTTGCTTGGCTGAGCTTGGCGTTGGCCTGACTCGTGAACTGGGTTTTCATCAGGTCCAAAGCTCTCAACTTTACACTTCTGTTTTCCTTCTTCTTTAACTGCATTTGGATCAGTTCAGTTTCTGCTATGGTAGAGCTCTAGTTCATACAAACAATTCTTGAAATCCGTGTTCACAGAAACTTCTGCTTGACATTGCCAAGATTCTTTATGATTCATGTGTTTGATAATTCTATGATTGCCACTCCATATAATTCATGGGCTACTTCATGTCCTTGGTTGCATTAATTTAGATTTAAGCAGCAATTGTTATATGTGAAGTAGTAATTGAAATGTTCTTAAATTTTTTATTGACAGGTTGATGTAAGGGGAGATATATTTGGCATTTTATCTGCACATCCACTCTCATTGGCAGCATCACTTCATCACTTGGATAAAGTTGACCCAATCTTTCCAAACATGTCTAGAGTTCAAGCCATGGAGCATCTCTTCAAAGCTGTACGCTCCGATTCTGCCCGGATATTCCAGCAAAGTGCTTGCTATGACCGTTCCAGTTCGCTCACCATTTCGGTTTCCTGGGGTTATTCTGTTCAAGTATACCAAGGCGATGTCCTTCTTCCCGACCTCCTCCGGTCGCCAAGAACATTCAGACCGTGGAGGGGCAAGAAGGTTTCTTCAAGCCATTATTACATGTTCAATGCCAGAGATTTCCCAGGTGGGGATCCGTGTGAAATGCCAGTCATCTTCTACTTCCATGATGTTCTTTCTGAAACGAACGGATCCTGGACCTCGTACGTCAGGCACAACAATGTTTGGAATTGTGAACGAAACAGTGCAATCAAAGAATTGGTTCATGTCAAAATCTTCTCCGGGAGATCGAGTTTTGAAGTTGGACAGGTTTTAATTACTGTGATCTTCTTGCCTCTACTCAGAAACATCTTCAATTGGCTTTTAGTGAAACTGATTTTGATTTGTCTTCCTTAACCAAGCAGGAGGCACCTCGGCGTTGCTGCTGCGACATTTCGTCCCCTGCTAACGAAACACTGGTAATTGGCCTTAGAGACTGTGGGGAAGATGAATTGATCGGAATGCATGCATAGCATTCATTGATTGATTGCACTTCTGGTTCTGTATATAATGTGATGATAGCTCCAATGTGAGTAACATAGTGAGGTCTGTTTTAGCCACCATTCTTGATGGCATTGTATGCATCTGTAAATTATTTTGTGGAAGACACTGGTGGGAGTGGTGGGTCACTGTAATAATGTATAACTTCTCTTTAACTTGTACTCGTATCTTATTTGGAAGTTAGTACAAAAGTAAAAATTAAAACTTAGAGAGTACGTATTTAAAAATTAGAAAGTACTCCCTCTGTCCCGGAGTATTCGTCCAGTTTTGACTTTTGGAACTGTTTATCTAAGCACTTTGATTCATCAAATTCTCTCAATGTTTAAGTCTAAATATAGTCATGTGTGATCTTGTTTGATTTGTCTTCACATATAGATTATTAATATATAATTTCTATAAATTTTTTATATACAAATTACAAGATAAAATGAATTAAAGATGTATATTGGATGGTGTATAAAAATGAAAGTGAACAAACACTATGAGACAGAGGTAGTACATAGAAAAGTTTGTCAAACAAAAGATATTATCTTATCAAATTAGTATAATAAAAAAAGATTGTCTGGACTTTAAAACATAAAGATCAATTTTATTTGGGTCAAATAAAGAGTGCCAAGTTTTTTATTCTCTTTCTATCACACAAAAAAGTTTCATATTTCTTTTTTTGTCGTTTCAAAAGTATGTTCCACTCTCTATATATGTTTTTTGTTATTCATGTTATTTCTATTTTCTCTATAGAACATGTGATTAAACAATTAGTCTTTTATTAATAAGTGAAATTTGCACTAAATAGTATTTGAAAAATGTCTAGTTGCGGGAAGAATGTTCAGTGATGGTTGACATTTAGTTTGAACAAAGTCCAATGGTGGTAGATATTTATTTGAATAATGACCAGTGGACAAAGACCAGTGGTACTACATTGGATTAAAAACATATGATATACGGAGTAATTATTACTCCCTCCGTCCCAAATTATAATGCATGTTTACTATTCACAGGGTCAAACTCCATTCACTTTCTTTCTCTATTTTCGTTAGCAATTTGATAAAATAAAATATTATTGTCACTACTAGTTTTGTAGATCTTTTGATGTAGTTTTTAATATGTAATTTTTATTTTTTAATTCTATACCATTTGTCATATAAAATGGTTTGAAAATAATTTCAGTCAAACATCGTAAACCGAAACAGACCTTATAAAATGGGACGGAGGTAGTATGTTTTAGTATTATTTGTGTTGATAGTATTGTAGAGAGTAGAACTTACATTTGTGAGTAGATTCAAATAATTCATACACTATTCTTCCCATACACGGAGTAGTATATAGCTTCACAAATGAAAAATGCTTAGGCACACTATTCTTCCCATATTAGACAATATTAGTTTTCTTCATTTCATCTTCATTCAGGATTGTGGATCTTCATTCCATCATCATTCTTTTATTTTTGTTTTTATTTTTACATATTATTTTTATAACATTTTATATAACTTTTTAAATTAAACAAAGATAAATATTTGAAATTAAAGAATTGAAGAAGAAAAGGAGGAAGGCTTCGGCGTTTTTGGTGTCCGCGTCCCTCCTACCCGGAATCCCAAAAATGATGGACGGCATTCCCACCCGGATCGTCGGCCTAGTGGCACCGCGATTCACATCCTTATTGCCGCACCGTGTGGCCGAATCCAGAGAAACAACAACCTTTTTAGTAATACTCTCTCTCCCCTATATATCTTCCCAAAAGTCCTTTTTATTTGTTCACAATAGATTTTTTTATTACTTTTTTTAACAATTAAAACACTACAACTACTTCCACTTACTCCCTCTGTCCTATAATGTTCTTCCCGGTTCATTTTACGAGGTTTGACCGATTTTATTTTCAATTCAATTTATTTGATTGTAGGTGTAAAATTATAAAATAAAATTTATATATTTAAAAACTACATCAAATGTTCTACAAAAAAAGTGGTGACAAGACTATATTATTATATCAAATACCTAATGAAAATAGGTAAAGAAAGTGATTAAAGTTTGACCGGGTAAAAAGTGAGTGAGAATAACATTTTAGGACGGAGGGAGTACTTTATTTATTACACTTCACCTATCTCATTTAATACACTCCCATTTTTATTAAGGGTATTATGTCAAGCCCAAGCCCGCTATTTTGTGGGCGGGCTTTTGCGGGCGGGTCGGATACCCAAGCCCGTGATCGGGTCTAGTTGAGATGCTAGATTATTAAAAAAATTGTTTTTTAATTAATCCAAAATTGGTCCAACCTACTTTAATTAAGAAATGACCCAAAACAGTAAACCGGCCCATATCTCAAGATTAGGCCCAAAATTTTAGGCGGGAGTAAAATCCTGCTGCTTTTGTAGATAGGTAGATAAATTGAAAAACTTGAAATTTTGCTTCATTTTTTGCAAAAAGAAAAACATTTTGAGATGAATGACGTACTCCCTCTGTCCCCCATAGATCTTCTCAATAGCCTTTTTTCTTTGTCCACAATAGATCTTCTCATTTCATTTTTTAACAATTAAAATACCACAACTACCCCCACTTACTTTATTTATTACACCTCACCCACCTCATTTAATACACTCCACCCATTTTTCATTAAGGGTATTATGGTAAACTTTCACCTTTTTTCAACTCTCCTTAAAAACCACCAAAAGTCAAAATGAGAACATCTTAGGGGGACGGAGGGAGTATTATTTTTATCACTTATTCTCTGGCCCCGTTTGACATCAGTGTTAGAGATTAGTGTTAGTGTTTTCTGAATTAATCTACACCGTTAATATTTTATTCAAAATGTTAACGTTAATTGAAAATGTTCTTTCCAAACAATGCCTCTGTAGCTCTGGAATGATGTGGATTCTCGAAGGACACTAGAAATGAGGTTTTTCCTTTTTTTTCTCCATAATTTTTTTTATCGTTTTTTTATAATCTATTATTCTCTCGTCCATTTCTCCAGAAAATTAAATAAAAGGAAAACTTATGTTTGATTATATAATATTAGAGTATATAATTGGGGCCAAATCTTTTTTAGGAAGTGAAGGGATATATGGGGCACGATCGAGATTGGGATGTAAATTAAGTTGAATTGATGCCCGACCATTTTTCGTGTTCAATATAATTTAAATTGATCTTGGAGTGGATGGGAGATTGGGAGTTGAAATGTCCTACCATTTATTTTATGTTTTGAACTTGAATTTTAATTTTTTAAACAAGACAATGTAATAGTATTTTTTCCTGAAAAAAATTTCCTGTCTTTGTATTTAGTGTCAAATGTTTGGTGTCTCCCTGACACTATTAAAGAAAATTTACTTTGTACTCGTATTTTTATCTCTTTATTTATCAAATTATTTCCTTTTTTAACCCTCTTTGTCAAAATTGGTTCTAACTCTTTGGATTTTGATTCTTGTGCCATTATATATTGTGTCTCGACTCTGGACCGGATCGCTATTTACTACCCATTCAAGTTTGATCCATCTCACATCAATCGGGTTGGTCTCTAAATCCAAATATTAGCGGCCACGTGCCCTATAGCACCCCCGTTTTGTTTTGCATTTTTAGAGGACGGTCAATGTCAAATAAAAAAATCAAATGTCACACGTTGACGGGTGATATATTTTAATTAATAAAAAAGAATTCAGTCAGCATGTGGAAAGTGAGTGAAGTGGCATGTAATGTTGTGACAAGTTATTATTTTTGTCAATTTTTATAATTTTTCAATGTATTTTAATTATTAAAAATTATTTCTTTTTTAAAAAAAAAATAGATGCACTCTTTTTTAAGAAAATTCTTTCTTCTACAAAAATTAAAAAAATTATACAAGAATGCCTAGCGCCTCACACGCTTGGAGTGGAGAAACGCTGAGCCTGGCGAGGCAAATGAGGGAATGAGATGATGTGGCATAGCGAGGCAATGAGATGCCTTGCTGGCTATGCTCTTAACTCGTCACATGCCCAATTGCCCCTTCTCGGACACATCCTTTGAACCATTTAGGTATATATATGGAGTATAATTACAGAGTACTACTTTCGAGCATTATTCTCATTATAATTTTGTTTGTTTACATATTTTAATAAAATAAAACATTTTTGTCAATTTTTTATTTTGTAAAATTTATTATTCATTTTTTAAATATATACCTTTAAAATTAAAGGGAAAATTTACAGTAATGCAAGTAGACCAGCTATGTTGTATGTAAGAGCGTTTGGGATCAAAGGGTGAACATGAGCACAAGGTTAGTGTGACCGAATAAAGATATCGGATAAAATAAAGAATGAAGATATTAGAACTAAAGTTGAAAGGACACCTATTATAGAGAATATGGTAAAAACTCGTCTTACTTGGTTTGAACATGTCGAGAGAAGATGTTGAGGGCTCGTCGTGCGGTCCAAAACAAATTAATAATTTATAAAACTCCTTAGCTAACCCCCAAGATATAATCAAATAAATACTATAGCTAAGGTAAGTAAGGGTCGATCCCACGGAGAAAGTTTGTACTTTTGAAATCATTTAAGCGTGCACACACATTGTCACTAAACAAAACAAATGAACTACTACACATATGCTAACACTTATAAAACTTATAATTAAATAAATATAAGAACTTATAAATAACTTATATAAACAAAGAACTTATAATACAAGTTATAAACATAAAACACGTACTTAGGTATATAAGAGTATAAAAACTTTTATCTATGACTTATAAACAAACACTTATATATAAACTTAGTAAAAAAACGTGTGCTAATATAACATAAAGGGGGGTGTTGGATAAAAAATAAATATTTTTTGGTTTTTTATATTTTCTTATTTTTTGGTTTTTTTATAAAACGGGAGAAAACAAGCTCTAAAGGTAATCAACTTCTCCAACTTAGGTAATCCATGAAACACCACGAAGAACCCGAAACAAAACAAAAAGAGAACAAACACAAACCGAACATTACACGTATAATAGGCACGTAGACAATATATTACGTAACTTATGCACTTAAGAATAGAAAAAAAATCAATCAAAGGCCGAGTTGATTCATTTCCTTAACCACGATATGGAGGATTGTCAACTCTCCACACAGTCCGTAGTCATGCAATTCAAAGGCCCGTTTTGAAATATACTTTTGAAAGCCAACTCTCTATTCAAACATTAAAACATACTTCCACTATAGAAAAAGTTTATAAAAGAAAGAATCTATTATGTATTCAACTCTCATACATAATCTATTCACAAACCGCCAATACCGTATGTATTTTAACAAACTTTTTCTCCTAATGATGAGCACATTTTACAGATTTGCATGAACTTCTCAAACCAATGACGTTTTTTCTATTCACATAAATGAACACAACATATTTTCAACCTTAATTTTATGAAAAATAACAAACAAACATACGAAAACATAACAATCACTCAATAACGAATTCTAAGGAAAATGAATCAACTTATGGGGCTAAAAAGTCCAAAATCCTTAAAATCAACAAACACAAAGCACGACAAAGAATCACATATGAATTCGGAGTTCATTTAACTATCTTATGAAGCTAAAATAGCTTCAACAAAAATTGAATTCCACATATCAACCTACTTATTAAATCAAATTATATAATTCAACTAATTCAACAACTTGCTCAATAATTGAAGAAAACTAGTATGAATCAATTCTCATTCATAAGGAATTTAATATAAACATAAAAAACCCAAAAAAAGAACACCAACCATATTTTTAGAATTTTCGAAATTAATAAAAAACAAACAAACAAAAGTGTAAATTTGAATTTAAAGCAACACTTTTACAAAGAAATTGGAGGAAAAAATAAAACTTGACAAATAAGGGTTACCAATTGTTGAAGAAGATGATGAAAATTGAAGAAGTTGGAGCTGAAGGAACCATCACTGGCCGGAGCTACTGCCACCGAACGCCACCACCGCCATAGCTACTGCCGCCGTTGTCCATCTTCGAATGTCGGCCACCATAACAGTGGCCAAGCCGCTGCTTTATTCTTGTCCTTGTTCCCCTTGTTAAGGAATGTAGTAGGGTTTGTCGTTAACGGGCTCATTGTTATTGGGCTCGTAATTAGGTCATGGTCTTGTAGCTATTATAAATAGCGGATCTATGTGTAATCAAATCATTCAAGTTTAGTTCTAATTATATTTTCTACATGGTATCAGAGCCAACCTGGGAACCTAAACCCTAGTTTACTCTAAATCGTTGCTTCCACGGTCGCCGTCGCCGGTGGTTTGTCCGGCGATGGCGGAATCACCTTCTATTCCCACTACCTATTTTTTTCACCCAATCGGGAAAAAAAATCATCTCAAGACATAATCAGTGCCTCAGTGGCCACAAAGATCTTTTTGGGTTGAGTTAGCACTTAGCACTGTATGTCTAGCCGCCATTTTGGAGCAGCCCAGTTTCGTCGTCCAGGAGGAGTATCCGTTTGGCAAAAATTTGGTGTTGGTGCCTCAAAATTAGGATGTACGTATTGTTATTGATTTGTCTTCCACTAGACAAAGGTTGATGATTATCCTTGAATAACAGTTTGGGCACCTCAAAGTTTAATTTGAGTTTGTTACTCCGTGAGTTGCGGTTTGCTAACCTGGAACCCTATGCTCGTTGCCACCGTCCTTTGTTATTCTTCGTTGCCGCTTGTAATGTCCCGCCAAACAAAACCAAACTTTGGTTTAAAGTCTGCTAAGTTTGATCTGCCAAAGTGGTTATTTGTTTTGTTTTGTTCGCGCTCCGCGGAAGAATGTTTTTATGTTCACTCTGCCGTTCATTGAAATTTGATGACGTTTTTTCGAGACATTGTTTTTTGGTTGCTATTTGGTATGTTCAAGTGCAACCAGTTGTATGTTCGGCATGTTTGTTTGTGAGGTTGGTCACATAGTCGCGCCTTAGTTCGACATATTTGTTTGTGAGGTTGGTCGCATAGTCGCGCCTCAGTCCGGCAACACTGCCTCCAAGTTTGGGATGCTTGTTAGTCGTCCCCGTATCACCGCGTGGGAGTCATTCGTCATCAAAATTTATTGTTCGTTTGCAGGGTCAGTCACCTTCGTTGTTGTCACAACAGATCAAGTTCAAGTTGTTTATCAAGTTTTTTTAGTCCTATTTTTTTTAATTGTCCAAGTTGTGCATTCGTTAACCTCATGCTCAACTTGAGGGGTAGTGTTAAGGAATGTAGTAGGGTTTGTCGTTAATGGGCTCATTGTTGTTGGGCTCATAATTAGGTCAGGGTCTTGTAGCTAATATAAATAGCGGATCTATGTGTAATCAATCCATTCAAGTTTAGTTCTAATTATATTTTCTACACCCCCTTTTCCGTGTGAGTTTCTTCAATTTATATAGCAAGAGTTTTTTACCCGTTGGATTGCTACCCATTGGAGACTTGAATGAGGGGCGAGATTTTAGGCCGAACGTTGGAGCGTCCCTGGTCTAATGCGCGATGAAGAAGATGAATCCGTTGATGCGTTTTCCTTTCTTTTTTTTCCTTTTATGATGGAGAGAAAATAGGGGATTGGGCTCCTTTGTTTGATTCTTTTTGTGTAGGATTTGGGCTTTGACCCAATTTTGATTCCTTCCTTTTGAACTTAAACTTTATTTTTGGCATTCTATTACATTTTTATCCAAAAAATAAGATATCTGATAACTTGGGTTAGAAAATATAAAATAAAAATAAAAGAATGTAAAAAAATGAATAGAAAACTACTATTTATGAAAGAAAAATAAAAGATTATAAAAATAAGAATTAAAATAAACTAAGCTAAAAGACTAAAAATTAAATTCTAAAAA